GACTATCGACTGCTGTCTTCATGCTATACGGTGATGATGTGTTGTGTGTGAAACTCGATACACCCGAGAATAAGCCGAGTCAGCCGCACATCTACATCCACTTCTACAGTCATCTACATCACGTCTGACACGACACGTACGCGAACAATAACAAGAAGACTAAAAGAGAAAGAGATAGACGTAAAGTGAGTCTATTGAGATCAAGCTACGTCCTCAGCCTCACTCATCGCGACAGACTGGATATTATACACACGTAGAAGGTATGATTGAAAAGTTAAGAGAAGAAAAACATGAATAAAACGCCTCTGACCAAACCCATGTCCGAGCCACTGCAACTAGTAAGAGAGAAAAAACATGAAACCCCAGACCGTGTCGTTAAAAAGGTGAAGCTAGAAGGAGGGAGCACATCTAAGAACGCTCACCGCGCAGACGACGGGCGAGGTGGATGTCCTTCTGCTGGATGGTGACACGGCGGGCGTGGATGGCGCAGAGGTTGGTGTCTTCGAAGAGGGAGACGAGGTAGGCCTCGACGGACTCCTGGAGAGCGCCGATGGCAGAGGACTGGAATCGAAGGTCGGTCTTGAAGTCCTGGGAGATTTCGCGGACGAGACGCTGGAAGGGGAGCTTGCGGATGAGAAGCTCAGTGGACTTCTGGTAGCGACGGATCTCACGGAGAGCGACAGTTCCTGTGTTTGTTAGTAAGAAGTAGATAGAAAGAGAAAGAGAATAGAGTGGCCTACCTGGCTTGTAGCGACGGGACTTCTTGACACCGCCGGTGGTTGGGGCGGCCTTGCGGGCGGCCTTGGAAGCGATGTGCTTACGGGGGACCTTGCCACCAGTGGATTTACCTGCAGTCATGGGTCAGTATGAAGTGGGAGACGCGAGAGACGTGACGAGCGAACGTACGGGCAGTCTGCTTAGTTCTGGCCATTTTGATGGGTGTTGTTTGAGTAGCTGAAGTGGTTGAAGTGGTGGATGAGATGAAGATGAAGCTGTTGCTTGAGTCTTGATGCTTGCGTCTTGATGCTGCTTGATGCTTGACTTGTGTGTCTGAAGAAGAAGAGGAAGAGAAAGCGAGAAGTCGGCGATATTTGTAGTGTTGGCGGCTTGGCGGGGTGCTTAGCTAAGCAGGGTTGATCTAGACGAGCTGAGTTGATCTTGGGCGGCGCAGAAGCAGCAAAGTGACTGATCCAGGGCTGATCCGGCAGCCAGCGCAGGCCAGGAGACAGATCACGGCGGGATCAGTTGATGCTCGCTTCTTCTGTCACTTTCTATGCTGTACTTTCTCATCATCAGGTCACTTTGGCTGGCGTCGCTGTCTAGATCAACCGCATCAACCGCATCAGAGTTGGTGATCTGCTTAGTGATCCTGATCCTCGACGCTGATTGGCTGGCCCCTAGATCACTTTCTGACGCGCCAAAAGTAGAAAAGCGACTTCTCTTCCTTCTCTCGCTCACTACAACAACAAGCAACATCTTCATCTACAACATCCACCACTACAACTACATCTACAAGACGCGTCGTTAGACAGCCTCTCTACCACTCTACCACTTCTACTCTTCTACTACCTTCATCATGACTGGACGTAAGTGCTACTTCTACTCTCTACTTTTATAAAAGTGTAACTAATAGAAACAGGCGGCAAGGGAGGAAAGGGACTCGGCAAGGGCGGTGCCAAACGCCATCGCAAGATCCTCCGCGACAACATCCACGGCATCACCAAGCCTGCCATCCGCCGTCTCGCGCGTCGTGGTGGTGTCAAGCGTATCTCTGCCATGATCTACGGCGAGACCCGCAACGTGCTCAAGTCCTTCCTCGAGGGCGTCATCCGCGACGCCGTCACCTACACCGAGCACGCAAAGCGCAAGACCGTCACCTCGCTCGACGTCGTCTACGCCCTCAAGCGACAGGGCCGCACCCTCTACGGCTTCGGTGGCTAGACACGCTTTCTTCACGACGCTTTCTTTTTCTTTCTTCATGGGGTTATCGGATAGGGGTTTCTGCTTTGACTGTTTCTGTTCTTTTCTTAATGGAGTCTGTATCATACCATACTCATGACTACTCTGGCACTGCCAATGAATACCATTACCATTACCACACTTCATCTGCTCTGCTTCTACTCTATCTATTTATACACTTCTACGTCTTCATCTCGCTTGATCGACAGATTACAAAGAGGCTTCGGACTTTGCTTTTTCGCCTGCTGCTACTGGCTGGGAGTTGTCACTCTCGCTGCCCACGACGGCCACGGTGTAACGCCATCCACAGTCCGCTTTGCAACTTTTCCCTCCCATCCCCTTCTTCTCGTCTCTTCTCCTTGCATTCGTTCTTCTTCCGTACATTCTTCTTCTTCTTCTCTTCTCCCATCACTGGTGATGTCTTTCATTTATTCTTCTTGAGTCCCTCGCTCTTCTCTTCGACGCTCGTTTCACGCTGTTTCAGGAGCCGTTTCAACCTCGCTTTGCCCTCGCTTTTCCTCTGGTGGAGTGCCCGGCCTGTCTGGTTTAATCTAATTCCCTGCTCGCCTCAAAAAGTGAGATAGATAGCCGTCTGGGTTATTTAAGGGCTGCCCCTTTCCCTCTCCTCTTAGTAAAGCCATTAAGAGAGGGAAGCCTATATATCGATATCAATATTAGTGCCCGAGGTTGAGTAAAGATGCAGCCTCGCTCGGCGTCGAGAGGCAGTCAGTATATTCGCGGCACTCGGCCAAAGGACCGCCAGCAGCAGCTGCAGCAACTCCCGCCACTGCATACCCAGACAGACAAGACGCAGGTACAGACAGACAGTCAGGGTCAAGGCCAGTCGCAGGAAAAGAGTGCAGAGAACCTTGGATACTACGATATCAACTCGCCGGAGCGCCAGCGGTTCTACTCCAACACCCACACCCAGGACCAGGTCCAGCAACAACAGCAGCAGCAGCAGCAGCAGCAGCAACAATATCAACAGCAGTACCAGCAGTATCAAGCATACTCCCCCTGCAGGCGTTTCATCCCAGCCTCCAGCTGCGTCCAGCGAGCTGCCAGAGGACGACGAGCCGGTCTACTTGCCGTCCATAGGCAACTTTCAGTCGCTGCACTCGCTGGTCAACAACCTGCCCCAGTTCGCCGGCGACACCACCGCTTCTAACTACTTCGACCACTCCAGCAGCATCAACTACATCATCATTCAAGAGCGAGAACTTCTTCTTTTTCAAACGGCAGGCCGGCTTGCCTCCTCGCTCTAGACACCTCAATCACCATGACAGGCCCTACTCCGTCGCTGTCGGCGGCCATGGCTACGCTGGCCCACGGCGGCTGCACGATCAACCATCGCCCGGCCCATGTCCACAGCCGTCAGGACGGAGCCGTACCACGCCTACTCTTCCTCTGCGGTGCCATTGAGCAAGTCGACCTCGACCTCGACCTCTGCTTCCGAGCGACAGGCGTATCAGGCTGTCTCTGCTGTCCGGCGCCAGTCTCCGGCCCCTGCTCGGCCTGGTCCCACGCCGTACCATGCTTACTCCAGCTCAACCCCCATGATCCTGTCAGCTTCGACTCCTACTCCTGTTTCTACTTCTACGTCTACTCCGGCTTCTACTTCGGCTTCTGCTTCTACGTCTACAGCGGCCGTCGCTTCTACGACGAATTCTTCAGCGTCTAGTTCGTCGAGCTTGACGTCAGTCCACCAGATCCCCCAGCCGACTAGGAGGCCTCCCCCTGTCCCTGTACCCAGCACTACTGCACCTACTACTGCACCTGGACCCTCTGCCGGGTCCTCTGCTGGGCCCTCTGCCAGACCCTCGGCCGTACGGACGGAGTCGTATCATGCCTATTCCACTGCAAGCATTCCTGCTTCGGCCAGCTCTTCTAGCCTGGATAAACAGGCTCCCGTTCAGCCTCCAGTACAAGCTCAAGCTCCACCTCCAGCTACTACCGTACCAGTGGCTATGTCTACGCAGCGACCTGTGATTAGTACCATCGCTCGACCCATGTCTGCTGCACCAGGCCCACCAAAGGCGTACCACGCCTACTCGGCTTCCACCCCTGTAGCTGCTAACCCTGCTGCATCCGCCAGTACCTCCAGTCTCCCGCAAGCAGACGCCCAGCCTGTAGCTACAGCTACTACTTCAACTATTTCAACTACTTCAACAGCTCGCCCGCGTCTCCCGTCTGCTATAAGAAGCCACTCCTACTACGGAGCTCGCACTGCTTCTCCCGCTCGTACCGCTGCTAGTGCCATAGCTGCAAACCCCAGGGCGTCATCAAGCACATCCAGTCTCGACCGCCAGGTTCAGCCAGCTGCTCAACGATCCGCCTCAGTCGCTGCACACGTCCGTCCTGCCACTGCAACTGCAACTGCAACCGCTGTAGCCAGAAGAGCCACCAACGCTGCAATGCCCAGGCCAGCCTCTGCTGTAGCTGTTAGATCTCAATCATACCACACTCCCACCGGTCCAGCAGGCGCAGACATGCTCCGTCGAAACACCGTGGTCTTTGACTCCGATCTCACCAAGAACCAGCCCCAGCATCAGCAGCCAAACCCGCCATTGATACCCCTGCAGCAGCCAGCGCCAGCTCCAGCTCCAGCAGCTGCTACCCCAGCAGAACAGGCATCCAAACAGCGTGGGACCTCTAGACATGCTACGTGGCTCTATGGTCGTCCCGATAACGTCCAGATAGCCACCGTCGAGGAAGAAACAACACCATACGGCCAGCGATCAATCTATGGCCCCAGCCTCGTCCCCGCTCTAACCGTCGATCTCAATGGCCTAGAGCCACCTCTCGCTTGTTCACCGGAAGCTCAATGACGGATATCACTGATACAGATGAGACAGCAGACAGTCCAACCGATGCCGTGGAAAGCCGAGCCTCCATGTCCTGTCCTTCGCTTGTCCATGCTTCAAACGCGGCGTCTGCCTCTTCCACTACCTTGTCTACCCCCAAGACCAGCGGAGAGGACTACAAGTCGCAGTACCGCAAGACCAAATCGTTCCCCATCGAAGAGACAAGCGGCACGAAAACGCCAACCCCTGGCTCCGACATCTGTCCCCGCCCGTGGCCCTTGCCCTGACAAGACTCCTGCTCCTGCTTCTGCTCCTGTTCCTGTTCCTGCTCCTACTCCTTCTCCTACTCCTGATTCAGCTCCAGAGGCCCTCCCGGTAGCCAAAAAGACGGAGCCACGATCTCTCTCCCGCACGTCAACCGCGCCTCCCAACCTACAGCTACAGCCCCAAGCACAAGCCCGCAAACTAATCAAGCGAAACCCTTCCGCTCCCAAACCACGCATCGCCTCTCGTCACACCAAAACAGCCCGCTCAATGTCCTTGGTCGGTGCTCCTCCGCCTTTGCCGACCTCAGACCCATCCTCGCCTCCTCCCCTGCCGCGTGCTATGTCAGTGCACATCCCGTCGCGCACGGCGTCACCCGTAGCCACAGGCCAGGGAGCAGATCGGTCTAAAAAGCCCCGTCTAAACTCCTTGTGGTCAGGGTTATTCCGGTTAAGGGTGTCGAGCTGAGTCGTGTGCCCTGCCTGCCCTGTTTTGCCTTGTTTTCTTCTTCACTTCTATATACCAGTGCAACGCACATTTCTCTTCCTCTTACTACCCTTCTTATTTCGATGTTCGGGTCGATATCCATCCCCGTCCTTGTTTTTCCTTTCTTGGTTACGTACCGTACCCCTTTCGGATCTCCTTACTTTACTTACCTACTTTACTCCGCTTGATGCGTTTCTTGTCTGCGTTTCATTTCATTTCATTTACCCGCGATTTCACTCCTTACTACTCCCGCCTCCGCCCCACTGTATTGCATCTACATTCATCCACATCTACATCCACATCTGCACCTGCATTCTGTCCTTTCCTTGCGTTTCCTTGCGTTTACCTTTCTTCCCACCGGCATGGGATCAAACTAACCTACCCTACCATTACCATTACCCTACCCGACAAACAGGCCAAAGCAAACCAAATTGATACTGGACTCGACGGACCGGAACCCGTCTATCATCTATCTGCCATCTTCTATATACTACTAATTCTTACCTACTTGATTTTATTTCTTGGTATGGCTCCTCACCCCCTGCTTTGCCCTGTGCTGCGTTTCGGGTGCTTTACATAACTATTCATTTGAGTGGCCTCTGGTCTACTGAGTTGGATTTATTTGTCTACTTATCTACCTATCTATCCCGAGTATTTAGCTGTAAGAATAAAAGTGAATGGATATCGATTTCGGTTTTTTATCTTTATTCTTGATTTTTTGTGTGTTGAGTGTTGTATCAATATTGTATATTGTAGTCGACCACTGCTTCGTTGCAAGTAAAATGCATACCCATATGATAATCAGTCTATTGCCATATCCATATGATATGTCCATCAACCCATCCACCCATCCATCTACGGAGCATGTTCTATTTGCCATAATCAGGCAGACAACTACGGCAATGGTGGTGGTAGCCAGAAAGTACATCAACCAAAGTCACCACCACAAGCGATCAACTCGCCTCCCAAACGTCAAATCCGCCATCACCGCACCACCAACTCGCCAACCGACAACCAAACGATAGTTACTCCTGATTTACACCGTCGGGATTTGCAGTTTGCAAATATATCCATTCACACCCCGACTGGACCTGAGGATCGACTCGAGCGTTGAAACGACGTGTCAAAATGCATAAATCAATGCAGCGGGTCATAGAGTCGGTTCGGTCCTCCTCCTCCTCCCACACCCTTCCCCAGCCCTACCCCCCTGTACCGCTCGTGCCGTGTACGTATGTATGTGTGCATTTGATATGCTTGTATATGCGTCGATCAACAGACATAACTGACCCGTGACGTACAGATGATCGAATACAACCATATCCTGCGCACCGCAACTTTGAGATTGGCGTACAGAGTTGCCTTATCGCAGGGCCGAGATATCATCTGGCATGTACCTATGCATAGGCATATGCAGGACAGTCATATATACTTCCGACTTTGCTGCATTTGCGACGTCATATCGGCGGCGGCTACGGAGCGGTGAACAGGTGAATACTGCTCTCTACTTCGTATACTTGCCCTTGTCGAATCTGAGGTGTCGAGAGTACATGGCATGGGATACTGACATGGGCCGGTTATCTCGCGAAGATTTAAGTACGTACACGAATAGAACGAGATCGGGCCAGCGTGCGTGGCATGGCATGGCACACACTCACCTTTCGCTTTTCGCTCGGGAAGTACCGGGGGGCAAGCAGAGTTAGCATATCGATTTGCTGGCTTGGTTTGGGTTTGGTTAATCCCCATGGATAATTCTGCTTATCTTGATCTTATCCCGCGTCAAACGCGCCGGTCAGGTCATAGCGGACACATGGCCAGATAGCCAGGGTCGGCGCTGATGCTGGTGCTGGTGCTGGCGTTGGCGTTGGCGTTGGCGTTGGCGTCAGCGTCTTGCCATGTTGGCCGTGTTTTCAGAGACGGTGAAGCAGGCCTGGCTTTGCTCTCGTATTGAGTGTGTGGTGTGGAAAGCGCCTAGAGCTTCCAGATTCATCTCAGATGGTCTCGAGCACGTCTGGCGGTTAGGCATCCAGGCAGTTGGTTATCAGAGATCGGATCCATAGTTATGACTCGAGGCAAGACAAGAGACAAAGACAGGGCAGGGCTGAGGTGCAAAATTCCGACATGACACCATTTGGGCGGCCAATCTCCAAGAAGATCGATCCATCGATCGGAGGCCTTACCCGAAAGAAGCAGATCCTTCATCGTAAGGGTCTCGATAGCGTCTCTTCTGGCGCACGCGATGACAAGGGCATGCGTCCTGTTATTGGATGGCGCTCGTTAGCGAACCAAGAAGCCTCAGGCACGTCTGCAGACATTGGCCCTATACGGAGAGGAGAATACGGGAGCAAACAACAACGATCCAGAATGAGACGACATGTTTGAAAAGATTGCTTTCTCATTCTTCTTTTGCTTTCTGCTCTGTGCTCTTTTCCCCCTGAGATTAGGGACGCTCACATTCTGCCTTGATGGGGGAAAAAAGTAAAAGGCGAGAGCCGCCTGATGGCTCACATTTTGCTTCCCCTTTTCTTTGCTTTTCCGTCCATCAGGCCCATGAAACGAAGCAGAGTGTTAGGAAGCGAACTGTCGGCTGGCTGGAGTGAGAATTTAATCCGACTAGTAAGTTAGCTTGAGGATTGATATCCGTACCTAACACTTTACTTTGCAGTTCAGTTCAAGGCACAGCGGGATGGTGGGCACGACCCACAACACGCATCCGCTCTGTTGCACGATCAATTTTCCTCCCCCTTCTACTACTCGTTATCAGGTCCATCCAGCATACTTACGCAGTATGGAGTTCGGAGTACTCCGTACCTAATACGGGGCTCTGAGGTGCCTTGTGCCTTAGAGAGGGCCTACAGTGTATACCTTCCCGATCGAGCCGGTTGTCCTGGTCTCCCCCCTTTGTCGCCTATAACCGCCGGCGTTATAGGCATCTAATCGGCTGCTGTAGATTCCATGTCCAGAGAGATCCCGAGGAAGGCCTCGAGAGTGACATCCCACGTCCCAGGCGACACGGATGGAAAACGAGAGCATCAACTCTTGGTCGGTCTGCTTAATCTAACAGCACAGCCAATCTGCGACCTGAACAAGCATGAAACGAAATACAAGAGACCCATTTTATTATCTTAAGTAAATGCGGTTCAACCTTAATGTTCTCACGCCGATGCCGGCTGCTGGCTTGCTTTTGGTTGCGTTGCTTTGGCCTGGCAGATCAGATCACTCTTCGACTTTCTCAGCCCAGCGAACAGACACGGGAAGAAAGTCAGCCAGCAGTCGAGTGGATAGGCACATAGCCAGAAACCAGCATCTCTGATATGTTTGTTCCTTGATGCTGCACCGCTGAACCTTCTCTTCCTTGGTCGTCACAATAAACATGGGGGGAGCGAAAAATTCTACCAAATCCTGCCTTTTATTCGCCGGCTCGGATCGAACCATATATCTGCCGATAAATTCACTATATATCATTAATGATCTATAGAAAAGAAGCAAAAGATCCCTGTCCGTTTCCTATTCGAGGCCGCTGCATAAATGAAAGAAATTCGAATCTTGATTGGAAACGAAACGGGGGTTCGCAAAAAGTCCGAACCGGAATCCGGAGATGTACCAAACCTCGATTCGATGCCCATGCTGGCGCGCTGGTGTTGGTGCTCGGTCCCTGCCACGGCCTTGGACTTGGAAGGGAAAAGCAGCAACCAGCGCCAGCCAGCCAGCCAGCCAGAATCCAGCAGGAACGAAACAAAGAGGGAAAAAGCAATGAAAAGCGCAAAAAAAAATCCCGGAAGAAAGTTCTTCTAGAAACTCGCCTAGAAGACACTTTAAACATTGGTGCGGGCCATTTTTTTCTTTTCTTTTCTTTTGCTTCTCGTTTCGGTTCCCTGTTTTTGAGCGAGTTAGCTGGTTGGTGAGATGGCCTTTGGTGTCTTGCTTTGAATCCCGATGTCCCTTTTTCCTCTTCTCCGTCCACGCCCACGGAAAACATGAAGGGCAATACTATACCATTTTCCGGAATCGGTGGAAGAGGGAGGGCCGCAAAGTTTGACGTGTAGTTTAGCTGGTACCTAAGACAATGTGAAGGGTAAAAGGAGCAAAAAGAAGGTCTGTGCATGTCCGATTTTGTTGGATGTTACATACACTCGTCTTTAACTAGTTGGTTAGCGACGCCAGGGACGATAAAGGAGGCTAGCGAGTTGAGATAGTTGGCTGTAGTGTATGTTAGCAAGCAGCAGCTAGCCAGGAGAGTGAGGCGCCCTCGACCAACAAGAGCCCAAAAGTTAAGCAGCTGGTTTGCTAGTTGACTATCAAGGTACGGATAGAAGGATAGTAAAATTTGGAAACGAGCACTGGTCCGGAATCGCATATACACCAGGTATATGGATTTGCATGGATAGAGCACAATAATCAAATCACAACCATGTAGTTGTTTTGACTAATGTTAGTAGTTACAGAGCGGGCATACGGATGAACCTGGTTTTCTTTCTTTTTTTACCCTCTTTTCTTTCTCATCTCTCGTAGTTCCCACGACCCAAGGCCTTATACTCCGTACTTTGTGTGAGTCTACTAGTTAGTTGGTTGATATGTAGATACTCCCGTAAGACAGGCGCCCAGTATTTCGAAAAACGCCGAATTCGGCGGGACACAAGAAGCAACGCCTATCGGTCATTTTTAACCTGCAGCTGCGGTGCTTGCAGAACTGAGGCTGGAGAATATATGAGCAACGACTGATTGCAAAAAAAGAACGAGTTGAAAAATGATCGGGAGGGAAAAGAAAAAAGGGAGAGAAGCAATATCCACCGGCAGAAAAGAGGATGCTGGTTGGGCTGCTAGAATAGAGATAGACATGAGAGTCACTGGGAAAGGGGGGTTTTGGAGAGTCGATAGGGCAGTTAGGGTGGTTCGTTAGTGAAAGAATAAGAAACGAGAGAAGAAAAAGAAAGGCTCAGGGTTCAGTAAAGGGGACCCTTTGTACCTCTCGCTCTCCGCCATCGTTGACTGGGAAATATCCAATTATTATCGAGTACATCAGAAGACTCCGTATTGCACATCAAGTTTCCAGCACGGTGGGTTAGGTTCGTTTTAGATCCCTGGGGTTTAACCAGTCTAAGATATGTCCCGTTACCTGAATATGTGTATTTTGGCTTTTTGATATCAACGACTGGCCGGTTTGGTCTTGCCTTCTCGTCATTGCTATCACGACTGATCGATCAAGTGATTCTGTTGCCTGGCTGAGAAAAGAGGCGAATATACGTAATGGTACACATATTCTCTTCCTCTCGTCTCGCTTGCTTCGTAGCAACCACTATGATGGGATATCGGTGTTTGCCTGGTCAACGGAGAAGTAACGTAAGGCTGGTTGATTTGAGTTATTGCCGGATGTGATGGGAGGCAAAGGGACCCCCGTTTCGATTGATGCAGGAAGAATTGGCATATCATATCGTACCTAGACATATCTCGCTGATAATAGGCTCACATGCATACAAGCATATAAGCACATATGAGTAAAGTGTCCTCTTACCTTTTTGAATCCTTCCTCCAGGTTCCACACCCTCTCACTCAGTTCGATATTGCTTATTCCTCTTAGTCTTCGTTTCTTCGCCAAATAGAGAAACGACAGCGGAGGCAAAAAGGGGTATGTCCAGAAGTGCAAAAAGAGAGTTGTGGCTTGAGAAGTAGGTGTGGCGTTATGTATGCATGTTCATATATGTATTGTCCACTGCTGAGGAGCTATTCGCTGCATAGTGGTGGTGTTTGTGAGAGGGGGAAGTGGCTGTTGATTCCTTTCCGGGGCGCTGGATGCGTAACGGTTCTGCACGTCAGACAGACAGCATGGGGGGAGAATAGTAATCAGGAAAATATAAGCTGCGGTGCATACATAAGCGAGTCTTGCATGCGTACGTCATGGGTCCCTGGTGGGGAGGGGAGTATCCGCATATAGGTGCTTCAGGCGTCGAGAGACCGTCGAATATTTCAGCCAGTCGAAGTGACGAGGTGCAGATCAATTAATCGTGCATTAAGGATGTGTCTTGCCTGTCAGATTGTTCACAGGGGACTGGTCGAATGGAGGGAGGCGAAAAAAGGTACTAGCTAACCCAAGGTTGGTAGACGGTTAGAATGGGCCCCTGGATCCAGAGCCCTGGGACTGGTAAGAAGGAAGCCGTCGAAACATAAAACAAATATTTGCCTCATCCTGTCAAGCCATGGCAAATATCATCTCAGGCCCAAGGCTGGCCCAAGCCAGTGCATATGCCTATGCCAACTTCAATGTCAGTTCCAGCTGATACCCCGCGGAAATATCAATGGCAAAGCGACGTAAACAGCATGTACACCGAGAAGAGAAAGGAGGGCGGTAGGATAGCGAGTTCACGGTCCAGTCCCAAAAACCAGAAAAAAATAAAAAATACAAGCCGAAAAATCCAGGCAATGAACATCTCAAGTGGCAAGTTTTGTCGAAATAAGCACGGGTTTCGTGTGCATGGTCACAGAAGCGAATCAGGATTCTTTGCGGGGTTGTTCCTTCTAAACCAGCCGGGGCAGAGAGAGGGTTGACGGTCCACTACCGCCCGCTTTCCACTCTTCCATTGACCATTATGCCTGCCTTTGCTGCTTGCTGGCCCCAAGTCCGTGAAGAAGATGTCCGTACTCCGCACCCTGTAGGTGGATAGAGCAGTAAAAGGAAAAAGAAAAGACATGGCATAACGTGTCACGTCAACTGGGCTGGCATCTGCTAATTGCTCGGGCCATAAACAGGCAGGGAGAGGTGGAAATGAAGAGGAGAAGAGGTGCAATATATGTATTTCCAGCTCGTCAAGAACAGGATCGATGGAAGTGCGGATGCGGCCCCTTTTCGTAGGACTGCCATGTGCTGTCCAAGCTCGACACCTAAGCCACAAGAAAAAAAAAACGTCCAGGTCCTTGCCGGGTCATGCAGCACAAGATCAAGCCTTGCGTCTCCGGTCGCCGTCTTCCGCTCATCTCTAACCCTCTTGTTCTTTGTATCGTCCCTTGCGAAAGTCTTTTCTGGTCGATGTTGGGACCCTGCACGCCAAGACCGGCAGAATCTTTTTACTTTTAAACTTTTGGGCTTAAATTTAAAAATAGAAAAGTAAAATTTCGTCAAGCGCACAGACGAGAGTGGACAAGGGAAAAAGGACAAGGGGGGAAGGAGGAGGGACAAGATATGCAAGGGATAGGCAAACGGAAGGTTGGAAAAAGAAAAAGCAAGCCAAAGGATGGGATGAGGATGGGATGCAGAGCGCTGATCTTAGTCAGAGAGGAAGAGACAACGACATGGGAGGAAGAAGAAAATTTTTTCCTTGCAAGGGTGTGGAGGTGAAGATAGGGCTGCATAGGGCCAATCAGCAGCGGGGAGAAACATTCCAGGAGGAAGGATGCGAGATGCCATGTGTCTCTGGGTGAAGAGTTTTTTTTTACCTTTTGCTTTCTTTTCCCTCCGATCGCATCTCTGTGCATCTTGCGCTGGCTTCTGGCCCAGAGCCTGCCGGCCCCGTTGCGCGCCGGGCACGTTGTTCTAGGTCTGGACTTCTGGTACGGAGTCGTTAAACTAGTTCGCGAGCTGTCGAGCTGCGGAACCCCGACGAGCTCTGGCCCAAGGTGTGTCTCAGACAAAGAGATCCCATGACTCGGCTGGCCTAACAGCAGCCTGTTCGATGCCTCCAGATGTCGCTTCTGCGTACTCCATCGCGGACTCCGTAGATAGCGCTGTAGATGTAGCATCCGTCGAGCTCTCCATGTCACCTCAGGGACCATGCAAGCCACGAACCACCACGACTGCCTGTCAACCTCTCAACTTCCCCATCGCCGACTCCATCCATACCATCACCACGCATGACTAGTTGAGCCAGCTTACTAGCCACTGTGGCTCAGCACAGCCTCACGCAGGCCTTTCTGTTGTTCCGCGCAACTGCCAGAGCCAAGCGCCGTATTCGGCAGCCTTCAACCGATCGACAACGCCCGCTCGTCATCGCGGCTCGCGTTCTCTGCTCCTTTTAGCCGCCAGATGAGACAGATCGGACAGACGAAGCGAAAAGCCAGAGGAAAGTAAAAAAAGAGGATAATCCAAATGCGGTGGAACTTGAAATCTGTGGCTGTGCAGCTGTTTCTCGTGTCGTGATTGGAGGATGAATTTTCTTCCTCCCTCTTTTTGTGTCATTTCTCTCCACTGCGTGCTGCTCGTTGGCTGGTTAGCTGGACATCCCAAGAAATGCGTTGTGCTACATTGGGAAAAAGGGGAAGATGGTCGTCGTCTCTGACTTGGTTGTTCGTAGGGCTGTAGGTACCCGCATTCGCGCATAAGTAGCTTGTACTTGCTTCTCTGGACACCCAACAGCTGCCACGAGTTTTGTCCGTCTCCGCCAACAGCTAGCAGATGCCCCGTTCGATTAGTAAATGCCAATATAGTACCACGTAGATAGGACAACTAGTTGCTCCGTCGGCACCACCGATAGCTCGTCGTCGTCGTCGTAGCAGTCGTCGTAGGCATCGTAGTAACCGGAACTCGGCCCCGTAGATCGACCGACGCCGTCTCTGCTGCTCCCAGTTCGTGAATATAACGTCTTGCATGCTACTGTACCATAGTGCACCAAGTATCAGGGAGTTTTTTTTCATGCATGTACCAACTACCTCATCCTTCGCCAATAGTACTTCGTACATTGGCGCTTAACCCTTCCCCTTCTCGTGCTTCGTCTTTGCTTTTTCTCTCCTCCAAAATCCAGACAATCATCTCTCCCTTTCCCGTATTGGGACGTTTCCTGCTTTTTCTTTTTCTCTGCTTGCTTTTTGGGCGTAAGTAAGTCCTCTTTCGAGATAGAGGAACGATGGATGATGTCTTCACCCCTGCACCGCCACATGACGAGCGATCTGAAGTCGTTGGTAGAATCCTCGATCTCGATCGAGCGGAAATCGTGGTACTACTAACACCGCTCGGCATGGTGTCTATTGGTATCCATGGTCTCTGGCGATATAGGCATCACCGCAGACATCACCACCGCCCAGCACCGACATGAGTGTTACACGGGTTCATACGGTTCATGCCCAGTTCACGTCCACACTTGCTGTGCTCCTCCTAGCTCAAGACCAAGATTTGTATGGTTTCGCATCAGGCATCACAACCACGGCCAAAATCAAGATCAGGGGGGAACACCGACTAGGTTATCGTTCAAATCCCTAAAGCCGACTTTTGCGTCTCTCCCCAGACCCCTAAATTAAAATGCGTCGTGCTGCAAAACACTGGACGGACGAATGATGGCTCGCATCTGGGCTGTACAAAAGGTTGATGGTGCAATATCGATCTACAGCCGACAGCGAGACGGACCACCGACCACCACTAAAACCACATGTTTCTCCTCCCTTTGTCCCTTGCTAAACTTCGGAGAATGGAGATTTTGAGATCTGAGATTGACTTCTTGATCTATCGAATTACGGATCCTGGATTCTCTTTGCTTTTTCCTTTCTTTGCTCCTCTGCTGTTTGGTCTGCCCTCGAGAGTCCGAGAAAGGACTCGACGGAAATAACTCAAGGTAAAGAGATGGACAGGAATAGACGAGCCTCGTGAACCCGGTTGACGGAGGAAACCTGGCTATCGGATCCTGTCCGTGTCATAAAGTAAGAAAACCGTAATTATCAGTTGTAAGGAGCGAAAGAAAAAAAGAGAAGAGAGAAGAGGGAGGAGAGCCCGGGATCTCGGAAACTACCCTACCCCTAGTTACCCAGACGAATCCTTTCCCGAGCCTACCGTTCCTCGCTAGGCCCTACGTACCACTACGACGGGACACGATGTAGCGCCGTGCTCTTTTCCGACTAGTAGTACAACTTGAATAATGTTCCAGTATTAAAATACTATTATTGATTTGTCAAGCTTAACCTGGTCGACAAGGGTGTTTAGCCGGGTCACTTGGAGCGCGAGGGACCGACCCGACGGCCGAGTTGCGTTGTCGTTGTGTCATCGCGCGTATCATTTGTAGTCATCGATAGTAATCATCATCGTAGTCACCGTAGTCACGGACCAGGAACCTCACCGTCGGACGGGGATAAGCTGTGTATTAATCTTATATACCCGTTTTCCTTGCGTATACATAGCTGTCGAATCCACCTTTTTTAAGAAACTAAACCAGGGGATGACTCGGATGGCCGAGTTAAGTCCTTCCAGAGTCCGAGGTCAGATGACCACCACGAGTCAGACAGCCGAGCCAGGCAGGCCATAAGTCAGTGATGGGGGAGGATAGCACAGGAATTGAGAAGACGGCCGGCGATGATGCATTGTTATCGGGAGCAGCACTACACACAACGCACCCATGAATGGTCAATCCTGTGGCTGGAGAGCAGAACGTGGAGAGCTCTCCAGCATCGTCACCCATCTGCGGTGCGTTTTTCTCTCGAACTATGCGCTGCTATTGATGACGATCCCCACGATCGACTCACTAGCCACATATCTTCGCTCATTATTAAGATTAGTAAGTGTGAGGTCAGTAGCGAGTAGGCACGCAAAGCAAGCAAGCAGACGGGATAGCAAGAATAAGCAAAGGGCCAGCATCATCCAAAAAAAGCAACGACGCCCACTGCAAGAGAGCGAGCCCGATTAGAACCTCGTCGTAGCCGGAAGAAGCAAGAAGGACAAACAGAATGACGATGAATTACTGCATCAGGTCGCATTCATGCATGCAGGTCGAGACTCGTTGCTTTTTCTTCGTCTTAGTTTGTCAATGTCATTGTGGCGGAGTTCGATCGGTGTAACCGGACAGGGCAAGGGTAAAGCCACAGGCCATTCGACCCTTTTTTTCCCTTTTCCTTCGAACTCCAGTATCTCCGGACAGCAGTCAGTCAGTGTGGAAGAAGCGTAAACGGAGAACGGAGCAAGACGGAGGACGGAAACCGGAGTAGTTCGGCTCGCTCTTCGTCCCTGTCTTGCGGACGTCCTGTTCTAGTAGTACGGAGTATTAGTGTTAGTTAATTCTGCGAGCCGTGGGGTAGTCAGTAAGTACCCAAATCATGCCTGGCTGGGTGGTCTACATACAGTACATATGCTACCTATTGGGTGCGTGCTGACGGGAAACAACAGCCCTACGGGGGCCCTGTCGCTTCCTTGTCCGAGTGTCGCTTGTCCCTTCTCGCTGGGCGGGCACATCGCGGTCTCTGCTCCTTCGTCTCGACTCGCCGGCCATCTTCCTGCTTCTCCCATGTTCTCTGTTCGATATGTGTCTTTGATGTCCTGCATAATAGCCCTGTGCACAAGCCCCCAAGCCCGAAGTTTTAGTACGGAAACGGCCTTGGCATCCCAATGCAACCTAGCGCGGATTAACTAAAGGCGGTGAAGATTAAAGTTGAAATTTTTACCAAAAAGAAAGCCAAGCCACGTCGGTCCCGATCTGGCCTAGCCCCGATTAGCCTTTGCAAAAAAGAAATCGACAATAGAGTTTTATCTAGCGCGGGTATTAGTATATAGTATGTTGCCTTGGATCTCGCTCTTCTCACTTTCTGCAGACATCAGACAGCACAACCAGCAACCACCAGCCATCAAGAAAAGCAGCAGCCGAAGCCCTGCGATCCACGGCACCACCTCCTGCACCAGCCACACCTTACACCAAGTACCAAGGCCACCCGACGAGAGCTGAAAAGGAAAGAAAAACCAAAAAGCAAAAGCACACCTCCATGAGCCTACATCGAGTCGTCGCATCACAGATATAACAACAGACCAACTCCCACCCTTTTTTCCCTCCCATTTTTTTTAATTATTTATATTTTTATCACCATCATATTTTATTCGAATCCAGTGGTACAGAGCAAAGGCATCCCACAGAGTTTCAGCCCTAAGGAGGTTGATTGAGGTCTTGGCTCTCTCGCCACTAGAACCTCACTGCAACTTTCCCGGTCTTACGGGCAAGGTATATCTATCAGAGAGGATGCTGTCCTCGATTCCTTCATTGTCGACATCATATATCCGCCACAGCACCGGCCCATTTACAGAACAGACCCTCCTACAAGACCAGCTCGACCAACTCGACCAGCTCGAGTCGCAGCTGCTTCTCTCCTCCTACCAACACCACCCGCAAGAACAGCCGCAAGAGCAACACCATCACCACCATCACCAGACCTTCAGTGATATCAGTGATAGTCCCTCGTTGACCTTCCCTGTCTACCACAGCTGCTCTACGCCGCCGCCGCCAGAGTCGTCATCCTCTGCCGTGGCCTCTCCCTACGCTTACGACTCCGCCTCCCCTGTCTTCTCCGTCCAGGGCTCTCCTGAGACCGACTTCATCTCGTCCTTCTACCACGGCGCAGGCGGCTTTTCTATGCCCGACGAGAGTTTCCCGATTCGGGAAGACGGTCTATCGCATACCCCACCGCCGCCTTCAATCAAGGTGTACCAGTCCTCGCCACATACCAGCAATAACCACCACCAACACCACCGCACCACCACCGCCAACACCACCAACAATAACAACAACAACAGCAATAACAACCAGATGCTGCTACAGTCCGGTCTATCTTATGAAGGGGACCTTCAGTCGCTGTTGCCGCCACAACATAACCATCACCGTCTCTCTTCCCGAGCATCCGGCCAGTCGCCTGTAGCTTCAGGCGTCTGCGCAAAGCCTCAGCAACAGCAATCGCAACAGGCTGCTCAGCATAGACGCACTCCATCTACCTCCTCCAGCGTCTCTCTCCCTTCTGCCTACCACGGGTACACGGGTTACGACCGAGGCTCCTCTAAGCCTCTGCCTACCCCCGAGCAGACCCCAGTGCAGCCTTCCTTCCTGGCTCAGCCATCCTTCCCGTCCTACGACCCGTCCTCCTCATACCGAAATGCAGGAGACCATACGGACGTGGAAATGGCTATGAGACGAGCTGTGTTTGAGCAACAGCGACACCAACAGCAACAACAGCACCGTCAGCAACAGGCAGCTCACGCCGTTGAGGAAGAAGCAACCACTTTCCCTGCTTACACTCTGGCACCATCGGCGCCAACACTGAGTCACAACTCGCCAGCCACCGCTCAGGGTCACATGAACGCCCGAACAAACTCTCCCCGGGATGCCTCTCCCTGGGCACAGCAGGTCAGCGTCTTCCAGAACGCTCTTCACCACCCATCACACATGAACTCCTCCCTACGAGGAATGGAGCTCATCAGCCACAATGGCCACGACGAGCAACCCAAGACCATCTCGCCCAAGGACGCGATGCTTGAGTTCCACGAGTCTCCCGCAGACAGCAGTAGCATGCCGCTCTTTCCTTCCCAGGCCGAGGCTTCGCAGTTTGAAGCTGCCGTGGCGACAACACTGGCCAACACAGACTTCTCCAACGATGCCTTTGCCCCCTTCTCATCCTCCGCCTCCCAAAGCACACCCCAGCCCTACTTCCTCGGCCAGACTGCCGGTACGGACGTATTACAATACCAACCCAGTGCCGCCCAGCACCAGGCTCAGCACCAGCAACACCATAGCCACCCACAGCACCAGCAGAGCAGTGCCGAGTTCGCTGCCGCGCTAGCCGGCCTCGACCAGGCTGCCAACGTCGACCGCAAGATGCAGGACCGCGACTCGGATATGGCTGCCGGCCGACCAGACGACACTGCGTCTGAAGCTGGAACCTACAGCTGTACTTACCACGGCTGTACCCGCCGCTTCGAGACGCCCGCTCGGCTACAGAAGCATAAGCGCGAGGCCCACCGCCAGACTACACCGGGCTCACACATGCTCTCGCGTGACAGCTCTACGCTAGGCGCACGCGGACTTAGCGCCCGCAACTCGCAGGCCGGACCTCACCGATGCGAGCGCACCAACCCGTCGACGGGCAAGCCGTGCAACTCCATCTTCTCACGGCCGTACGACCTTACACGCCACGAAGATACGATACACAATGCCCGCAAGCAGAAGGTGCGCTGCCACCTGTGCACCGAGGAGAAGACCTTCTCCCGCAACGATGCTCTCACCCGGCACATGCGCGTTGTCCACCCCAACGTCACGTGGCCAGGCAAGCAGAAACGGAGAGGCCGCGACGACTAAATGAACACCCAAACCCTTACGTCTCTCCTCTTCCCCCGTCTTCCCCTGCTATGGTACAAACGAGCATTATTGAATTGTGGATTCCTGGTTTTTGCAAAAAAAAAAGCAACACGTTTAACGCACCCCTTCTCGAGGAGCGAGCTTGAAGCTACCCTTTTCGAGCCTTGAGGTATGATGTTTATTGTGACGTCATGACCAATCCCCAACCAAGAAAACCACGCGGTTTTAGAGTTTGGCAGAATCATAAGCCGGACCGAAGTGGGGCTCGGTCGATCTATCGTCTTGGCATGACGTCATTATTCGATTATCCTATTCTTAGCACCATTCATTCTCTTTTCGTCATTTGCATATCGGAGTTTCTCTTTCAGGAAAGAAAGGAATTGGAAAAGGAAGGAAAGATGAAGATGACACTCTTACTTCTACACAAAAATCATTCACTACGACGAAAGATGAAAGCAAAGCGAGCGTTTTTTTCCCTATTTTTTTCTCCTTTTCTACTTCTTGTTCCTTTGGGAGGCTTCATTGGGGTTTACTTTCTTTTCTTTTTTTATCATCCTTTTTTTGCTTGTTTGTGTTATGAGTATTATGATTCTTTTTTTTTTCTTCAAACTACTTACATAGGTTGGCTGGTTTCCCCCTTGTTTTTTCTTTTTGCTTCTCTTTCGAATAAGCCACTTTTATATATTACTTACTTATATACACTTACCACGAACTCATACTTACTTAATTGCCTTTATATTTTTGCTTTTCCCAGCTTTACCTTTTTCTTTGCTTTTTCTTTCCCTTCCCCTTCTTTTTTTTTTTCTCCTACTTGAAGTTGGGCATGAAACATGCATGGAACATCATCATCGACATGAACATGGATTGGTGGAGTTAGTTCGGCGCCGAAGCAAAGGAGAGAAGGGCGAGAGATCACAGGAAACAAAATGATGAACGATGACGGCAGTCAAAGCATACAACACGGAACCAAACTGAAGATGAATATGGGATGTGCAGTGATGCAATTGACAATAGGGAAATTGAACGGGGTGATTTCGGCCATCTCCTTTTTTTTTTTGCATACGGCGTTTGCATCTGCGTTTGCGTTTGCGTTTGCATAGATGGAAAGGTGCATCTGTACGAATAGGGATACAATATACGCATAGGCATAGCATGCAACTCTGTCAACTTGAATTGACCTTGGTCTCGCACGAAGTTTCCCTTATCTCAGCCTGTCAGCGTCGCTGGCTATGATGTAGTCAAAGAGTCCTAGGAGCTGGTTCACTTCGCGCGAACCAAGGGAGAGCAGGATAGCAAAGTTGGCACGCAAGCTGGGCCAGAACGAGAGTTCAACCGAGGTTTGGGATATGCTTATTAATCAGAACCTACAAGCTTAGTCATCACAGCACCAGCAAAAAAAAGAGAGAGAGAAAGAAAAAAAAGAAAGCGCTGCGTCGACCGGGAGTCGAACCCGGATCTCAACTTATCAGTCGGTGCGATGGAAGAGTCGTGTGCTACCGCTACACCATCAACGCTTGTTGCTTGAAAGAGAGCATAAGAAAGCGCGTTACATAGGCAGTAGCAGGGCAGAAATGTAGGGCCTGACACCGCTTCTCGCTACATCGCGTATTCTTAACCGCGTGCCTCCCGTCGCTATGTCCTCTCCTCTCCCCCAGCTCTTGACGCCTCTGATACCTGCCAATGGCCCCAGCCACCTCTAACTCTGTTGCTATACCGCTATACTGCTATACCGCTAGTTATACCCATGACTCGTGCAGACTGCGGCCGGCAGACGACGCAACTACTGTCTCAGGCGCAGATGGTGCCGCTCTGCAGCCCGCTCTGCACTTCTGGGCAGCGGTCCAACATAGTGTACCTCCCGCGCCTCCTCGGACGCAATACCACGGAGTATACTCTTAGTCTTTGGACCAGGATAAGCTAGTCCATCGTCGGCTCGGAGGTAGTTACGGTTACTCCCCGGCCGCTCAGATGGCGGCATGTTACTATCAGGTTTCTGGCCCCAGCCCAGGTACAAGGATGATAACGATATTGAATTATTCATGGGAGATGGGGTTGTCTGTTCCCGCGGGTGTTCTGCGAGATCTATGGACGGATAGTTTAGCGGGAGGCAGGTCCTCGTTCCCGTGCCTGCCAATGATTAATATGAGCGGCAACGATGTCAGGGATGTACTGTCCTTCAATCACTTTGATGATTCCGTCCGCCCGGATTAAACTCGGGCGATACACACTCTGTACGTCCTGTGCTGGCTTTCTATCGGCCTGTTTCTGTTCGACGGGTCCAATGGGTGTATGGTTACAATGGTACGAAGTATGGTAAAAAATCCTTTGAATAGGTAGCGAGTAGTATTACAAACATAACGGTCAATATTAGAATCACTTCTTTCGACGGAGTCCTTTTATTTTGAAGTAGCTCTCTTCATCTTCATTAATATGTACACGATCCCGACACGGGTCACATCTCATTCCTGTATTTGCCATCCAGGGGCATGCTGAATGTTCCCAGCCGTGCATGACCCCCACTTGAGTAGCCATGTTAGAAGCCCTGTCTATTCCTATCTGTTGGCTGCAAAACTCCCTTGTTCTATCTCCCCATTCGGAGCCTTGTGCCTCGGCCTCGCTGCATGGGAGCCCCCTGCTCTTACGGCTACTCTTGCCTTGTGGAAGATGTGGTGATATGCGATTGTATGTCTGTGATTATATGCATCCCATGCATATATGGTGAATACCGTTGCTTCATTTCGTGTCGTCAGGAGGTTATTGTACAATCATGTGTTGTCTTGCCTCAGGTAGTTTTTCGTTTAAGTAGACAATACTCTCCCCAGACACGTTGATACTTCTTCGGTATAAAAGGGAGGTTTGGAATCCAGATTAGTCGCCCTACGATGCCGGTACGTCGGCTATCTAGGAATGGCTTACACGAGAGCTTCTCCCATGTCTCAGTGTCAAGGGTATAGTGTGGTTCAAGTTTAGTCTCTTCATCTCCCGGGAAATAAGAGTCAACTAGGTATGTGCATTGAGAAACATCGGTCTAGCCAACTGTTAACATTCGCTAGATAAAGAGCCAGGATTAAACTTACGTATTTCTTTGGATCTTCCAAGTTTCGATCGTTCATGCCTTCAGGGACAGTCCATGTTCCCGGTAGAAATCCAAGGCCAGCCCTGGACTCTGTAAACTCCCCCGGCAACAGTCCTCGGAACTCACTCTTGATGAACTTCGCCCGAAGGTTATTGTTCGGGAGGAAGAATGAAGATGGGTATCGATACCATTCCTTTCCGTAGCATACGAAACCTTCAGGGGCAACACCATTAGTTGGCTGTAGTGCATCAAATACCTGAAGAGGAGCGTTGTAAGCTGTCACGACACCCGTGGTCCTCAGAAGGCCAATGTTAACCGCCAGCAGCACGGGGACGACAGTTATGACGAGTTTCACTTTAGTGGGTATTTTGCTAATCAATGTCCCTGCATCCGAGGTTCCAATATATGCTAGAATAATGTGCAAACTAATTGAGGCGTTCAGGGCCAGAAACGGGTAGGCCGGGTACATGAACCGCTCTTCCTTGTGAGGTTGAAGAGTAAAAATGGCGAACCACATGTAGAACGGCATTACTAGGGTCACTGATCTGAAAAGTGTTTGGGCAGAGGTTTTGTGAGGACGGAACAGAGCTTGGAGAACCAGTAGAGGAAAACTAGACAACGCAAGGACAGCCCACATATTAAAATTGAGTAGTAGGTTCTTAAGATAGAATGTCCATGGTTCGGTTCCGAAGATATTGGGACCTTTACCGGATCCTCCAAAGACGTTATATGCCACAATGTTCCATGGAACAAGGGCAAATTGACGGTAAAACATGCTGTCAATTAAGACCACGACAGACTATCAATAAATTCACTGTTAGTAGATATGCATGCCAAATATTTGTAGTCCAGGAACTGTACCAAGATTAACAAGCATTTGATGACCCCTTCTAAAATCCGTTTGATAGCCGGTACAGTGTCTCCCAAAGACCAAGCTACCGCAACTTCTTCAAGCAAAAACGGTATAGCCAACGCCCCCGCGAATGGCCATCCGACCATTGCGCCAATGCCAAAGAAAATGATTCCTTGAACAGTCTTCAACCCACCTTGCCAGTCAAGGAAAGCCGCCAGGCCCAGCATAGACATATACATCGAGAAGCTGGACGGCAGTAATGCTGTAGAGGCATGGAACATTCCAGAACTGAACACCGTGATCACCAGAAAGAAAAGCCCAATTCTTGGATTAAGCGATCGAGATATTGCCGCGAACAGTCGTGTCTCACACACAGTGCAAAAAAGCCCAAGGGCTAACCGCACCATATAAAACTGCGCTGATTTCGTCCGTGCGAAAAGACCCAGTGCCTTGGCTAAACCAGCGTGTAGACCAACATATAACCAGCTTCTGATGGAATATTCGGGGGAATACTCCCATGTTTGTAGACCGTGGCCATGAGTCAAGTAGTGTGTGGGTTCCCAGTAGTTGTAAACTTCATCGCAGTCCTGTATCGGCGATAACGCTGCCGCAAGAGTGTTGGAGAGTAGGCATAGATAGAAAACGGTATTAATGGGAATATAGAATGGTGGTTGAGGCGGCCTAGTTGTTCCGTTAGTTAGTTGACCGGAGGCTGTTGATGGAGCTTAAGATTGGAGCTGTGGGAGGCTTACTTTGACTTGGAAGCTGACGCTGGAGCTTCTCCAGGAGAGTTAGGGGGCGACATGATGTTGACTAGCTTGTCAACACGTTGAAAACAGCCTGAGCCGAGCTTGATGCATTGCAGGCTAGTATCTGTAGACATCGAAAAGGCCATTTTTGTCCAAGTTTGGCCACGTGACGTCACTTCCTTCCGGAATAACATTATACCGCGAATGCGGCTCTTTCCGAAAGTTTAACTTAGTTGCTGCCTTACGGAGTATTTATATCCTGATGCAAAGAGTCACAGAGTCCATCTTCCTACTTTCGCTTCTACTTTTATTTTATTAAGGACCATATGTTGTTGAAATGTATCGCTGGCACGAGGCTGGTTGTCAACAGCCGGAAGTTGTGTTCATAAACGATACTCCAAAATGTAACTCTTGTTTATCTCAGCTGTCACAGGAGGAAGTAGTTGTTGAAGAGACTCCCTCCATGTTGACTGTTCCTCATGTCGAATCTCTGTCTCACCTGAAGCTTACTTGGCCTGAATCTGTCAAATATACCCAATCCAATAACTCCAATAACGACATATCCACCTCATCTATACCAGACACTAAAACCATCTATGCTTCGCGCTTGGTAGCAAAGACCAACAACCTTGATAGCTTTCCCAATACATCTGGAGGGGGTTTCAGGTTATTACGGCTGCAGCCCGGCCAGAGCGACGATCCGATACGAGGAGATATTGAGATATTATCGTTGAGAGACTTGGAATCTCCGCCTTACCAAACTTTGTCTTATTCCCCATTTGCCGACCCTCCTTCACCTGCCGAGGATTCTTCCGACAAAGAGCTTTCCGACAAGAAGCCTGATGAGCAGACTTTAAAAACAAAGCCTGCGTGTATACTTTACATACCTCAACCAAAGAATCGTCCGGTGTATATCGGACCCTATTGGGATGCTATATATGTTGCGGAAAACTGCGAAGCTGGCCTGAAAGCGATCCGATGTCAGGGCACGGAACTACCTGTTTGGGTGGACTCAATTTGCATAGACCAGCATAACAACGATGATAGGGCGGAACAGATTGCATCGATTAAGTATATCTATGCAAATGCTGCGAAATCGATGTTTTTTGTTGGAGCTCCTTCTGAGGATAGCGATCTGGCCCTCGATCTATTGAGATCGGTAGCAAATGGATTAGCAGTGCCCTATCGGGTAGCCGCCACTAAAGGGAAATCGAAGGATGCACTAAGATCTTTGTTTAAGCGGTTGTGCTTTTCCAGTCTGTGGCTTGCCCAACAACTTATTTATGCCGCAAACCCAGAGATACTCTGCGGGAACCGCTCTGAGATTTGGCCACCTTGGTCCCGGATGCCTAACGGCATACGCCGCTGTGCTCCGCTCTTATTGCTTAATCCAGGGGCATGGGCTAAATTGGTAGACGCAGGCCTTTATAATATTCTACGCCACGCTTCAGCCCATCAATGTCCTGATCCCCGAGACAAAATTTTTGCAATCCTTGGGCTTCTAGAGGAGGTTGGATTTAGCGTCGATTACAACCTCCCTGTTGAGGCTGTTTATACTGGAGTCACTGCACACCTTCTACAGAATAAGACTGACTTCCGACTATTTAATCTCCTTGGGTCCGATGAACGACGCTTGAATTTACCTTCTTGGGTCCCCGATTACTCCCAGCCTTTACAGATAGACCGTTCTTTTGACATACAAAAAATGGCCACAATGACCAATGATATAATAAAAGTTGGAGAATCTAAAACAGTACAGGCCCTATACCCTTTTAGTTTCAATGAAGCCCAGGATATCACCCTCGAACACGGGATTGAAATCGGCTCAGACGGGTCGTTGAATATCTTTGCGATCAAATTATGTGACCTTTCCCCTGCAGATAGTGTGACTATGAACACCGAAAACGGCCGGCTTTTTATAGTCATCGATAAGGGACGTCATGGCTATTTGTTGGTTTCTCTGAAGAAGAAAGAATATGAGATAAAGGACGATTCGATATTCCTTTTGAACCAGTCGCTCCTGGTTATTCTGAGGCGTGATCCAACGAAAGGAACATACACATTTTTGTCTCTCGCCAGCATGGCTCTTGTCCATTCAAACGAGGAGAATGCAGAGTGGCGTCTTCCCTGTAAGCAACGGGAAGGGCAGGATTGGCCGTTTGAAGTATCTCTACGTATCTCTTCAACGACCTCTACAAAGGTTCAAGAGTTTTATTCAAGTCTATTGGAGCTGTGTGAGGCAGACCCGTTGCCGGCGTTAAGCATTGATTCGACTACTACTGAGACGATGGCCGTCGTTGATTTCGGGATTCTTAGCTTGACGGGTTTCGACGCACTAGAGGCAGAACTAAAATCTAATTGGCAGGGCTACACAGAGAAACTACGATGGATGTTTCGTGATCAAGTTGCCATCTGGAAATTCATTCGGTATATGGACCAGGATGGCCAAAAGGACTGGTCAGGTACCGGGTCAATGGCTGTCGAAGATATAGATGGCCTGAAAGATAACTATGCCACGGATATCAAGGCTGAATATACATGGAACCTTCGTCAATTTTGCTGGTCCTTTCTCAAACCTGCAACTTTGGATATAGATGAGCTGGATAGTGTTTGGAACCCAGCCTTTGAAGCACTCAAGGCTCATACTGCCGAAATTCAATCGTGGGCGGAAGCAACCGGAAAACTAATGAATGCAATCGAATTTTCACGGACAGCTCTAGGAAGCAGCATGAAGTTCTTTCCTGGAATAAATCTCCCAGAGAAGTGGTATTCGAATTGGAATATTTTTTCTAAGGCAAGAGAGGACGGTGTATTTCGCGATGGGGAGGCTTTTGACTCGGACTATTACTGGAACTGGTCGGAATTTGAGCAATGCATTCAGCAAAGAGAGACGCTCTTGGCTCGGACGCTCCCCGAGGAGTTACGGCCCCATGAAAACTGTGACATGAAAGCCCATATGGCGTTCAGGGTATGGGGATTGGATCTGAATCATGTAAGAAGAATTAGGATCGTGTAGAATGATCCTTATTTCATTGTTTCGTTTGCGATAATGATGTGACGAATTTAGCCAGCGACATATAGATATAGCTACCATAGAAATGTATCACGACATCTTGACAACCAGAATATTATTTAATATCCAGCTATCCGTATATGCAATTTTGAATTGATATCGAAAACCGCGAAAGTCGCGCCCACGTGATATAAACACCACCTGCTAGTCCCTCATAAGTCTAGCGTCTTATCTTATCTTATCGAAAAGTTAAAAAGTAAAAGAAAGTTTCGAGCTTCAACAGAAGTCACAGATATAAAAGCCACAGCTGTTTATGATGAATATTTCTTTGATTTGGTAGATTTCCTCCGGAACTGCTACGCACTGGCTTGAGATATTAAATTCGCCTGTTTTATTTTCCCTTGTTCAATCCTAAGTTTTATCATTTATACCATGACAGACACTGTGATGGGTGATGACACTCACGCTGGGAACCTACCCACAGAACCGGCCTGCCCAGACAACAACTCCGTCGCAGTCAATGCTACAATCTCTAAAACAACTACAGATACACCGAAAGACGATGGTAGTGATTTTTATAATACACCTTTGAATGTGGGAGCACCTCTTCAGCCGGGAAACGCCGGCCCTTCGAACCTCGAAACCGTCGCCGCGGAAGGATCCGAGAAGCCGCGCATTATGATCCCAGGTCTTACACTACTGAGCGAAGAGGAGCATCGGAATAGCAGTCATTCTCCACTGGAAAATTTGTCTAAACCACTACTGAACACGAAGGAGCCAAGTCCCGAGAAGACAGAAGCAGCAGATACAATCATGACCGGAGATGGCATAGAGGATTCCAAGCAGACTATCACGGAAGCTGCTAGCAATTCTACGGCTAGAGAGTATGCCGGTGCCTCTTTATCTGCAGAAGCCGAAATTGCGGCGCTTGCGGCTGAAATGATCGAGGGAATACCCCCCACTGGCGACGGAGAGCAACAGGCTGACGGAGGCGATCACCCAGAGTGGGAGGTCGACTCGTCCCCATATGAATCCTCTTCAGAATCTTCTACTGATTCTGACTCAAGTGACTCTGACGATGACGATGATGACTATGAACTCCTAGGTCCTGAAGAGCAGGCTCGTTTATTGATGGCTACAGAAGGGGGATCGGATGATGAAGGAGGGGATGGTGGTAGGGCGGCAGTAACCGAAGTCAGGACAGCGAACGAGAAGCCAGATGAAGTTGTACCAATGCCGGATATCACCATCACTCCCGAAATGAAGGTTGAGATGCTAGGAAATGTTGAGAGCATTGTGGATAATGTTGTGCTGGTACGGGCAAACATATCTGGCGAGTACCGAGTTCTAGAAACTGGCTCGGTTTTGTGCTCTGTCAGCTTGAAGGTGATCGGGGTGGTATCTGAAACACTTGGTCGTGTTCAGCAGCCTCTATATACCGTTCGGTTCCCCAACGCAGAAGCGGTTAAAGAAGCTGGTTTGGAGAAAGAGACGCCAGTTTTTTATGTTGTTGATCACTCAACTTTCGTGTTTACACAGCCACTCAGGGGCCTTAAGGGAAGCGATGCTTCGAACCTGCATGATGAAGAAGTGGGAGATGATCAGATAGAATTCTCAGACGATGAAGCTGAAGCTGAGTATAAGCGGCAACTCAAGTTGAAACGCCAGGCAAAGCGTGAAGGAAAGTCTGAACGCGGAGGAGGAGGTAACAGAGGAAAAGGCCCATCCCTTCCACCTTCGAACCTACGGCATTCGGAACTCAACTACGATGACAACAGCACGAGCAATAACAACAACAATAGCACTAGCAGCACTGAAAATGATTGGTATACACGCCTTGCTCGGCCGCAAAATCTGCATGAGATGATGGGTGGTGAAGCACCCATGGAAATGCCGCATTCCTCTGAACAATATGGTGAAAGATCATTCCGTGGCGGTAGGGGGCGTGGCCGTGGGAGGGGTCACGACCGAGGTGGACGAGGTGGGCGAGGTGGGCGAGGCGGCAGGGGTGATCGGATGTGGTAAAAGCAGATGGTGGCTTTTATTGACCTGGGACAATCCAAGTCAAGATGGAAACTTGGATATTGCCCTCGTACTCTCTTCGCTTCCTACAGAGATTCGGGACTGCATGATAGCTACTACCAATAGCATTGCCCGAGCAGAGGATATCACAGGCTTGCGATTCTCAAGCGTGCTTGATAGGTTAAGTGACCAGAGGGATAGCAGTGTCAGGGCTGAACTGCCAATTTTTTTATAAGCATCGGGGCCGCTACAGCATTGGCACAGAAAAGGCGTCTAATCGCTGCAGGGCGTGCGTAAGGCTTTCCTGGCAATAATGGAATGTGTATCAGGACCCCATTTGGTTACTTGCGGAGAGGTGATTATACAGCCGTTCTATAAGGGCCAGACAAAGCGTGGGAAGAACACAATATTCATTGAGAGTGTACCTGCTAGGTTTAGGCACGGGTATAGGATACATACCTATGGGGCTTGGTAGCTCGTTATTAATTCGTGTGTTGAATGTTTCAGTAAAGGACATCTCATCAACTATTGTATTATTTAGCTAGCTATTTATCAAACATTAATTATTAAGAGGTAGCACGTTTGGGTATTACGTTGCGGCAATAATAGTATTGCCAATAACTCTCTATAGTAATAAATTGTATAAATGTATGAGTCTAGAATGCTGACCTAGCTAGAAACTGATAATCCGAGTATAAATGGGTATGACTGAGTGTGGAAAACAATATTTGAGAAGTGGGCTCCTACTTGGATTATGGTGGATTTGTTGTACTCTCAATGATATGTTCGCCTGAAAGCCTATCGATAGCCTCCACCATATATCGCAAATGAGTCGGTAGCTGAGGAGACGAAGCGGTTAAAGAAAGACTGATTGTGGAACACCCATGACCTCGAAGAGAAACCGCGGATAGAGAGGCCACGTAGGATGAGTTAGCAGTTATTCCGCCACTCATTAGCCTCTGCGCAGCAACGGGGAACTCCTCTGGGCAAATGAGCAAAGATTCCTCGAGTAGGCGTTGCCGAGCAATGTCGCGCTCTGTCGGAGGCTGTTGTTGGTCAGCATAGTTCTTTCCTAGATTTGACGCTGGATGTAAATAAACAGCAGAAGACATTGGAGAAGGAAGCTAGGGGGATAAGAGAACATGATGGTTTCCAAGCACTTGGAACTATTGGGCGGGGAAGGCGCATTCAAGTGGCTGCCGACGAGAGTAGCAGACAGCATGACTCACTTTCTCTTTGAGAGTAGGCCTGCCAACTGAAAGGGGTTTCGAATTCTTCTCAACGTTAGAAGCCGAAGGGCGCATGTAGATTAGGGTTATTTGGGATGTTAACATGCCTCAGGAGACCGAACATTCCTGTTTTTTCGGAAGTAGTTTCTCAGTCTCCGAGACACCGAAACGACAGGTTGGGCCGATCCTAAGCCAGGAGGATGGAGCCCCTTGCTTTCCTCAAAGATGGCTCTTCGAGTTCTCTCGCTAATCTCCTGGCTGCCGTGAGTCTCTCCAAGAGACCTGGTGGACTGCACCGCTGGCGAACTTCCAGGCTGTATGGGGGCGAACGTCGAAAGTGCGTCGCTCTCATCATCGGAGTCAGAGTCCGCAGAGCTAAAATCATCACCATCTGACTTATTTCGGTCATCCTGGTCCGAGATAGTGCTGGCACGCTTGAAAAACGACTTTGCTTTGAATGAGCCGGTGAAAAAGCCCTGCGTTGACTTTGCTCGCCTTAGCGGGCTCTGTGCAAACCTATCCGTTTCAGGAGGAGCGGGAGTTCTTTGGTGGGAGAAAAAGCGGAAGTTGCTCCATGTGCTCCGAAAATTGGTATCAGGGCCCGGATGCGGATTCCGGGTATTGTAAAGGGAGCAGTCCGCTGTTTCCATGTAGTCTGGGACAAGAGCCGGCGGCTGATCCCTGCATGTGTGTGAGCAGCCAGGAAGCGAGGTGGCTAGGAGATAAGACGGACACTTGTCTATCAAAACGCATTCCAAAGAGCCGGGAGAAACTCCAGCTCCTCTTCACTGACCCCCCTGAAGTAGCCGATCCAACCGACCTCCTGCTATTATCTCGGCTAGGGACATGATGAGCAGACGAGGTCATATCGGCCATCTTATCTTAAGGTGTGCAGTAAAAAGGTAAAGAATTGGGAATAGATATTAGAAGAAAGAAATATCCTCTCTAACTCCATGAACCGGGCGTGTATAATTGTGATGCATAGGTGTTTGGGTGAAAGGAAAAGAGGCAAAAACATACAGTTTCCCAGGGAAGAGGGAAATTTTATCTATCAAAACAAACAGCGGCCATAGTCACAGCCTTAATTGATATCTTTCTCTCTTCGTTGGGTCGAGCCGTTGGTTCTTTTGCCTGGTGGTTTGTTGTGACCCAGGCTTTGGCCTCAACACTTGCCATTGGCTTTGGCCCACGTAAACAGTATAACTTCCAGATTTTGCCATTGGGATTAACAATGGCGTACTCCATGGTGCTGTCCAAAAACTTTGGGGTATAACAGTGTGGTAGTGATACTTTCTCTACCTATATGCCTGTCTTCTCTGTCCTCATAGTCGAAGCTGTCTTCTCAGCTTGTTTACTTTTTGATATTCGACGTTGAAAGAAGAAAAAAGGCGGCGGCAAAAAAAAGCCAGCTGAGTCAGCAACATGCGCGCTTCTTCTCAACTTCAGCTTTCATGTCGTCACTGAAAAAAACAGACATTCATGAACTCGCCTTTCAAGCTCCCTCCCTCCCTTCCTCTCTAGCGGTCTAGTTACAGTGTTTGTGTGTTTAGCTCCAGGGGCGTTTTTATTGTTAATCCATTCAGCTGCAGCGTTTTTTTGTAGCTAACGGCTTTTGAGCCCGTTAATAACTGGCCACGCCTTGGACCGAGATGGCTCCGAACAAGAAGGAAGAGAGCGCGTCTTTCGAAGCGATTATTCATAATGGTTAGTGGGGTTGATAATGAGCGTATGATTACCCTGGGGTTGTTCTTTTTGGCTGACTTATTTTCCTTCAAATTGCAGCCCGTCTTCGGCGCCAAAAGCAGGCCTTGACAGACGATTTCTTCGGTAAAGCAAGGAAATCAGGCGCCCCCGGATCCAATGCGTCCAGCAGAAGGGGCTCTCCAGTCACTGGAAGCCTTGCGAGTAGAGTTGAAAAGGTTCCCCTCCCCCGCGATCCTTTCAACCCGCGCGACCAGAACGTATCCTGACCAGTCATCGTTTAGCGTGTGGCGTCCGCAGGCGTGAAGAAGCAACAGGCAAAGCCTACAACCACACGACAAACCCGAGAAAGTCGCCTGCTATCTGGTGTTCTTCCAGTAATTGATAAGATCGATCGCACGAAGGCACGAGGACCTGGGCTGAATATTAGAGGCCGTGCATCTGGCCCGTGTGTCGTCACTGGCAGCAACTTTGCGTCTGGAACTACTGCAGAGGATATTGAAGCTGCCTTCGCCCCTACTGGAGGAGATATTCTCCAGTGCATAATTACAAAGTCATATCCCTCCGTAACAGCCCAGATGGTATTCGCTGAGAGACGGGGAGCTGATAGCGTGGTGGCGGCGTTCAATTCACAAAAGGTTTGCCTCAACTTTGATTTATCCTATTAAGCATTTACATTCCAGCTAACTAACATACACGTGCAGGCAGATGGAAGGGTTATTCAAGTCCGGATAGACACAACCGACCCATCTACAGTCTTGGCTCAATCGAACACTGCTTCTGCCGCCAAGACCAAATCAGCGTTTGACAGTAGCCGTGAGCTTGCAGACAAGGAGCGCCGTGAAAACCGCCGCCCTGCAGATTTTCAAGATGGCCGTTTCGGGTTTGCAGATCCAGCAGAGCAGCCACGACAGCAACAATCCAATTCATATGATTCAGACACCAGAAACAACAACAAAAACCAAAACCAGAACTGGGGGAGAAATCGGAGGCAAAACGAAAAGCAGCATAATTCAGACAAGCCTGACCTGTACAGCGACACAATGATGGTGGACTCGCAGTCATCTCACAGGAACCGCAGACGTTAGCAGCCATTTTTTGCTTTGATCCACGAATTTTAGGGCGGGTAGTGTGGGACCTAATGATGGATATCACTGAGGACTTTCGGCAATGAAAACGAGTCTGGCTTCCCCTAGCTTCTGCATATTTGGACCTATGTACAACAATAAACAAATCTGACGGTGATAATACAGCTTGATACTCCTTTGACTTTTGTATGAATAACACTACTTCTACCCCACGAGCCAACAGCCACGACAAAACAGCGATGAAATTGATAATAATAGAAATATTACGAAAAACAGGAGATGTTCTTCATCCATTAAACGTTGAAAGCAATTATTATGACGCAACAGCCAAAACTTCAGGTTCGACGTCAACAACAATACAACTCTGCCAGTTAAACAAGGGAAGCAAACTTCAAACCCGATTAAGAACAGGAATTGATAGCTCGATGTGGTAAACGTCATTTTTCATTTCCTGGAGAGCTTCACTGATAGGCATTGACTGGTTTATTGCATCTGTCAACTATAAAAATCCATTTCACTCACTTATTAGCAATTGACTCTCAGTCAAACTTCTATAATTCTGTGACACCCCCGGACAGCCTCCGTCTTCCCCAGATACGCTCTCTACGAACCAGAAGAACCGAGTCGCCACCTTGTGTGGTTGTTGCTAACCTGTAATCAGCGCCTAGGTTACCCCGTGAAGGCCACTGCGTTTTGCCTCCTTTCTGTTCACAGGGCCTGGGCATTCGGGTAAGCCATGGGTAAGTCAAAGGTTGGTCGACCTATGGGAAATTTAATAATTCTGCCACATTTAACCATTGATCTAGATGGTGGTCTCCAGAGGTAAGCGGGAATGCTTTTCAAATCATGAAAGGTTCTTCATATCAAAAAACCGTTTATTGTGTAACACATTGGATTTTCTCAGCCGTGTCCTGACCACTTACAGGTAGAGGCAATAGGCCCTATCATTTGACCGGTTAGCTGCAACAAAGCGTCACGTTGAAGGAATATATGCACATCAGCGTTTTGGGCACTCGTAGTAATGCTCAGCTGAGCAAAGTCTCTATATATCAAAATAGTAGAAGGACTTGGTAACACCTTGGCTAGACAAGCCTATGAAACAGATCTCTCTCATATACTTCCGAATATCCATCTGTATCATCAATCATCGATCATCGACCATCGACCATCGACCATCGTTTGTATCAATGTCCGCCTGACATCTGGATGAAGTTCGCTTAATGAAACTTATTCACAGTTGGCAGCCCATATTTAGCAACACAAGACATATTCAAGATACCAGGATGGCACCCCTCCGCATTTAAGGGTCCTCTATTTGACGGTCCACCTCCCTGTCATCGTTGCAGTGCATATCAAAGGACATGAAATAAGCCAGTTCTCACAGTGGTTGTTCTTTTTATATCCCAACGTTTCTTTTTGCGCTTAGAAACGCCGATGTCGAGTATTACGTAATCAAGATTACTCGGGAAGCTTGCTTGTTCCGTCTTGGATATTTGAGATCTTGATTGCTTTCCTCGAGGTCACAGTTTGTCGGAACAGCACCTCTCATCGTCGAAAGATGAGCAATGGTGTCTATAGGATAGTATACCGATTGGCAAATGCCAGTCGACCCGCGCGGCTGGCTGTGCCAAACGGCCGGCGGTGTCTATCTACGTTGAACTCGACCTCACAGCGGGAATGGTCGACTCCCCTGGCAAAGCGAATCACGGATGCAATCAATGTTGGTTCTTCTCGTTTTGGTCCTTGAATGTAATTTTTTAACTGGGTTTGAATGCTGATTTACTAATTGTTCCTTTGCTGCAGACTACGGGTCCGATTTCGATCGCGGCGTTTATGCGTCAGTGCCTTACTTCCGATGAAGGCGGTTACTATACATCCCGTGGAACACCTGGGAGTGATGTCTTCGGCAAGGAGGGTGACTTTGTTACGTCGCCGGAGATATCTCAAATGTTTGGCGAGTTGCTAGGAATATGGATAGTGACGGAATGGCTGTCGCAGGGACGACGCAGTAGTGGAGTGCAGTTGATGGAGTTTGGGCCTGGAAAGGGAACATTGATGGCAGATGTCTTGCGAGTAAGTCCTCCTTGCTTGATGCGCATGAAGAACACAACTGACGTGCAATACGTATTAGTCTGTCCGGAATTTTAAAGCATTCGCTTCGAGTATTGAGGGTGTATACATGGTAGAAGCTAGTCCGACGCTGCGAGAAATCCAAAAGAAGGCACTCTGTGGAGATGCACCGATGGAAGAATGCGAAATTGGTTACAAAAGCGTTAGTACGCATCTCGGGGTACCAGTTTACTGGACGGAACATATACGCATACTACCAGAGAGTGAGTACTCCGATCCTAGTACTGGGCTATAAAACACCACAAACTAACCACAATGCTAGGTGAGGACAAGGCGCCATTTATCATTGCACACGAGTTCTTCGATGCTCTTCCAATCCACGCATTCCAAGCCGTTCACTCCCCTCCTCCAGAGACGATTAACACACCAACCGGACCGACCACACTTCGACAGCCTTCTCTACCACTAAACGGAACACAATGGAGAGAGTTGGTGGTCGCTACAAATCCTGAGGCAGCACGCGAGCCTGACGACATCGATAGCAGCGACAAGAACGACAAGAAACGTGAGTTCCGACTTGCACTCGCGAAATCACATACTCCGGCCTCCCTCGTCATGCCAGAGATGTCACCTCGCTACAAGGCTCTCAAATCAACCCGCGGATCAACCATTGAAATCAGCCCGGAAAGTCATACCTATGCCCAAGAAATCGCCCGTCTGATCGGAGGGCCTAATCCAACTGATAAGAACCCTTCGCCCGCCCGCACCCCAGCCGGCGCAGCGCTCATACTTGACTATGGCCCCTCGTCTACCATACCCGTCAACTCGCTGCGTGGAATCAAGAACCACCAGGTTGTATCACCGTTCGCAACCCCCGGAGAAGTCGATCTTAGCGCCGATGTAGATTTCACTGGCCTTGCCGAGTCAGCTCTAAATGCTAGCCCTGGTGTCGAGGTATACGGTCCGAATGAGCAGGGAAGCTTTCTACGTTCATTGGGCATTGCGGAAAGAGCAGCTCAGCTACTTCGCAATGTGAAAGATGAAGAGAAGCGTAAACAGATAGAGAGTTCCTGGCAGCGTCTTGTTGAGCGTGGAGGCGGAGGGATGGGAAAGATCTACAAGGCCATGGCTATTGTTCCTGAGAGCGGAGGCAAAAGACGGCCTGTAGGCTTTGGTGGTGAAGTTCGGATGTAATTCCACCAAGTAAATACTTCTATATGTATATATAACTAGAATTTTTGGTCATTTTTCTTTCCGGGTTTTTTCAGAAATGTTAGCCGGATTTTAATAGCTTGATCTATGCATAGTGTAGGAACGCCGACTGCCTTGCTACCGTCAGAGTCTAGTCCACCCAGGTATAAATCGTACGCGAGGTCGTTGGAAACTAAAGGACATCATCATGAAGGACGTAATAATCAATATTCATCCCAGATATCTTTAACGTAGTCGTTAGTGAGCTTCGGGTCGTTGCCGAATATCTCCTGCCACTTGACGAACCCCCCATCAAGGATAAATATGGTCTGTTTGGCGTTTTCAGTTTCCCCAAGTACTCTGGCTCGTTCTCTTGCATATTTAAGAGCAGCTGATGGGCCACGCTGCTGGCTTAGAGCACAGTGGAAGACGACTTTCTCCTTGTCCTTCAGGGTCCGGATAAGTTCCGGGACATGCACGTCAAAGGAGGAGCTGGGAACCCATCGAGAGGTGACGATGTTGCCGCCAACATGGTCTATTACAGTGATAATACAGCCTAGTTAGACGCCGTATGGAGGGATATAAAAGGGCAAGCAGACGAACCAGAATCTCTGACATCTATGATAGCAAGATTGCTGGCCGCTGCGGGTGTTTGGATAATGGTTGAGAGGGTCTCCCGCGCCATTCTAGGCAGACTCGCGATGGTGATGGACGACATGTCTTTGGTATCGCACACTGCTACGAGGCAGACTGGTATCAGCAACGAACGGTATCTTCTTCTCTTCGTCTGCTTCTCGTCTTCGCGTGTGCTCCTCGTCGTCGTCGTCGACTTCTTTCAACTTGCGGCGTCGAAACTTCCTTATCGATAAAAGAAAGGTATACGGGCACGTGATATATTACACGGAAAAACGAGAGGCCGAAGTTTCTCCGATTTTCGACGTTTTTTCGAAGTCGCAGAAAAGCAGCAAAAGAGACGGAGAAAGCAGCGAAAAGAAGCAGAAGAAAGTGACTTTACAGCCCGCCACGACGCTCGTTTTACGCTGATACGGGATATCGGATGCTCTCTGAGCTGTGCTCGCCGTGATGGACGTCCGACGGGTGGCCAATGGCCTGGTTTCGAAGCAGACATCTCTCCTTGTCCGCCAACACTTCTCTCGCCCAGCATGCACATCACAACCACTGTGCCAGTCGATACGAACGATATCTACATCTCAGCCGCTCTCCGATAGACAGAAAGATGCTCCGGTGGCCTCCCAACAGCAGCAGAGACAACAAAAGACACCTTCACCCAGCCAGAACAACTTCGATGTGGACTCAATCAGCAACCTGCTAGACGACGTATACGACCGAGTAGGCTCCTCCAATTCACCCAGCAGCTCAAACGTCACAGCTGGGTTCCGCAACCTGTTCCAAAACGCAGACGTTGGACGGGTGACCCGAGCCGTTCGAGACTCGGTTGCAAACAATACAAATGAGGGAGGGCGCGCTGTTCCGAGATACCCTGAATTAAAACTGACTCCAAAGCTTGGCCGTACAATTGCCGTTGATCCATCGAGAGGCATTGACGTTACAGGAGCGTTTTCTATGATGGAGGCACAGGTTGCGAGGAATAAGATTAAGGCTGACGAAAGGGCTCAGCGGCACCATCTTCGTAAGGGAAGGAAGCGGAAGGCCGCGAAGTCGAAGCTGTGGAGAGCTTTGTTTAAGAAGTCGTTCCAGGTCCAGGTTGCTAGGTGTATGGAGCTGAAGAGGCAGGGATGGTAGTGTGATGTCTGTTTTGGCTGTTGACTGTGGATTCTCTGGTTACAGGCGTGTGAAGAAGTCGAATGTATAACTAGCATTATGAAGGTTGAGATGCCTTTTAATTTCATTTATCATGTACATTTAGTATATCAAAGATTCCTCCAAGCAATGCGTTGGATCTCTGTATCAACGCCTCGCCCCCCAAAAAATACATAAATGTTTTTCAATCTCTTTTCCCGCTGGAGAAGCCATTGTAGCCATGGCTGCCAGCACTGCTCAATCCGTATCCTCCGTAACCACCTATACTCGTTGTGCTGCTTGACGCTGTACCAGCACGCCGTGATCCAAAGAACCCTTTCGTCGAGCCCGGTAGGCTGCCCAACAACCCGTCTCCATCCCACCGACTTCCTTTTCGTCTCGATCCAAATGATCTGTCCCACCATATAGCAAGAATACCTCCAACGACACCAGCCATAACAAACATGCTGGCACGCCATATCATCGCCCCAAACGTACCCCAGCTCCCACCCGGCTGCGTCGAAAGAAAGGAAACATCACTCTCATCCACCCATCCAACCTTGAACGTGAACGTCACTGGCTCCCCGCGGACGATCTTGCTTCCTTTTCCAGCCGCCCAAGGGTCAAGAGGCACGCTTATCGTCCTGTCAAGCTTCCCTTCCTTATCCCGTTTAACTGCCAGTGGGAACGAGTATGCTGATCCGGCTACAACTTGGCCATCCATGCGGTGCTTGGAAGGCTTCGCGTCCTTTGACGGTATGCTTGATGACCGGTGGAAGAGAACATTCATATCCGTCCACATGTGTAAATGGCTATATTGGAGTGTCCCTTGAACCGCAAAAGTCATGGGCGTAAACGGGGTGGAGGAAAGCCCATCTTCGCTCTCCGTTGCATCTTTATCCTTATGCTTCTCCTTTTCCTTCTTCTCCTTCTTCTTCTGCTTGTCCTTGTCCTTGATATCGTCTTTTCTAGAGCTGAATTTGGTGCTGGATCCGGCTAGGGGAGCGGTAGGTATGCGGCATGCGAGAGGGACGTCGGAGTGAATGTAGTATTCTAGTAGGTGATAGAGGGAATCGGAGAGCGAGTCGATGGTGCATGTTATTGTTTCGGAGACACCATAGTGAAATGCAAGCGGCGAGCCGGTCTCATTGCATTCGGAGAAGGGTATATATTGGAGTTTTCCGGCTACATCGGTGACCTATGGGTTGGTTGGTTGGTTAATCGGTGATTCTTGCTGGATTGCTGGATGGTAGGGTGGGAATTGGTTGGAGTTCATACGTGTTGGCCATCGTCACTGTAGGTTGATTTCGCTGTTAATAGGGCCCTGAAACGGATAATTGGAGAAGAGTAGTCTTACATTGACCTGTTTAGACAGCTGATGGGGAGGTTATCGCCGTATTTGTATGCTGGTTTTGCTGGATTGTCCAGGTACGTTAACCGGGATGCGCTCACGACAGCGCAGAGACTGGAGTAAAGTACCAGGCAGAGCGGACTGGATATGTGTATCCGCTTGAGAAAAGTCATATTAATGCAATATTCCTCGCTTACGGGCGTTCGGACGATAGTGCGGTAGGTGTTCTTTTCTGGGGATTCAATTCCATCCACTACGCGGTGTTATCAGACTTGGCGGTACTCAGGGGCAAATCTATCTATATATATCATGACGACGACAAAGAGCAAACAATATCTACTGTGTTACATGATATAGTTACTTCGTGGTTGAATTACTAGGATAGAACGCTCAGGGGGGATGTTCAAAGACCGGCCGGTAATAAGATACAAGGTTTCATAGTTATTAAACGCATATGCAGCAAAGTCGTCATTATCTAGCTACGAGAAACAAAGTCATTTGTCGTTATCCCTTACTTACAAAAGGGAGGCCTTCTTCTTGAAGGCAGCGATGAGCCCACTGGTTGAGGCGTCGTGGTCTCCTCCAGCGCCAGAGGTCTCGAGCTCCTTTTGGATCTTCTTAGCAAGGACCTTTCCGAGCTCGACACCCCACTGGTCGAAGGAGTTGATGTTCCAGACAGCGCCCTCAGTGAAGGTGACATGCTCATAGTATGCGATCAGAGCACCCAGAGTAGCCGGAGTGATCTTCTGAGCTAGGATGGAGGTGGTAGGCCTGTTGCCCAGGAAGGTCTTGTGTGTGACCAGTTCGTCAGGGGCACCCTCGGCCTTGACCTGCTCGGGAGACTTGCCGACCATGAGAGCTTCTGCCTGTGCGAGGAAGTTCGAGGCAAGCATACGCTGGTGTTTGCCTCCCTCGACGGGGTTATGGGATTCAGCTGCGAGGATGAAGTCGGTGGGGATGAGCTTGGTGCCCTGGTGCAGCAGCTGGTAGAAGCTGTGCTGGGCATTGGTGGCTGGCTCACCGAAGAGGATAGCGCCAGTGGTGTATTTGGTATGTTCACCGTTGCGGGTGACGGCCTTGCCGTTACTTTCCATAGAAAGCTGCTGGAGATAGGCCGGGAAACGGTGCAGATACTGGTCAAAGGGGGAGACAAGGTGAGTCTGGGCGCCAAAGAAGTTGCTGTACCAGACGCTCAGCAGGCCGCCGAGAACAGGGATGTTTTGTTCCAGTGGAGTCTCGCGGAAGTGCTTGTCCATGGCATGGGCACCTGCAAGGAACTGGTGGAAGTTGTCGAAGCCGATGTACAGGGCAACGGAGAGGCCGATGGCAGACCAGACGGAGTAGCGGCCACCGACCCAGGACTCGAAGCCGAACATATTCTTCTTGTCGATGCCGAACTTGGTGACTTCCTGCTCGTTGGTGGAGAGGGCAACAAAGTGTTTGGCGATGTGAGCCTCGTCTTTGGCGGCCTTGAGGAACCAGTCCTTGGCCGTGTTGGCATTGGTAGTCGTCTCCGCCGTCGTGAACGTCTTGGAGGCAATGAGGAACAGAGTCGTCTCTGGGTCCGAGTTGCGCAGTGCTTCAACGATGTGAGTGCCATCAATGTTGGAGACGAAATGGATATCAAAGCTCCGGTCAGCGTACGACTTCAACGCCTCCGTCACCATAACAGGGCCACTATAGCTTCAATTAGCACTTATCCAGCCAGTATGACGCCGTCCAACGGAAGACTTACAGGTCTGAACCGCCAATGCCAATGTTGATGATGGTCTTGATCTTCTTGCCGGTGTAGCCCTTCCATTCACCACTGCGGACCTGCTCGGAGAACTGCTTCATGTGCTCCAGCACCGAATTGACGTCCTCAACGACGCTCTTCCCGCCAACCTGCATCGGCTGGTTGCTCACATTGCGCAGGGCAACATGGTAGACGGCCCGGTTCTCGGTGAAGTTGATGGGCTCGCCCTTGAACATTTGCTCGCGCAGCTCCTCGACGCCGGCCTCCCGCGCCAGGTTAACGAGAAGGGAGACCGTCTCGTCCGTGATGAGGTTCTTGGAGAAGTCGAACAGCGTCTCCGACTTGTCTGCTTCGTTGCAAAAGGTGCGAGACAGCTTCTCGAAGCGCTGCGAGTCCTTCTTGAACTCCTCGTTGAGCTGGATATGGCGGCCCGCAGTGGTATGGTGCTGCTCCAGGGCCTTCCAGGCCTCCAGGCTGCTTGCTTGTGCGAACGGCATCTTGTCTGTGTCCTTTGTATCTCTTCTGCTTGTCTCTGTGCCCTCGTCCTAGCCTTCTGTTGATGCTGTCTGCACCGAGTCTCAAGTGTGTTCGAGTTGGCGATGATGTCAGGCTGAGGGGCAGCGCCTGGAAGCTAGTTACAGCACGTCACTTATTCAACTATGATGTAGCTAAGTCAGTTAAAGAACTCCAAACCCACGACACAACGAGGTCAGCTACCTGCCCAGGTATATATAACTGACGAAAAGACCAGACATCCGCAACAACCGGCCTGCTGCTTTCTTGCTTGCTGGCTCCGACCGGTTCCTGCGAGAATTCCTCGATCCCGGGCCGGTGGTGCCACAGGCAAGCAGGTAACGCGGTAGTTGGATTATTCAGCCCGCGAGCTGCCCAGCCTGTCTAGACTTGAGGGCGCCGGCGACGATGATAAAGACGGAGACGAAGACGGGCTGGAAGATGACAAAAAGACGCATAGAAGAGGAAGAAGACGAGATGAAACCGAAGAAGTCAGCATTAGATTACATATCGACACAGCTAGCTACATCTTTGCCCACCAGATACGATATACCCTCCCCCAGCATCAACCACCGTCCATTACGTTTCGTTTAGCGGATAGAGATATAAGAAGCGAAGTCTTTAAAGCAGGTTCTGGACGAGACCGAGAGCGACGATGGCGGCAGCAGCGCCCTGGACAGCGTTGTGGTTGGCAGCACCGGTGTAGATTGGTGGGCTGGTGGCGGTTGGGGACTTGCCAGTGCCGGTTGGGGTCTTGCCAGTGGCAGTTGGAGTAGTTCCGGTTCCAGTGGGCTTAGGAGCGCCGGTTGGGGGAGTGCTGCCGGTGGGATAGGGGGCGCCAGAGGGCTTGCCGTTGCCGTTGCTGAAGGTTGGGGGGAGCTCGATGTTGTGCTGTTTGGCACACTCCTTGGGGTCAAGGCCCTGATAAGGTCGTTAGCAGTCTGTCTGATGATACCCATAAGTCTGGCTATAAGGAGTTAAAAATGACTTACGTTGGGGCAGCAGTATCCCTTGGTCAGACAGAAGCTTCCTCGTGGGCAGGGATCTAGTTATCAGACAGGTCAGCAGATGTTTTGATACGAAGTTAGGAGAGTCTCGATTTCATGGACATACAGCCTTCAGAGCAGCAGAGATCGCCCTCAGTTGGGTTGTAGCAGACCTTGCTGTCGGCACACAGCTCGAATCCGGCACCAAAGGCATCGACACAGTTCTTGCCGCGGCCCTGGGTGGTGCCGGGGATGAAGGAAGAGCCGCCGTTCTGACGGGCACGGAGCTCACGGAGGGCCTTCATGGTATGGGGCTCAACCTTGCGCCATTCTCCCTCACCGGCCATGACGCCGCTCACAAGGAGGGCAGCAAGAGCAAAGATTCCAGTGCGCATCTTGACGAAGATCTGAATTAACTGATTAAGAGATTATAGGGTATAAAGAAGGTATTCTTGGTATTCTTGCTCGTTTTCTTGCTTGGAATGAACGAATGACTGATTCTGAGATGGGAGGTAGGTATATATGTCTTCGACACGGGCATTGAGCTCCCTCTTATACAGTCCACCGTTCCCCCATGGGCTTCGGCGGCTGAAACGAGCGAAAAGGCAGTCAAGCTGCCCACCGCCGTGATCATATTGCTTAGGTTCAGCCTTTCGTCTCCACAGCCAGTGCCATCGCAGCTGGAAACGAGCTCCGGTCCATATGGCAATGTGCTTGTTTACCCCTTTTTGCCATCCAGGCACTTTAGGCTCTCTGGTGAGCTCTAAGCCGCAGCCACGAGAAGATAAAAATAGTTTATTCTGCCAAACAACGCTGTGCCATCCTATCTTAACCTTACCCGTGACTATACTAACCACCCGTCTATCAGCTAATTTGTCGGTTAATATCCGAGTATCATGCTAGCTGAAAAGATGCTCGTTTGATCAAACAGAAATCTTCTCTGCTCACTGGTCCTTTCTTCACCGTAGTTACAAGAAAAGAGCAGCCTGACAAAAAGGACTTGTTTAGTACGGAGTAGACAGACTAATTTCTTCTGCACCAGGGGATAAACACACCAGACGGAACGTTGCGAGGCTGACACGAAGACGACCTGTTCGTTAAGCGTCGTGCCCAGCCATCGCCCAAGCTCTTGACCAGGTCCAGGCTTCAGCCATCCAGTCGGCCTTTCAACGGCAACTGGCCAGCAACAAACGAAAGGTGCAAAAAGGGGCAATATAAGCACCCAATACAATCGAGTTATACATCAAGCTAATTAAAATAAGCTGCCTAAATAGTCGTGGCTCAATTACAGGCCGCTTGCACTGCCCGAAACGAAAAAAAATAAACAGCGTTCTGCCTTGTCACTGGCCGAAGGAAACTCACGGGTCCAAACCTATCAATCACATTAAGGACTTCTGCGCTGGAGGTCTCGTCAAATAATTAAATAGTTAACGGGTTATGCGGTTGCTGGCTGGGAATTAACCTTGACCTCCGTGCTTCCAGACTTAGATTTGAAAATCATCGTCTCATTGGCATTGATGACCAGCTCAGTCACATCGTTTGCATCCTCGTCCCGCAATTGATGCTGCACCAGTCCTTCTAGGTTGCTCGAATTAAACGCTTGATCTGTCGTCGCTTTTGCCAGCGCAGTAGCTAGTTGTGCGCCCTTAGAACCTGGCTCGCTGCCTGTAGCGAGGGCTTCTTCAACCTTCTGTACCTCCTCCCTAGACTGCTTGTCTAGTATGTCAACCGGAAACACCGATTCGATTGGATCAGAGTGCCAGAGCGCCTGCAGGTCCTCGCTGTACCAGACGATAAGCCATGAGTTGTCACCACCAGAGCTAGGGCGGGAACTGGAGCTAGCTGGGTATTCGACTTCCAAGTCAGGCGTGGATGTTTTGCCCGGCTGCAAAATTGCCCATTCTTGACGGCTCTTGCGGGTGTTGCTGCACTTGTGAATCACTGAGATGGCAACGATAGGCCTTGCGGTATTGTTCACCACTCTGACACAGGCAGTTTTCGTGTTTGCTGCTTGGCTAGGCAGCAGGTTAGAGGCTGCTGCCATGGCAGACTTGAGTGAGGCGAGCATGTCTGTGCCTTGGCTAAGAGAGAGAAACGCCTTGAATATACGTCGCGAGATGCCTTCTTCTTTCCAAACGAGAGAGTTGATTATTATCTCACTTGAGCTTTGTTATAGCTGATCGCGTCCTTATATACACACCTCTCGAGTAACGGCTCGATGGCTGGCTGACCTCCAGGCCATGAATGACTCTCTATCGCATGATCTGAGGTCTGCAGCTTCCTGACTATCATTACCAATATGTAGCGGCCCATTTCAAGAACCTCGTAAGCTCCTACCTGAATATCCAAGTTTGCCCGTCGAATCAGGTTGGGAAAGATCGGGATCTGCACAGGCACCCGCCTTGTTTTGTTTGTAGACGCAACACATGGTTTCACACCTTTGGACTTGATCTACCTTCCATTGTGTATCAGGCGGAAGATGGTCCCGAGAGGGTTGATCATTGTGACATCTTTTCTCGTGTTCGAGAATTTCGAAGACCCTCGCGCTACTGCCATTGAGTGATAGACAAGATGTGTATTTGTTAACACAAGTTCATGACCTGTTCGGTGTGCTTCCAGCTGTCCATTCACGAGCGGACTGTACAACTGTCACTGTGAGTTGGCGGGATACTCTACACTTTTTAAAAGTCGTAAGACTTCGATGTCTAATACAGACGGAAACTTATACGAACCATTGCTGGCGCAAGGCCATGCGATTCGCTGGATTATCTCAAAGCTAGAAGATCCGTAGCTACGGCTTGTGCAGTTGATACAACTGTAACCGACACTCTACTAGCAATCTTGCCAGGAACAGAGGACACGCCTACCCAGTCACTGGAATAGCTTTTGGAACAACTTCAATGGGGCCAATAAAGTGGTTATCACACCAGAAAGCTCCGAAGACTTCATGACGATAACCACGTCGGTTCCCGGTTGGTATCTGGAAAATTTTTACTGGCCCGATTGAAGATAGCTGATCAGCTATTTCCATAACCATTCTCTCTTTCTCGCAAAACTGGCTGTTAGCAATGCAAGGACTTGGCCTTCTCTAACGTTGTGTGGTTGTCGCAAGTGCCCGGGTCATCAGGCGTCGTTGACAGAAGCATAAGATCAAGGAGCTGAAAAGGCCTTGACGCGTGCTGACTTCACGCTTGAAGAGGGTCCTTTCACATTCACATAACTAGTGCAATCATTCAATATTTAAATGCGTCAAGCCATTGGAGGCACAAGAATGGGATCGAGGGCATGGCCATGGGTATCACAACATTGGCGTTGTACTCGGGTAGACTGAAGAGTCCCTATTCTCATAATTATCAAGCCGACTTGGGCCCGCAGTAACGTAATTCTTGTAAGCATGCATCCCCAGTACGTCATAGAGCTTCTTCTATCTTTTTTCGTCTTCTCCTCCTTTATCGTCTTGACTTGCACTCTATCCCTCGTCGTCGCTGTTGATTTCTATCAAATTGAAAAAGTGGAAATAAAAATAAAGCGGTGGCACGTGATACCAAGCACGGGCCACCCGCTCCGTCTCTAAAAACCTCCATCAAAAGAGCATCAAAAGGCACGAGAAGAAAGACCAGGAAAGTGACGACAGGCGTGAAGAGAAGTAGCGCACGCGATATCCATAGAGATGACCGCTTGGTTGTGCTCAATATAAGTGCAACAGTCTTTTGCCCTCGCCTTACAATTTCGGATCCTCTGATTTTTCATTGGGTTCAAGGTTGCGTTTCCTAGGATAAGGCGTGAGTAGAGAAGCAAGATGTATAATCCATATCAAGGTAAGGAAAACTAGCCAATTTACTTGCCTGTTCCGAATGCTAACCATTTTTCTACAGCTTCAGGGCCGTTTGGCCAACCGCCAGATTTTGGAAGCTATCCTGGGGCGCCGCCAGGTCTCGGTGGTGAGCTTTGCCTGTCCCCTTTCAATCGCGTAACTTGCATGTTGTATAGCTAAACTAAGGCTTTTTTTTTTATTTGGAAAGGCCCGCCAGGAATGGCACCTCCGGGAATGGCACCTCCAGGGACCGGAGCACCGCCAGGAATGCAGCAGCACAATGCCCAACAGCCAGGCCGGCCCGGCGGCTTCCCACCAAACTTCCAGCCTCCCGCGAACATGCCAAATATCAATTTCTCAGCACCCGTAATTCGCCTAGGTACCTCGGGTCCTCCTAAATCGACGACTCCGCATGAAGGTGGCCGTGAGCGGGGTGGAGACGCGGGAGGGCGCAGGGGAGGCCAGCATCACACAGCGTCGATAGAATCCCAGCGTCAGAATATACGCGAAGCGATCATGCAGCTGCAGCCGCCGACAAAGGATGAAATTGTACGCACAGTTTTTGTCAGTGGTATAACCGAAGGCACAGGCGGTGACGAAGGTGTTGAACGTATTTTACGGTCTGCGGGTAATCTTAGGCGCTGGATTCGAGCAACTGATGCGGATAATAAGCCGTGCAAGTTTGGTTTTGCAGAGTACGAGGACCCAGAAAGTCTTAATACCGCTGTCGAGGTGCTAAGGGATATCGAAGTTCCTGTCAACAAACAGCGGCCATCTGATGGCGAAAAGGATGATGAAGAAGTTGAAATGAGCAAACTAATGGTAGGTTTAAATACTCGTATACTTTACTTTACAGTGCTGACAAGCTATAGGTGGTTGTCGATGATAGCTCTCTCAAATACCTCGAGCAGTATGAAACCAACAACACTCAGGAACCAGAAGCAGTACATTTACGTCTCGAAACTGCAAGAAAAAACCTCGCAGCTGTTTTAGCAGAACTAACCAACCCTTCAGCTCAAATCAAAGGGGAGGGAGTGGACAAGGATGGTGATACTACCATGGGTGATGGTGAAAAGCAGGCTGACGGAACTTCTGCTGAAGTGATTACCATCCCAATAACTGTGGAGGATGAGCTTTCCGATATCCCTGCCGAGATGAGAGAAACTGTTGCAAAGGAGATTGCGGCGTTCCGTGAACGGAGCAACCGCCGGGATCTCGAACGGCTGAAGCGAGAGGAGGAGATCGAGTCCCTAGAGCGAGCTAGGAATGCAGGCCATTCGCGTTCGAACAGACTGTCTTCTCCGCCTCGTTCCACGCCTGCCCCTGCCGGAGGTGCTAACGGGATTCCACTTGGGCCTCGAGATAGAAGCGTACCAAATGCGCCGTCTGGGCCAAAGGGATATGGACAACAAATTCCAAAGGACTACCAAAAGGGTGTATCGTTTGTTAACAATGAAACAGACATTGCTCCGGAAGACGACGATACCGATGCAAGTGATTCTGAGGTTGAAAGGAGACATCAGGGAAAACGAAATGCAGAGCTGGAGAAACAAGCCTTAGATCAGGAACGGCGATGGCTAAATCGTGAAAGAAGCAGGACAGCAGCTGTAGAGAGAGAGAAGAATCGAGAACGGGATGAAGGGCAACGTGCAGAAGAAGAGAAGCGAGCCATGGCCAAACGATTGCGGGAGTGGAATGATGATACGGAAGCCAGCCGGAAGGTGGAGGAATACTATGCTGACCGTGGAGTGTGGATACGCAAGCGTGCTGCGTTCCGGAATAGGGAGGCAACCATGGATGAAGCCGACAGGGCGGCCGAAGAGCGAGAAAAGGCCAAAGAAGCTCAGCAACAAGAACAAGCCCGCGGCATGGCTGAAGACTTCCTCGCCCGTCAAGCCCAGGAGATGGAGTCTCGCAACCAACCTCGCAAGGAGCCCCAACGGTTCAAGCTATCTCTTGGAGCCGCTGCTCAGAAAGCTCAACGGAGAACCGTTGCTGAGGTTGAGGGTCTGCTTGAAGATGAAGAAGATACTTCTGCAACTGCCAGACGCCCTCTGACCGACATCAAATTCGATTCTATTGCCGAAACCGCAGGACTTACAGATGAAGAACGTGCGCAGGCTGCTAGACAGCTTGCGGCCGAGATTCCTTCAGATAAAGAGGGCCTATGGAAGTGGGAAGTCAAGTGGGAGTTTGTGGATGAGGCAGTCCTCGGCGACCAGCTTAAGCCTTTCGTTGAGAAGAAAATCATGGAGTATCTCGGTGTCCAAGAGCAGATGCTGGTTGATGTTGTGGAGGAGCATATCCGGAAGCGCGGCAGCCCTCAGGATCTCGTGGAACAACTCGAAGGGGTAAGCTTTCCGTACTCTTGTTGCTTAATCTCGTTGTTGTCACGCTTGCTAATACATTATTCAACTAGGCTCTGGACGAGGAGGCTGAAGTTCTGGTGAAGAAGCTGTGGCGTATGATTGTGTTCTTCTCTGAAAGCGAGAAGAGAGGTCTCTCTAGCTAGTCTTGAATATATGGCACTTCTCTTGCTAGAGATGTCTGTAAACTAGAAATGAAACTACTGGCGTTTTTTCTCTTTGATTGCTTACCTACCTAGGGTAGTTATTGGTTTGAAGATCTGGTTACAACTCAGAAGGGTTCTCGAACTAGCGAATCAGATAAGATAATATAAATTTAGGTAACCATGCAAACCTTGCAACCTTAGAACAACATCATTGTATTAATCACATTTGACGAGTCAATCCTGAAAACAAGCTGAAGGGAGCAAATATATAAACTAACTGAATGCCCAAACGCTTCATGATATCGTGTCTTATGCAGTCGTGACCCATTTGCTTCCAACGCCGTTTTGAAATGATACCCAAAAATTTTCCAACAGTCATTAAGTCACATATCCTCCAGTCATTAACCATTATTAGCCATCAAGAAGCCATCGACTAGCAGTGCGGTCGTGGTTTAAGATCCGTTTCAGCCGGTACATTATCAATAAATCCATGTGCGAATTGAAGGAATCGGAAGCAGTCAGCGAAATTGGTCATGAGGCCTAAGGAGATACGAACGCCTCCGCCAGTCGTCATGCCCATATCCAACAGGAATTCATCAAAGGTCTTCGGGTCACCCTCTTGCTCCTTTGCCGCCGCTTCTTGGTTGAATGCGTTGAGGAGGGCTTCTTCGGTGAGGTGGAATGCTGCTTCACTGGCACCGGGGTTGCAGAAGCATCCGGTGCGGAGGGAGAGGTTGATAGGGAGAGCGCGTTGGTCGACGACACGTTCATCTATAACGCGGCCGGTGGGATCGAAGAAGTTAAGTGTTATGGTTCCGCCGCGGTTGGTTGTGTTTTGAGGTCCGTATACGATAACGACACGACGGCCGTTGGAGTGACGGAGTTCGAGGAGGCTGTCGATTAGCCACCCGGCGAGCATCTTGACACGGCCGCTGATAGTTTCCATGCCGATACTGGATAAGTGGTTGAGGCCGATCTCGACGGCAGGTAGGCCGAAGAAGTCGACGCTACCATCTTCGAATACTTCGTGCCACTTCCGAGTTGTGATCTGGTTCTGGTTCTGGTTAGAACCGTTTGTGCTATTAAGCAGGTCCATAGTCATGGTAGGGACTTTTTCGCCTGATACCCATGGGCGCTGGAGCTTTGCCAGTGTCTGCTTACGAGCTATCAGACAGCCGACGCCAGAGGGATACCCAAACATCTTGTAGAAAGATATTGGGACAAAGTCGGGATGCCATTTGGACAAGTCTAGACGATTTGCCGGGACAAAGCTGGCAGCGTCTAAAACAACATCCCATCCATGAGCCTGGGCTTCCTCAATCCATTTCAACGAATGCTGGACACCGCTGAAATTTGATTGGGCGGGGAATGCGAAGAGACGGTGGCCACCTGAACTCTTGTTGCAGAGTGATTTTTTCAGGAACGCCTCATCTATATTCAGGTTTGGTGGCACAACAGGTACATGAGTGATGGATGTCCCTTTGCTACGAGCAAACTCTCGAAGACCTTGCACGGAATTATGGTTGTCCCACAGAAGGAGCAGCTCTCCCTGCGATGTGAACGGGTAAGACTCCCCTACTAGCTTCAGGGCGTGAGATGCATTGGCTGTGAAGATAACCTCGTACTTGTCCGGAGAGGCCCGGAAGAATGAAAGGACATGTTCTCTGATTCGCTGGATTGCCGCTGCGTTCGAGGTTGAGCTGGAGTCGCTGTAGATACTGGACCGGAGCAGGTCGAAGTGTGTGCGGAGCTGCTTCTCGCCGTACAAGCCCGCGCCGGTATAGTCTAGGTATACATGGTCCTTTAAGGGGGTGTATTCTGTTGCTCGCAGGGTATCGATCTCCTTTGTCTCACCAAACGTCGGGCTCGCCCTTCTAAAATCCCGTTCAGCCTTCTTCATTGCACGAAGTTGCTTCCATTTGGTTAACAGTCGAGGCCTTCGGGGCTCCTGGTGCTCTGGCAGCTGACGGCTCATACAAGAACCCATATTTTAAGGGGTGAAAGGGAAACAAAAAAAAAAAAAAACCAAAATTAAAGGACAGCACAACCGGCTACTAGCTGCAGGAGCTCAAAAATGTCATGAGTTGGAATAGGGGGGGATTGAGGGAAAAGGCCCTCTCCAACATAGACACTGCCTGCTACTTAAAAGGAGAGGACCCCCAATTGCTTGACCGAGCAGACAGCGGAAGCTTGCCCGTTGGCATGCATCCTCCACTCCCCACCCCGTCACCTGAACAGGTAGCTCAGGGAACGGAGCCTGGCGTATATGCATGGGTGCAACATGTAAGTCTGCGGGTTATGCGGGCTACGCTGTACCCTGGACTTTGGCCAAATTCCCCGGTCAAGGCGCTTCGTAAAGGGTTCCTTATCAGGACTGGCGTCTCCGCTAGCGCATCACGGTATAGACGGGTCGTCGCCGCTTGGACCCTCACTCAAACCTTAATGGGGTTCCATTAGTGCGTGTTAGTAAGCTCCTAGCTATTTTTATTTTCCAGCCCTGAGTGTCAAATTATCAAAGAATTATAGCTAATATCGCAACCATACAAGCCTAATTGCTCCGTACAAAGAAAGGGCCTGGTGCCTTAGCTCCCGTAAAAGCGGTGGTAGTATCAAATAGTCAATAGCATATTCTTTAGAGTACCTCCCCATCCTTTATGTAGGTGAAAAACTGCCAGTCCACATGGCGAATTGGACGGATTGTATTGAGGGACTTGACAAATTCCCAATACTCAGTATAAGCACCCTCAACCTCCCAATTTACCAGACCAGTAGTTAGCCTGAATATTTACCCTATTCTCTCCATCGCCTTTAATGATCATCTAAGGGTAGATTTGACCCCATCCGGCGCAGAATACTGCCCAGGGCGCAACCTATAGCTCACGATTGATCTCCTTCATCATGGGCTTGTTGAGGGCCACCGTGCCCTCTCTGGGGTCCCCATTATCATGCGCGTGCAATGCTTCTTCATCTGGAGTTATACAAACAGTATCAACGTCTCATTTGGATTTGGTGTGGCCTAAAGTCGCGCTGGAAATAGTTTCGCGATAAACTGCGAGATGCTGGCGCCCGAGACGAAGCTCAAGCCTGTATACCAGACATGGACTCTGTTAGACATTACTTCCAGCTTCAATAAAGCTGGTCTTGGGAGTAATTGAAGGTGACTTGATGTTGGTCTCTAAGACCTGAACGCGCGTAACGAGACCTTTCATTTAAAATAATCAACTTAAGTCGCTTGCTATTGGCTAGCTAGCTATGACTGAGAAATTATCCATAATTATACGCTACTTTTAGTCATAAATCGCCAGTAATCCACATTCTATTGGCTGAGAAAGTGAAAATCAATACGTTTCTTGGCCAATGAGAGCGCTATCCTTGGGAAACAACAGGGATACAAATGACTACCCGATCAGGCAATATCCGAGTCCATCAAATCAAAAAAATGCATCGCGAAGTCATTTTCGACTTTTCAGCTCTCGACCCCGATATACTCCCTTGCCTGCCCGGCTTGTTTACCTTGCAGGGCCTGCATGTACTAAGGAACTTGGCCTGCCAGCATGCATATCAGAGTGGCTTCGCTGTTAAATTCGCCTCGCTCCCGGTCGAAGCTCCACCGTCTGGCATCCTGGAGATGGCCTGCATCGGGTGCAGCCACCGCAGCCAATAGAGAGTAATCAGGACAGAGTACCGAGCATATTACGTCGTAGTGCAGACGGCCAGTGGACGGGCGATTTTACCCTTTCTCATTGCAATTTGGCAGCATATTCTTATGGCCTCGACATGGGTGCTGGGTGCCAGGTGCAGATGCATGCAACACGGCTGTTTCCAGGGTGCAATGCAGGGCGGCCACGGCAGACCAAGGGACCAGGGGAAATGCCGCGTTGAGACATTTATAAGATGTACAGCAGCGCTGCGGTGAATAGGGGGGCTTAACGGTGAGCAAGATGGATGTCTCTACGTCTACGGCGTATGGGGCCAATGTTTCTATTACTTTAATTAGAGGCACCCAGTTCGCTAACCTTTTACGCAGGCTTTAACTGGCTTTTACCTTGCCTCTAGCGAATCCTTTTACCTGGCTTTGCTCTTGCCGGGCCTTTTCCCGGGCTTTCCCCCTCCTCCCCGCCCTCTGCAGGCCCCTGCTAGGCCTTGCCTTAGGCCTTGCTTTAGGTCTTGCTTTAGGTCTTGCTTTAGGCGGCGCAAGGACCCAGAAGCCACCAGGCATCTCTCCACCGTTTAGCGCCCGCTTACTTATATAACTTACAGGCTGACTGAGAAGCCAGAAAAAAGGTGACAGGTCGCATCTCTACCGCACCATTTTCCACTTCTGAGATAGCATCAAGCGCAAAAAGGAGATCAGGTCTTCGATCGTCCGGAGAGATCTTGCAGTAGTTCAAGCATCGACATCCACCCACAGCCGCATACACTGCTTTTTGAGACAAGACGGCCAGCATGAAGATCACCGGCTTCACTTCGCACGATGTGCGCTTCCCTGTACGTTTCTATCTTCCTATCTTCCTGGGGGCCGGGAACTGAACCCCCTATACGCCGTATATACTCTGTCCCTTGGGTCTTATCATATTATTCCTTCGCTAACCAAATTGATGGGCCTGCCTATCGGGTATTACTCCTAGACATCGTTAGACAACACCGGCTCTGATGCTATGAATGCAGCTACTGACTACTCGGCTGCCTACTGTGTGCTACAGACTGACTCGGCTCATAGCGGCCATGGTATGGTATGTATGTGACATTGTTTTGTACGACGGAATAGCGCCTTGACTTGTCGCTGCCTCTCAGCTCTGATCGCTCACCCAAACCCTCGGGTTTGCCCTTTGCTTTTTTGCCCTTGCTTTTTCATTTCACGCTCCTGCAGGCTGACTAGAAATTGTCGCCCGTAAAAGACTTTTACCATCGGCCGAGGTAATGAGATTGTCTGCGCGGCCATTGATGCGCTGGCAACGCTACTGGTTGGAAAGGAGCTTGATTCCCTAACCGCTGATTGGGGCAAGACATGGCGCTACCTGGTATCTGACAGCCAGCTACGATGGATCGGCCCTGAAAAGGGCGTCATCCACCTTGCGCTCGGAGCCATCGTCAATGCTCTGTGGGATCTATGGGCAAAGTCCCTCAACAAACCCGTATGGAGAGTTGTTGCAGACATGACGCCCGAAGAATTGGTGAAATGCATTGATTTTAGATACATTACTGACGCACTTACACCAGACGAAGCCATCAAGCTGCTGCAGGAAGTGGAGCCTGGCAAGAAGCAGAGAATTGAGGAGGCGGAAAGTAACCAGGCTGTTCCGGCGTATACGACCAGTGCTGGCTGGCTCGGCTACGATGAGGAGAAGGTGAAGAGCCTGCTTGAGCAAAGCGTCCAGGATGGATACCGTTATTTTAAACTGAAAGTTGGCGGAGACCTGGACACGGATAAACGGCGGTTGACGATCGCTAGGGAGGCCATTGGATACGACAAGGGAAATGTTCTGATGATCGATGCCAATCAGGTATGTCTACCCATCTTTTTATCTGCTTTCTTGTCGAGACCATTTCCCCTATACGGGAGTCCTTTCGCCTAAATAAGCGAACTATACGCTTCTATCAAACAACAACGCTATGACTCAGAACTATATGGTCGAGCCAGATTGATAGCTGGCTGTTCTTCCAAAGTAATTAACTGTGAGTTTAGGTGTGGTCAGTTCCCGAGGCTATCTCACATATGCAAGAGCTCGCGCAGTTCAAGCCATGGTTTATCGAAGAGCCTACTTCCCCAGACGACATTCTGGGCCACGCAGCCATCCGCAAAGCCCTTCAAGACACGCCACACGGTACCATTGGAGTCGCAACGGGTGAAATGTGCCAAAACCGCGTTATGTTTAAACAATTCCTCCAGTCAGGCGCCCTCTCCGTCATCCAGCCAGATGCATGTCGAGTTGGCGGCGTCAACGAGTGTCTAGCTATCCTACTACTGGCCCGTAAATTTGGTGTCCCGGTCGTGCCCCATTCAGGAGGCGTGGGCCTGCCAGAGTACACGCAGCATCTGAGCACGATTGACTATGTAGTGATGACAGGGAAGAAGAGTGTGTTGGAGTATGTGGACCACTTGCACGAGCACTTCGAATATCCGGCTCGGGTGCGGAACGGGTATTACGTTACACCCATGGAGCCTGGGTATAGTGTGCAGATGAAGGCGCGTAGCATGGAAGAATACTCCTTTCCAGGGGAAGATGGAAAGAGTTGGTGGAGATCCGAAGAGGCGAAGCCGGTGCTACAGCGTCCTCGTGTGGTTTGATCCAACACAAGTTAACTATACACTAGATCTCAATTTATGGGTCTGGCCCCATCATGCACAGTGATTAGTGGTTTACTCCGGACTATATTTATCGAGGCGCACCAGCATATCAAAAATCTATTGATTTTCCAGGTAGGGATATGGAAATAATCAATTGAACTACTCCATAGCGGCCGGTTTGTAATCAGCGGACCGCTTCCCCCTTGTCCCCCCCAAGAACTGGTCCAGCGAACGAAACCACTCTGAGACCCAGGTAATTAGTTATATGTTCTAGAAAAAAAACCGGGGTATCATATCCTTGTAAATGTTGGCTTATAACAGGCGAAATATATGCATCGGAGCGAGGGGGGGCAACCATGACCTTGGAGGAAAAAGACGCCCCCTGAACAACTCACACATACATCAAAGTAGGAGATCTCGAGGGTGCACTCCGAGATTATCCTGAGGGGCTGTCATGCATTCGTGGCCATTCTGAACCAGTCAAAGCTGCAGAAGGCGAGAGATATACCGAGAGCAAAGTGCGTATTAATACATTTGCTTGCAGTTGTACTGCGTGTCGCAAAAACAAGATATGTACGCATATCACCAAAAGTCAACTTTAACAAAACAGAAGAGGGCCAGATCCAGATCCCGAATGGAGGCCCCCAAAATAAACATACATATACCAGAAGACCAGTTCCGGGGCCACCGAAGTCATAAGGCTGCAGCTTCAGAGTTGGGAAAGCAGACTACGAAACGAAACGTAGGAATTCCCAATATCGTACAAAATACTCATAAACGTACATTCGCCAAAAACACGTGAACTACCGCCACTGGATTCCAAATATTGTGGATCCGGCCTTTGCAGCGGCCTTCTTGGCCGCATCCGCGTTCTCAAGGTATACTCGGCGATGACCTAGATTCATACATTCAGCCGTGCACGTTGCTATAAAAGGTTGAAGGTGAGGCTGAATGCTCAATCCTTTCGCTTACCTTTGACATCTAGAGCCAACAGGTGGTATTCAAAGTCGTGCTGTCCAGCCAACTTGACCAGGTGGACTAACACGACACCATCGTTGAGTGGGCCGCTGACCTGTTAAACGTTGCGTGTTAGCCAGGTATGAGCATTCGGTCAAACGGATCATGGCGAGGATAACGTACGTGGAAATTCATCCTCATATGCTCGTTTCCTTTCCTATCTGTCTCAATTGTGGTGCTTGAAGGATTGGTTAGCAGCCGTTGTATCACCGTTTTTGGGGTAGCTGGGCTATTTACGCAATTGGCCGGTTTCTCGTCCACTTGTTCCATGACGTCTCCCCATAGGCTCTGATCTGCTTGCTATCTCCAAGAAGAGCCAGGCATTCCTCGCTCTCTTTCACGCGATTCACTGCACGATTGAATTGGTTCGTCTTGCTGTCCGGCGCAAATACGTCGAGGTATAAAAACGTGAAGACTCCGCACTACGGATGATGTCACCAATTAGTATCAATTTTCCATGGTGACCCCGCGTACTGGGGCAGTTTCGTAGCTGCTGTAGTCTCCAAACTAACCGTCATCACTGCGCCGGCCACAATGACGAGAAAATTGACGGACTGCTGTGTAGCCCTTGCCACCTTTTCCGCTCGCGAAAGTTGTCCCCATTTGACTGTACCATCATCACTGGCCACAGTAATCGATTTCCTCGTCGATTGGACGTTCTTTGAGCCACCTAAGCTGCTCTGTGTCGCATAACGGCTATATCGTATAAGGACTGGCGTAACCGGGCTGCTGTTGCTACCGTTCCTAGCCAGGCGCAAGAACAGAGACTCAGGTCGAAGCGAGCGAAATTGAGCTGGAGGATTCATGATGCTGTAAATGAACCATTATCTGTCAGAATATTCAGTCCTCAATATCTCCACGAGCCGCCCTTCAGCTCACCATCTTCCTCTCTGTCTTTTCTTCCCCGTCGTTGATATGTTTTGAGGCAAAACCTCGAATCTCCTTCTTTGCTGTCTGGAACCTTCAAAATTACATAAGCAACAAAAAGGTACACAGAAATAGATGACTAATCCGACAACGTCTCACAGGGTGAACTAAGGCTACATGACAATATTCACAATTCACTTCACTTATTGGCATTCAATAATGGTATCATTCAATGTGTTTTCAAACTAAAAGTGAAAGTGAATAGAACCTGCAGAAAGAATTGGCTATAAGAGTCAATCTTAACACTAAAGATATGAAGTTCCTCTTTAATGTAGCCATTTCGAAGCCGCATAGCTACATCTCAAGACTACCTATACCCTAGATTTCATTATCTTTTAGGATCAATTTCGAACCGGCAACTGCTATTTGAGACTATTACCAAAGTCCGCAACTATGCCTCACCTACCCGCACAACAACTGGACGAGCAAACTTTAAGTTTTTAATCATGGAACAGGAATTTCGATGTGTAGTTAACGCGGGGCTAGCATCTCAAGACAGCCGGAATGCGTCGATCAATCGAAAGATTTAATAAGATGACGACGATGGCGTTGTCACGGGCATCTGGATAGCAATTCTCGGATCAATTTTTAAGCCAGCGGACAATTATATAATTCGCGCGCAGAGCCTTTCCCCGGGAGGGTTACAGACCTTCTTGGTCTCCATTTTGTCCAACGAGGCGATAATTACCATGAGATACAATTCCTTGTGGTACAAGCAAAGGCCCCCAGTAAGGAGACAAGAAATGCAGCCTGGGAGGCAGCCAAAGACCAGCTGCTTGGCTATTACCACACAAGCCGGAAAAAAACACCCTAGATATGGGATTTTGGCTGGCTGTCGGAAGATACGCCCAATTTATCCTTTACGACGAGGACAATAGACAACTTACCGCTCTTCATGATGGGCATCTCCATATCGAAAGGCGGTGCAAGGACGTCCAGGGCTTGCTTCATTATATCCGAGATAACCATTGACTTTTGAGCGCTCCCGGCTGCGTGTAGGTCCTTAATGACCGGTCATCGAGATCGTGTGTGCTTTTAGTCAAGCCCTGGTAACTTATCTTGCTTCCCATAAAGATATTTAGAGCTTCATAATTCGAGGACACTCTTTTCAAGTATTAGGACGATGATAATACATCATTTTCTCGTTACACGTATTCTTTTATCGGGGGCAACAAGTTTATGATGTGTCTTCTGTTCCACAATCCAGCGGATTCCTCAAGCAGGCTCCGGCTCAGAACTTCAGACGCAAAATGGCCCAGGGAAAATATTCCGAGTCAACGTTCAATTCAAAAAAAGATTGACCGGAATCCGCTGCTTCCAATACCCTACGGGAAACTCCTCTTCAGATGCAGTCAACGTGGTATATAGCTCCTGGAAAGTAAGGTAGTCTGCGATGCACATTAGTATCTCCAATGGAAGCCGATAATCAAGAGTCAAAGTCTGCCTTAAAGATCGTTTCATGACGGATGACTTTTGTTTGCAATCTTGGAATAATGAATCCAGCTCCGGTATAAATATGGGATCTGGCAAGGACCAACACGCCTCCGATGAATGCCCTGGGGTAGTTTTATTATCCCAGTGCATGTAATCCTCAAACGCAAGAATGCACCGATGCTCTTTCTCATGCTTGGAGAGGTGAGTTTGTATGTAATCGCAAAATGGCCCCTATGCAAGAGAGGGGAATAATTTTCGGATACTGCCTGTAGCCGGGGCATTAAGTTATCCCACTGTTTTTGTAACGCCGCAACAAGTAAATCCAGTTTAAAACCAGCCACAGGCCCAATGTTATGTTCAATGAGATCCCAGCATCGAGAATGGATGAGATATCCTTGAAGAGAAGAATTACTATCATCAAAATCACGAGGAGTAAATGGATGTGGCACAGGAGATACTTGTAAGGCACCTGCATTTTCCTTGGCGCGCCCAATGCAAGCAGCAGTTGGATCCCGAAGACTAAGAATGTATTTTTCCTTCAATATGCGGGCCCCAGGTGTATAGTCTATCCCTGAGAGATGGTAGCCTGGTGTGCCTAGGGTCCATAAAGATGCTGTCCTGTTCAATGGCCCAGGTAGCAAGGACGACTGGAGACAAAGATCTGGTTCTTTGCAGGATGCAATATTCACCATAAGCTAGATATGTTTTATAAGTACAATGCAAATTTAAACCAAATTGTGTACATTATGTTGACTCACTTGTTCTAACATAAAATTCAAGTTGACCATCTTCTGCTTCTGATAAAGTCGAATTTTAGCATCTCTATCACTCCGAGATGCACCCATTGCTGCTCTAAATAAACGCGCAGCTTGGAGCCCAACTTCGGATGTGATATTTGCGGCTTGCCCCTAGACAAGCCTATCCAGTCCCAGATACAATTCATGGTAACGTTTGGTTGTTGATCTGTTGTTTTGAGAAGGTTGAAAGTTATAGATAGGTGCCCGAGTGCTTAATAAGCGGATGTCGTATACTTATGTCAGCTGTACCTCGGTAAACACGTGATTTCTATAAGAGGTAAGGTGCGACGAGGGCGGCCAGAGTGGCAGAATCGACGCCTTCACGAAGTTCTCCAAACTCCTTTTCCTGCTGCCTTTTCGCCTTCAACGACTTCGCTCTGTTGCCAGGCTCGCTGCTGCTGTTCAGACTACGGAGACAATACCAGGCACACCGCAGAACCTGATCATGAGTGCTACAAAGACGCAGTCTCAGAAAATCTTTGAGAAGCTGAAGACGAAACCCGCAAACAAGGTACCATGTCGTGCCTCTCCCCGCCATTCCGCCATTCCGCCCCCTGACAGTTTGAACGGCAACTGACATCAGCTAGATATGTTTTGATTGCGGGTCGAAGAACCCGACATGGTCGTCGGTTCCCTTTGGAATATACCTTTGCCTCGACTGTTCGTCGAACCACCGAAATCTCGGCGTTCATATCTCATTCGTCCGCTCAACCAATCTTGACCGTGTGTTTCACCGCCCATTACAGATCCTCGGTGTCGATCGCACATGCTAATGGGACATTGATTATAGAATGGCAATGGGAACAGCTACGCGTTATGAAAGTGGGCGGAAATGAGTCGGCGACTAAATATTTCCAGTCACATGGCGGCACGGCGGCGCTAAACAGCAAGGACTCCAAGATAAAGTACACATCCAACGCGGCGGTGAAATACAAAGAAGAATTGAAGCGGCGAGCAGCCCAAGATGCCAAAGAGTATGTCTTGCATGCCCGTATAAGCGGTCTCTAGCACTGGTCATGTGGTACAATGCACGTAGTTCTCCGTGGCTAACTTAAAGTTATTATTATAGGTATCCTGAGGAAGTAGTGATTACGGATGTGGCTGCATCAGGTACTCCAGAAGGGTCCTCCACACCCGCTGGCGAGCCGGACGATGATTTTTTTTCCTCTTGGGACAAGCCCGCCATCAAACGACCAAGCAACCCCCCTTCGCGTGTTGGCACACCTGCTTCGACTGGCGGCCGCAGCTCGCCCTTCCTCACTCCAGGGCCCAATGGTAACGGCTCGCGACCCAAATCTCCACTCTCCGGTGCAGAAAAGAGCAATGTTGCTACACCTCCTGTTGCTGTCCGGACAGGTACAGCGGTCCGCAAGGGACCAACTGCCGGTGCAAAGAAGACCTCGGTTCTTGGAGCTAAAAAGGGACCTAAGCTAGGCGCAAAGAAAGTTGTGGGTGCAGACGCTATTGATTTTGACGAGGCAGAGAGAAAGGCAAAGGAAGAGGCGGAGAGAATTGCAAAATTAGGATACGACCCGGAGTCTGAAAAGGCCGAAGAGGAGGCTGCGTTGAAGGGGAAGTCCGCTTCATCGATCGTTTCTCCAACCCCAGTAAGCCCCAGATCTAGCTTTGGAGCCACACGAAGTCATGAGAGAAGTGCAAGTGAAGTCGAGAGACTAGGCATGGGTATGGGCCGTCTTGGCTTTGGACAAGTTGGAAAACCCAAAGCTCCAGCTCCAAAGAAGCTTGGGTTTGGTGCTGTTGGACATTCTACTTCAGCCGCTGACGGTATGTCCTGATGCCAACTCACACCCCTTTTCTCTACCTCAGTTGCTAACTATTCCAATGCAGAGGAACAACTAGAGCAAACTATGTCCAAATTCGGCAAACAGAAAGGCATCTCATCGGATGAGTTCTTTGGCAGAGACCAATATGACCCTACAGCTCGGGCGGAGGCCAAGACTCGACTTACCAACTTCGAGGGCGCTACTTCGATATCAAGCAATGCTTACTTTGGTCGTCCCGAAGATGAACTTCCAGCCAACGACGATTACGGCGACCTGGAAACAGCTGCCAAGGACTTTGTTCGAAAATTCGGGATTACCGCGGGCGATGATCTTGAGAATTTAACCAACTTGGTTGGTGATGGTGCTGTCAGACTTCATGGTACGTGCAGATTCAACTATATATTCCTCACTTTCATTTCATCGTATACAAAGACTGACAATCTATGTTACCAGGCGCTATCCGTCACTACCTCAACAGCTGAGTCTTAAGCGCGGTTCCCGAGAAATATAATATCAATCCTCTTCTTCCCATAAGTCATGATTCATCCCCAATTCTCTTTAGTATTTGGGCGCTCTTTTTCTCTCTCAAGCAAGTTTCATCTCTAGCATCATGGAGTTTTTTCGGTCTGCTGCTTTCCTGGCAAAAAGCAGAGGGTAACTTTCGGCTTGGATTCTACCATGGGATGCTCTTGACCACTACTTGGGTCAAATCATAGCTTATGGGAGTTGGGAATAGTACCTGGTGGTTGGTAGGTGGACAAGACGTGTTTTATGATTTGTGATTTGTGAATTAATGCGTATGTGTGCACTTATTCGATTCTCTTTAACCTCGTCCTCTTAGGACTTTTCTCTTCTTTTACCCCGTTTGTATTCGTCTCTTATTCGATGTTGGTCTTTTAGTCTCGGTGTTCTTTCTATTGGGCTATTTAAAATGTAGATAGAACAGTATGAATGACTTTATGTGTGTCTGACGTCCATCCTACCCAGTTGTGTGCGATGTTTTCATGCTCGATGCCTGCACTATCTGCCAATTCTATCAAAGCTACAGCCGCTTTTGGATAAGTAGTCTATTCTAATATAACATCCAGGAAATGGATATCTATGTAACCCCTGTTCGTTGTATGTAAGGTCCAATATCAAAACTGCATATCACTGTTCAACAACACTCTGAGAAAGGCCTAATAGAATGGTTGGTTTGGTTATTTTATGCGGTTAATTGGCATGACGGAAGAATCTGTAAGGTCTACGAGAATATTGTTGGTATGGATTAAACTATTTATTTGCATAATCAACCTCAGCACTCAGGTTATATCTATTCAGACAACCCGGGCGACAATTGAGAAGATACCTACGAGGTTGGTAAATGAAAGCTGGCCACCAGGGACTATCTCCTCAACTTATATACTAAGTTAAATGGCCTTTCTAATCAATAAAGGCCATGACCGAGTTTACCACTTCTAAGGTTCACGCTCTCCTGTCTTTTTGTTGCTTACCCCTGGGCTTCCTAAATAAGCCTGTGAGGCGAGTCGTTCGATCTAGGTTTCGGTCCGCAGCACGGGCCTCAACTTTGCTTCTATCTATTAGATATTGAACCTATTATTATCCAATAGTCACTGCGATATTGTTGTTAACTGACTATGAGGCGAGATGATGGTTAGATATGAAGAAAGACCAGTTTTATTGGGGCAATTTACTGCGTTGATATTCAAGTTAAAGGCCAGGGCTCCCTATTCCCTATTTTGGAAGGTAGAGGAGGAATTATTGGCTTGGTTAAAGACAGTGCAGTAGAGTAACACTTCACCAAATATAGGCGAAGCGATAAATTGGGCGCTGCTAAGATATGTGGAACTGGATGCAACTATCCTAAAAAAAGTGTACAATACAGCTATGTTTACAACGGGTTCATGTCCAAGATACACTATTACCTGTTGCTACAGGATTACAAGTTCGGCCTGTAGATAGCATCAGCCATACGAGTAACCTGTGACATCTCTTTGACATCATGCACACGAACAATGTCTGCTCCACCGCCAATAGCCGCCGTAACAGCTGCAGCGGTACCCCAAGCGCGTTCATCAGCCCTTTTGACTCCCGTAATATGACCGATAAACCCCTTTCTGCTGACCCCGAGCAACCACGGCATATATTGCAGCTCCTCCGCCTGCCTCAAATGATCAAGGTTCCTGAGGATAGTCAAATTCTGGTCTTGTGTTTTGGCAAATCCTACACCCGGGTCGGCAATGATGCGCCATCGTCTAACGCCCGCCTGTTCAGCGGCGCGGATACGCTCTGCTAGCTCGGCCTGGATTCCGGCTAGTACACCGTCTGGGTAATGGGTGAGTTTATTCATTGTCTTTGGTGTTCCTCGCGTATGGGAGAGCATGACTGTCTTCTGTAGCTGGGCCATGGTGGGAAGCATGTCTGGATCAAGGAGGCCAGCGGATATATCGTTTATTATATCTGCTCCTGCATTGACGGCTGCTTCGGCAACGGCAGCGCGGTATGTGTCAATGCTGATCGCAACCTTGGACGCTTCAGGGAGAGATCTGATGAGTTTTATAGCAGGTATGACGCGGGATAGTTCTTCTGCTTCAGTGACTGGTTCGGCATTGGGACGGGTGCTTTCGCCTCCTACGTCAATTATGGAGACACCAGCCTGTATGTAAGCCTTGACTGTTGCAAGAAGAGCTGTTGGATCCGTGGATGAGTGGGTTCCACCATCTGAGAAGGAGTCGGGCGTGACGTTGAGAACTGCCATCAAGAGGGTGCTGCGAGAGGGGTTGGTAGGAGTGATTGGGGGTAAACCTGCAGGCATGGGTATCATTGCTACCGGGGGAGGGTTAGATGGAGGAAGAGCCTGTAAATGCGAGGTATATGTTTTGTCCTTTCCTTCGACCAAGGGGTGTTCATCGGGTATCAACCTAGGCTATTATTAGCTGTGCTTTTGAGATGCTGCCAGAGTATAATGATCTTACTGGCAGAGAGGACGTAAGACAAACTCCCGTTCGAGCATGAGTTTATGGGGAACTATTAACCGGTCATTGGAGACTGCGCTATCCCCGTATAAGAGGATGTCCAGGTCTATGTTACGAGGCCCCTTATCAATGACCTTGCGTCGTCCCATGTCAATCTCTATGGATTGTAGGGTATCCAATAGTTCCATGGGGCTCTTTGATGTTTCAATCTATACAAACGTTAGAAGAGATTATTCACAAAGTGAGATAAAAATCCTTGCCTCGCATGCTCCGTTAAGGAACGTTCCCTGATCCACCACATACATCGGAGCAGTCTCAAAAAGGGAGCTAGTCCTTTTGATCTTAATGCCTCGGTCTTCCATCTCTCTGCAAGCTTCTTCAATCATGGCTACACGGTCTCCCATGTTGCTACCAAGGGCAACGAAGGCTCGCTGGGTGTGTTGTCCAGTGGCCATAGTTGATGTAGATGCCAACCGACAACCATATCCAGTTCTTCCAACAATAACAGATGAGCTAGAGTGAATATTGCAAAAAATTGGTCTGGTCTTTGACTCCAATGCCTGAAATGAACCATTCTTCCGCCTGGATTGAGCACAGTAGTTCAATGGCCTGCTGCCGTGAGACAGGCTACTTTGCGAGTACGCCCTTAATGACACAGCCCTGAAAATGGCAGTAGTGCCTCCAACATGGCGTCTTTCTGACGGAAATGGGGTATTATTAACCAAACATGGCACCCTTTGCTGCTGTCAGTCTAGGATATCTATACTCGGCGGGTGGAGTGGAATGGAGCAGCAAAAAACCTATCCCTACACTTTGACACCGTAATAACAGGCCTGGGCACTGTGGCTCTCACCGTACGAGCCCAACGAGCCAGTAAGACCGCGACTCTGGCGAACAAGAAAGCTCATCTCTTCCGTTTGATACTGAACAAACCGTCAAACGTCGTCGTCGTCGTCGCTTCTTTGGGCGTCGGAGAATTATCTGCTTAGTCATCACTCCGAGCTTGAAGCGGCGGCGGTGAGACGGACAAGAAAGTGAATAATAACTAGGAAATATTAAAGTAAAGGCTCTCATTTACACTAGTTATGCAGCGGCCTGAAGCCGTCTGTCTGTTTATGCGTAATAACCATGTTCAAATCATCTGCTTAGCCCGTCGTCTTCTCCTCTGTTTACTGCCAGCGTCTCGTATGGCTGTCAGGTGAAGCTCGGCTAGTTACCCCAGGCGCCGCCATCAAGCCGAGGCTCGTTTTCACAGGATAAAACCTGCGCCAGCCGCCAAAACCTCCTCGACTTCTCCATCCCCATCTTTCACATACACTTGCGACTCTGCGACTCTGCGACTCTTGCTACCTCGATAGGACTCTGTTTCATTATATATACTCGTTTTTTTAGAGCAGCGCTATCACTCTTCAGCCATGGCTTCTCCACGTAAGTTTGCGACCTGGCGTTCCAGCGGTACCTGGCGGAGGGAACAGAGGACTTCTACGAGAGAACGAGATCACTGACAGGCTATGATGGATACAGAACAGATCAGAACTCCTCTTACGGATCTCTTGAAGATCAAGCACCCCGTTCTGCTGGCTGGTATGAACGTTGCGGCCGGTCCTAAGCTCGCTGCTGCTGTCACCAATGCTGGCGGACTTGGTGTTATTGGCGGCCTCGGCTACACCCCAGACATGCTGAGAGAGCAGGTAGAAGAGATCAAGAGCCACCTTGTTGACAAGAACGCTCCCTTTGGTGTCGACCTGTTGCTCCCACAGATCGGAGGCAACGCTCGAAAGACCAAGTTTGTTTACCTTGTCCGCTACTGGGATGCTGTACCGAGGTTCAACTTTTTTACTAACGGGTATACTTCTACTCTAGCTACGACTACACCAAGGGAAAGCTCGACGAGCTTATCACTGTGGTTATCGAGAGCGGTACTAAGCTGTTCGTCTCGGCCGTCGGTGTGCCACCAAAGCATGTCGTTGACCGACTGCACGCTGCTGGAATCCTTTACATGAACATGATAGGCCACCCTAAGCACGTTCAGAAGTGCCTCGATGTTGGTGTCGACATCATCTGCGCCCAGGGTGGTGAGGGTGGTGGCCACACCGGAGACGTCCCTACCAGCATTCTCATCCCTACCGTGGCGAAGCTCTGCCAGGGCAAGACCAGTCCCATGACCGGCCAGCCCGTCCAGGTTGTTGCTGCCGGTGGTATCTTCAACGGCCAGAGCGTTGCCTCTGCCCTCATGCTCGGCGCTTCCGGTGTCTGGGTTGGTACTCGATTCATCCTCGCTGATGAGGCTGGTGCCCCCAAGGACCACCAGGAGGCCGTCCGCACCGCCGGTTTCGACGACAACGTCCGAACTATCATCTTCACTGTATGTATCTTTGCTTTTTGTTTTTATTTGTGCCAGACTTTATACTAACGTGTCCCAGGGCCGACCTATGCGAGTCCGCAACAACCCATACATCACCAACTGGGAGGAGAATCGCGCCGAGGAGATCAAGGAGCTCACCAGCAAGGGTATCATCCCCGTCGAGCACGACTTTGAGAACATGGAGGACATCGATGACGACACCATCGACAACGCCCGCCCTCACCTCATGGGCAAGGCTGCCGCTGTCGTCAACGAGAAGAAGCCAGCCAAGGACATCGTCGACGAGCTTGTCAACGATGCCGTCGCCTGGATCAACAAGGGCCACGGCTACCTTTCCAACAAGCCTAAGCTGTAGACTTTTCTCCGCTTCTTATCTTCTCTTTCTTTTCCTCCTTTTTATACGACCTCTTCATGCCGGTAGATCGGCGTTTTCGTGTGTTTTGGCCTTTTGAAAGCTCGCTCGTACGCTGATAGTTCACGGGGGATGACTGCCTTTACAACATACTCGCATATTTTCTTCAGCTGTATATATCCAATCCAAACCCATTTTATCCGTTCTATGCTAAATTATCTCTCCTTCGTACTCCGTAAAGTGATCGATGTCAAGTATAAATATTGGTAGAAAAGTTGGTGTGATTACATAATCCACCGCGGGCACAAAGATAAACTCCACGAAATCTGATATCAAAATTAGTTTCGTAGAGAAAAGACACGAACACTTGAGCTGCTGAATCAAACCACCGTATCCTACTACTGCTGAACTTGAGAGAAAGTGTACTTGTGGGAAAAGAGAATATCGCGGAAAGAGAATCGAAAATGGCACAACCCACAAAGTACGTGGAAAGGATACCCCCAGAGCCGCCACAGCGCAATTTCTCAAGGCTTCACCTTCAAAAAACTAACAACTTCTTTACAGGGCAGCTGACTGGGCTGACGACGAGGAATTCGATGATTCCAACGCCCTCCCGCCACAGCAAGTTCTTACAAACAAAGATGGCACCAAGACCGTGATATCATACCGCTTCGATGATGATGGCAAGAAAGTCAAGACCACCCGTCGCATCCGCACAACAGTCGTCAAAGAGCACGTCAACCCCCGCGTAGCTGAGCGAAGGGGATGGGCCAAGTTCGGCTTGGAGAAGGGCCACCCCCCAGGCCCTTCATTCGATACCACCTCCGTTGGAGAGAACATTATATTCCGGCCCAGCGTGAACTGGAAGGCTCAGGCGAAGGAAGCCGAGAAGGAGGGCGAGAAGGGCAGTTTGAAGGAACAGCTGAAGGACAAGAAAGTCAAGTGCCGAATTTGTAACGGCGAGCATTTCACTGCCAGATGTCCGTTCAAAGATACCATGGCACCTGTTGAAGAGGGTGCCGGAGGTGCGGGCATGGATATGGATGGGGGCGATGACAAGCCGGCTCCTGGTGGCCTGGGCCAGAGCGGAGGAAGTTATGTTCCTCCTGCTATGAGAAAAGGCGGTGCCGGTGCTGGTGATAAGATGGGTGGCAAGTATGAGAGAGACGACCTGGCGACGCTGCGTGTTACCAATGTGAGTATTCTCCTTCCCATACTTTCCTCATGAGAGATATCTGGAGGCTGGTTGTTCTAGAAGAGTGTTTTATTTGGCTAACCTGTTACTCTCCTTTCAATCAACTAGGTTTCCGAGCTGGCTGAGGAACAAGAGCTTCGCGATATGTTTGAGCGGTTCGGACGAGTCACGCGAGTCTTCCTTGCTAAGGACAGAGAAACAAATATGGCCAAGGGCTTTGCTTTCATCAGTTTTGCGGACAGGAGTGATGCTGCTCGTGCTTGTGACAAGATGGACGGCTGTAAGTTGATGCATTTCGTCTCTGGGTACCTTCTTTAGACGTGAACTAACGGGTGTATAGTTGGTTATCGACACTTGATTCTTCGAGTCGAATTCGCTAAAAAGAGCGCCGACTCGAAATAATGACTCTCATTCAACCTCCCCCCTTGATGCCCTCTTTACCTTCCGTCCCTGCCTCTCTTCCCTATTATTTTCTTTTCACTGGGGAATGGGATACAATCTGTTGTTCATAATGTCTTGATAAAATTGCATTTTCATTTCACGCTCTGTTCTCTGCGAATCAAAGGCCTAATGCTAATGATATATAAAAGCACTCCCTCCCTTCCCCTTCTCACCCGCCCACCTTTTTCCTTTTCGTTTCCTATGGTTATTCTAAGTCAATCGTCGGTCATGTACCACGCTACACATAAGGAGGATGGATGATGGATCCGTGTAGGTGTCACCGTTTCTGATATTCGATATTCGTGAGTTCTTCACAAAGTGCCATTCTCGTGAGCTTTATTGTTGGGTTGCTATGGATTGCCATGCCGCCGCGCCATGCCATGCCCATGCCATACCAGTCCATGCCCATCTCTGTGTTATGTGAGGGCTTGTGAGGATGGAGGCACTAATTACTCGCCATGTGGTTGTGGATCATGATACTGACACGCTTTGCGGTGTCATGGAAGACTCTTGGAGGTGGTGGAGGCTTAACTCTGTCTCGCTATATCTGCTCGCTGGGCTTGGTGATATACGAATGGATATGTCCCTGTTGTATAAGGGGAGATGGAGATGGCAAAAGACACTTGCAGCTTGGGTATAAGGGCTTCTCACTGTTTCTATCAGACATACGAAGATGGAATGGGCAGATGGACGTCATTGATATCTAGTCCTATGATATATGGGTCTTTTGCTCGTGTTTAGGGCTGAGGTTCAAGTTATGCACCTCCCCCCTGACCCGGAGATACCTCTATAAAAAGCTTGTTTGTAGTGACATTGTAGTCCTGGTTAATTTACAGTGTCTACGGGTACACCTTGTCCGTCTCTATGGGTAAACAAATACTTTATTACCTTGTAGAAGGCGATATCACATTAAGTTTTGCCTCCTGCATCAGGTAGCATAGGTACCTACAGGCATCCCCAGCTCCTGCTCAACGTCACATTTAAATATCTCTTTGATATCTCCCGCAAACAACCTATCCCCATGGATAGGAAACAGCGCAGCGTTAACCATAGAATAGAAAACTTCTGATATGCTTACAACCCTAATATAATCAGCTGATCATGAACCCCATCCCCCCAAACGTGCGTCTGAAAGAGGCAACTATGGATCCGAATAAGATTCGTAAGCCGTCCCAGATGCAACCCTTGCTTTCCTCACTCCCTGCTCTGCTCGAAGGGTTAAAAACCGTGGAGGAGTCTGGATTTTGCGGGATTATTAACATCTGTTAAGATATCGCTTCCTCCCGGCTTCCTTCCTTCCGTCCTTCGGCCTTGAATGAACTCGTCTTGCCGGGTAACCGAAACTGGATAGTGGCCTGAGGTTGGGGAAGGCTGAGCGAACCAGTAGACAAGGCGTCCTTCTGCAGGTCATAGCACCTTGATATCGAACTGAGATCTAGGTAATATTTGACAAGGCTCCTGCGAGAGAGAGTATAATCTGAAGCGGCCAAGAGGTCAGTGGGTAGACCTGGGTGAGCCTGGATCTCCCTTCGAAACACTCTGCCTCCTCCCTGGCCCGTCCGTGATTCGTGCCCATTGCTCGCTAGGTTCGTTGTAATTTTGATCCCAGAAGGCCGAAGGTCGGTCTTGTCCGAAGCATGAATGAGGAGAGGAAGTAAAAAAAGAAAGGAAAAGAGACCAAGAGTTGAGGGTTGGCCTGGGCGAAACGTAATGTCAGAGATAGCAACTCCAGACGGGTGGAACGAAGTACGCTTTTTGTGGTAAAGTCAAGGCAAGGCAGGGCATGACAGGGCGATTTTTGCAAATCTCTTCTGTCTTAGTTCGCCCCCGGATAAGAGGGTGAAGGGTAAGACCCGTTATGGAGTTGGGGTTATTGGGGGCGGGAGATAGGAGCACGATAGGAATAATAAACGACAAGCTGGATTGGGTTATTGTAGAGGAGTAGTCAGCAGCATACGTACGTGTATGTTGTTGGAAATAGGCGGTCATAGTAGCTAACCGCCTGCGAGACATAGTTGATGGTTATACCACAGGAACCAGGGCCCTTCCCTTTCGCCGTGATACGGTATACCTGGCTATATCATATCATCTCCCTCTGTTCTAGCGCTGTCTGCTCGCCTCTTTTGCCCTTGCCATAGGAGCGTGTGACATGCGCACCGCCAATCATAGGTTACTGCTTATTTCCACACATCAACAGAGAGATCATTGTACAAACAGCATGGATGCTCAGATAGAATCGAGATCTTCAAGTGTAAGCGCTCCCCTTTAACGGTTTTCGTAGTTTGCGCCAATAGTAGCGCGTCGGCGAATACAACCCTTGCCCATGCTAGGGTTCTATCGTGAAGCAACCAGTTAAGGCGCAGTTTGAAGACGCAGCTGTGCAAGGCTATCCTGTCGACATATAATTCTCATATCGACCGGTATTTACTTCTTGCACACCCCGTCTATTGGGGGCCTTGCCTCTCTCCCTCTGCCTGGTTGACACGTATACGGGCACAGAACCCTGGCCGCTCAGTTAATTTCACCCCTTCGGCATTCCGCAGGTTAGCCCCCAAGTTGTATGTATATATTGATGGAGATATAAGTGCACCTGTGAGACAGAACTAAATATAATATCAATTTCGCGCTCCATGCATACCATCTCGGAAATGGTTAGGTGCTGTCGGACAAGTCCTTGAACGCTGTTTAGAGATAACTGTTAGTAGGCATTGACGGGACGGCAGGTTGGTTTCGTAGCACACGAGGGAGATTCGTCGTAGAGGTCTCATTCTGTTGGTAGATAAAAGGTACCTCATTGACAGTATGCCAAGGCTCCGAGTCATGCATATGATGATTTGGGAGGCCATGAGGGATGTCACTTCGAGCAGTTCCCCCTGATCTACCTCGTCAGTAGTCTTGCTGTCAATGTCATTCAGGTTCAATGTATTTCCTACGAGGCAAAATGGCTTTGTTTGGTTTGTTTTCTTTTTTCCGTTTTGTTGTGTTTTATTCGTGTTCAAAACGCAACGGGGACGGGTATGCAAGAATCAAACCCCTTTCGCCCAATAGAAGAACCGGGTTTGCAGTTGGTTTTCTCAAGAGAGATTTTTTATTTTTATTTTCACATTTTCCGTCTGCCCATTCTTTGCCTTGTGTACATAGAGCCAATGTGGACGTTGAGAACGGATCTCGAGAACGGGATTTCTGTGTTGGGGTATCTCATGGGTAACCATCTATTTTGTTTATGGTTGGGGCAACTTGGATTCACGTGGAAATTGAGGAACATACTGAAAGCATGTTCTACAAACCCGGAGTGATGCATATGAAAACGGCATAGGTGTTCATTAGAAAAGCTAGAAGGGTATACGGCAAATGGAAACATAGGGCGACGTGTACACTCCTTGGCTCGAGCTAGTTCAGGAGATGTTCTTACACCTGCTGGATGAACATGGTGTACCGGTCCGCATACCTGTGACCTGCAAGCAAGCAGCATTAGGCAACACCCCCCTCCCCACATCAAACAAAAATGCAGTGGGCCTGTTGTCTTGAGAAGATAGATATCTAGGCTCCTTGAAGACTACAACGGCCTTCAACACCTTGAATAGCAAATAATAACGATTCTCTGCGCATGTAACAAGTTCGCTAAAGGTCAATTGGTCCCCAGGCAGAATCCGAAGTATCGCGAGAATGGAATGAAACATTGTGAAAGGGGCTGTCTCCGGTGGAGCTGATCGGGAGTGAGGAAGCGGGTATTCAACGGTTAATGTAACACGAGCTTGCCTCCGGTCGATATATCAGGAAAAGGTCGAGGTTGACTGACTTACACCTGGAGCTTTGGTTGTAAAAACTCAGCCCAGTGCATGTCACAAAGCTTTGTAATTTCATTTTCTTTGGCTTTTGAAGCAGATATGGGTATAGATAGGGTTTAGTCAAAGGCCGCTCAAGATGGCATTTTGTGACAGGTGTTGGTTGAGGCTTTTGATATGTGATTTCCCTGCTTCATACAATGGCCATAATGGGCCCATGGGCTTGGATCTCCTTAAGGACAGGGGAAAGGCGAATGTCTCGGCTACTGAGGCCTTTCGGCTTATGGGTTAAGCTTGTTTCCTGTCCTGATTGCTGGATTCGGTTTAGGAGTTGTCAATTGCCACAGTGACACAGCAACGTATGAAAAAAACGTTTGAGCGGGTAGGGAACCCGGCTGCAAGATTGACAAGGGAGAAGGTACAATACAGTACAAAGGCGACCATGTGGACGTCAACACTTTCGAGATTGAGTCGTGGATGCTGTGTATTTGTCAAAGATGAAGTTTTCCGGCGAATCAGGTGTTTCAAGTCCACATAAACAGCCTTATTGAATATATTATTGGTTCGAGGAGCCTCGAGCGCCTGAAAGATCGAGTCGTAAGTGGATAAATTCGATAAATTCTCACAGTGCTAAGGAGAGACTGTTGAGTGACGGTCGGATTTAAAATAATCAGTCCAAGACCTCGGTCAAGAAATTGACATACCAAGTAAAATCCGCATGAGACCAATATAAGCCCTTCAAATAAGGGGGAAAAAGATACGTAAAGGGATTTGTAGTACGGCGTACACCGTACATTATTTTAGATGAAGTTGGGAGACAGGAAAGCAGCAACGCGAAAAGGGCCTTTTTGTTATAACAGAGACTGGCAGTTGATGTTTGTTTCTATGTTTCAAGTATAACAATTCCCTGCCGTCGATCTTGCTCGAAGCAGCGGGTACGGCGTTGGCAGTGGTGAAGAGGTCAAAAACGAAGATGTCAGAGAAAAAGAAAATAGCTGCTGTGTTCTGAGCAACTTCTTTTCAGTTTCGGGATGGGCACATACATACCAAAAGCAACGTCAGGGTCACACACAGATGTACCTTGCCTCGAAGCCGAAAGTCAGCGCTCAACGTCTTTTTACTATTTTTTGTTTCTTTTTGAGGATGGGTGCGCAAGAGTCAGATGCACGGCAAAGAGGAGGCTCAAGGGTCCGTGAGAAGAGTGGTGATTGGAGGAAGAGTGAACATGGGTAGCTATATCATTGCAGCATATAAGGGGGCAAAAAACGGACGAACGGCCATTTTCCGTAACAGGAGAATCGAACTCGAAGACGGAGACGCGTTCACTCGATTGCAGGGTCTGCTACGGGATACTTGCCCTGCAATGAGTAGCGTATGGTCAAGGATAAGATGGATTTCGGGCTCCTTCATTGAAAATGGCCCGGTCTGCCATTGTTTGGTGGACATGCATGGAATCTTGATATTAGACGCCCTTGAAGGTCCAAGCGAAGATACCTTGCCCCATAGTCGGTTGATGCATGTAGGTACCCGTCCACGAATGGGTGGAGAGAGGCCCCAGCGGTATTCGTTGGCCTGGAGATGCAGTGCACGGAGTAGCTGGTACAGGCGTCTTACCCTGGCTGGAGGGGAAATCTGAGAGGGGCGACTGCCCGAACGCTGTCGAAAAGAGCATGTCTAGGCATAAATTTTATTCCGCAATCAAGATCGAGCAAAGTTGCAATCGTCCGCCTCTCCCTTTCTTAGATTCTCCACCGCCGCTGTGCAAAAAGGCAGAGATGCTTGGTTGTACCACTTGTAGGATAGCGAATATGCAAGACATTGTCATATACGACCTCACGACCTTTTTCTTGTCCTCCCAGATGGACTGACTCCGCCCACACAAGGCACACGAGTAAGGATGGAACAACCTTCTTTTTCAAGCTTTAGCTTCTCAACGTAAAGCTGTTAGAGGGGGTCGACTTACTCCGTACGAACGCTGAGTTTCTCAGTTGGTTCTCACGACCTGCAGGCTCCCTCGCTCGCTCGCCCGCTCGCCCTTCCAGCCCCGAATCATGGCAATAGCGCGGTAAACTAACTCTCCCAGAACCAGCGCATTAGCCGTCCAGCCTGGATAAGCACGAAAACAAAACCAGGAAAAAGAAAGGCAAGCTGGCAGCCAAAAAAGAAATGAAAAGTAATAGTTATTTTTTTCTTCTACAAAGCAACTTTTTGAGATGAAGTCGAAGTCGCTGAAAAAGCAATGTCACGTGCAAATAAGACAAACAAGCCCGCTTTGGGCAAGTCAACCTCCGTCGATCATCTGCACCGCCGAAAGCCTTCCTGAATCTTCGCGCCAGCAAGGCCAGCAAGGCCAGCAGCGGACGGCAAAAGCAGCCATCCAATAGTCACGCCAGCCGGGCTGCTGTCGAGGCGATCGTCTGGCTCTTCTGGCCCATTACGCAGTGCTGGCTTTGTTTTTTTGGCCTTTCCCTATTGCTTGCTTTTTCGCAGCTGGCCTACTCCCACTAACCCACGGCCAAGCTGGGCCTGAATCGAAGCAGACGGACGGACAGGCAAGATGCCTATCTCGCCAGGACGGTGACGAGGGAGACGAGGAAGAAAGGGTAGTTTATCGAACTGCACCGCCTGTGATTGATGGAGTTACTAGTGTTTTTGGATCCAAGTCCGGCCTTCTTTCAATCGCCAATCCTGGTTTGTGGCGTCGCGGTTGACCCTCTTCGTCCGCCTCTTACACACAGTGAGCTTACAGAGCTGCGGCTGTTGATCGCGACTAGAGCTAGAAACCGTCGCAGCGTCGGCCCTGGACCCCGTCTAGATATACTGGGACTTATACAATCAGCTACATATACGCTTATTTCCCGTATATCTGAACCCTCGACACGTGAGGTGCCTGGATTGTGTGGACCATAACTACGGGACTATCCTTGTCAATATACCTAGAAGCGGCGAGGACTGATGACTCCTCCCCCCTCCCTCAAGGAATTAGGCCTCCTATACTCCCACCCCCCACGGTATGTCAGCTACTTACGTAGGAACTGTCCTGTTAACGTCCGTTGTCCAGCGGGGAGCAAAGCAAAAGACTATGCAGCGAAAAGAGGGCTTTAATCTTTAGCTAATCGTGACGATTTGCCATTTATCCTCTCCAAGGCTGTTTTTTTTTTTCTGGGTCCTCTTCCTGGACCTTTAGAGGGAGGCCAACTGGTCATTGAAGCTTCAGCCGAGGCTGAAAGGCCTTCCGGATCTCCAACGTAGCTGGCAGCTTGCAAAAGCGACGGGTGAAGCCGCGAACGCGATTGTATTGCCGCAAAATTGAGACCATTCGAGTTGATACGTCTTGCTCTGTCGTAAGGGAAGATGTTTTTATCCGCAGTTGTTCGAGTCAGGTACGAACGTACCTAGTTACGTTAAATATCTTAAAGCCCGTTTACGGAGTAATTCTGGCCTATTCCATGTTCCTGAGATCATTAAATAAGCTCTTTCGGCACACGATCCTAAACGTACAGAGGGAAGGGCTACCTTCATGAAAACGCCTAGAGCGTCTGATGGTCAACCATAGCATGTTGCTATGTGTACACCAAATTCGGCTTTGAGCTGGCTAGGCCAACTCCGAAAGCTGGCTTATTGGGCCGCCCGTCCGGCCTGGCGCATAATTCCCCACTGCTACCCTGGTTAATTCCACGACCAAGTCGAAGATACCAAGAATAGCTCGGGTGACTCTGAAGTATCTCTACCTGTGGTTCCTACAGATTCTCGATATCACCTTGTTCTATTGGTCACTCAGCCCATTAATTTTGCAAAAGAGCACTAGAACAAAAAGAAACAACAAACAGAATTTGAAAATGCAAAATTAGAGAACAGTGCTGATAAAAGAAGCAAAGTGAGAAAGAAAAATTGATAAAAAAAAGAAACGAGAAAATGACGCTTATCGAGAGCAAGCTAAGTACATACATACGCTTTTCTATGCTTCTTAGTATGTACTGAAACCCATTAGCAAGATTTAGCAAGCGAGTCCAGACTAATTCATTCTAGTAGTGAGCATATCTGTGGAACGGAATAATGCATTCTACCATGGGCAATGGTCATCTTGGAAGTGAGGGAGCGAGAAAGGAAAAAAAGGAAGGGAGATGAGGATGCTATTGCAGGTTTGTTGGTGCAGATCACCCGAATATGCTCTCAAAGGCCATTCCCTTTGAGAGAGGATCATAACAAGGATACGCTTTTCCAACCAACATCAGCCTACATTTGGCTTGAACTATGCCATGCCGATTATCTCTCAATACCTTCTTCGACGCTGCCTCCTCCCGTCGCCCTCCTCTGTCATGACTAGCGGTACGTCATTGTGTCTGTCTTCACCTTGCTATTGCACCTTATTCGCAATATGCTTCAAGAAGAGTTCGCCCAGCCTGAGTTTTTGCTTTTAGCTGTGGATTTGTCGAGCTGATCTGGTTATTTTATTACTACGCAGTACTATTACGCATGTGGATGCGAGACGGTGCTTTGTTTTTCTTAGCTTCCGCTGGACAAGGGCTAATCCTCTAGTGGGCGATCCCCCGGACCCTTATTTTCTTTTATTCGCTACTGGTTAATGGTCACTCTGGCTTTTTAGGATGGGGGGAGGGAAGAAGAGGTGAAGGAGGCCGATATTCCCATCTGGCCCAACTGGCCATTGGCTCCCTTTTTCCATCCCATTTTTCACATCTCTCTCTCCACCCTCGCTGGCCCTTGATATCCCGGGTCTCCGCCATACATACAGCATACATATTCCGTACACGCATAGTACATACATATGACTATGTACTCCTAAAGCACTCCCGTCGACCTTCACGTCGCCTTGGGCGCATTTCTGGCACTTCATTCCTTTGTACACCGATGCGCTGGAATTTCTTCCACCCCCCTCCCTCCAGACGTAAATTTTTGGTTTAAAAATAACCTTCCATCTGGTTTTATTAATTTTCTTTTCTTTCTTTGGGCGAGTACGGAGTATAGTCTCCCATGACGTCCAACAACCTGGTCAAAAGACCCTCCTCAGCCCTCACGCGCGACTCCATCAATACACTTTGAGTGGTTGCGATCCATATTCTCACCAACCTCCTCTCACACACACGCTCTCTCACATCTACTCTCACACACCTCCCATCCCCACGCTCTTGCCAGCCCCCGCGAGCCTGCAGACGCTGGCACATTCGACCTTTTCCCACCGCTCTTGTATATGGGCTTGGAAGCTTATCCATCAGACGAACAACTCAAACAGGCTGGTAGCCAGCCCTCCATCTGAGATTCTAAAAGTGGCCAATCACCACGCCACTTGGCCAAATTCCGTTATCCGAACCCTCTCGGTTTATTGGTGTCTGAGGAGGAGAGGCCTTTGCTCTCTGGTCAATTTTATATTTCAACCTTATCCCTCTTTCCCAGGGCCAAGTCCATCCCATTTTTACCTTTGTTGATCATCCCCAGAGTGAGAGAGGGCCTTGATCTGACAAATGAAGCCTGGTAAGCTTAATCGCATCTGGTGTTACTTGAAAAATAGTTATCCGGAGCTATTTCCTCATCATCTCCTTCCCCTTCTTCACTGTTGACCAGGACTCATCCACGTTTTTTGCTATCTATCCTTTTTTATTTTCATTCCTCTTTACTTTTTTTCTCTCTTCCACACTGGTAAGGGTGACCCTGCCTGCTTTTTTATTTTTTATGTTATTTTTATTCTTTTTTTTTTTTTTTTTTTTTACTTCTTCCCCCAACCCCTTCCATTACCCACTGTGGAATCCCTTGCTGTAAGCTCCCAGCTTCTTTTTTTCCACCTTAACTGCATGACATGGTGTACCCATCTTGTATCTGGTTCTGCAATAAAGGTGTGATATTAAACAGCACAAGGTTTAATCCTATTGTTGAAAATGAAAACGCTCTGCCTGTTGTTTTTCTTTAGAGCTTCCCCCTGCGTGTGTGTATACTTCCCAACTGTTGCAGCGGATATCTAACATCACTGTTACTTCAGGAAGCTATAGAAGGAACTCTCATCCGGCATAACCTTGTCACTGTCTGCTTATAGGCAACATCCAAGAAAAAGGGAGACTGCCGCTCTATGGTTTGAGTTGCGAGGCTCTTTTTTTCACTAAAGATATCCCCCCAAAACAAAAGAAGGTCACGAGAATATCTGGTGCATCAGACCAGTATTCCAGACATCGAGACCGCCTCTCTCTGTCTATCTATAACTAGACACCTACAAAAGACCAACGACCTCCTTTTCAGCAATAAGAAGGCCACGGACTCGCAGCCCTTTACCGTGCTTAGGGGCAGCATGAGCTGTAAGTTGATCTATTTAGTATGATTTATCAAGTGTCTTCTTTATTTTTATGAGTTTGTCATGTCTATCTACAATGCTCCGGCACGCACCTCTTATGGCTCCTGATAAACATCGGTTTTGACCAGTCTACCTTGACATAAGCTTGGCTTTTTCATTTATAAACCCATCCCTCTCTTCCTCCTGTTATTTTCAAATATAAATTCTCTCTTTTCCTGCTCTCTTTCTACCCCTCATTTGTTTTGTCCGTGTTACGTGGCTTGTTATTCACATTTATTCCAAGCACACGATTGCACGGCTTCTGCTGTCAAAATCTATCCCCCTTGCTGGAGAAAATCCCATGCTTTTCCGTGCCCTGGAGTGAGAAGACCAGCCAGTTAACTAATAGTCAGGAGAGAGAAAAGAGCCTATGATTCTTAGCTTACGTGCTAGTGAACTCACATCGGATTTTATAGACTCAACCTATTCCTCCCTGACCTCCAGGCTTTCTCCAGAATCAACTTCCAGCTCCCTGTCCTCGGCTGCGGGTTTGAACACCAACTCCTCCAGGTACTCTGCTACGTTGGACGTGGCATCTGCTGCCACTTCTCCGCCGTGTATATCGAGGGACGAGTTGGACCAGAATATGACTGATTACAGACTGCATAGTGTATCTGCACTGTATGTACTTGTGCCGCAAGGTAAACACCTTTCTCGCGTTATGAATTGGTATATCTGACAATTTTTTATTTTGGGAGGCATAGCTGCACTCAACCACAGCCAGGGCTTCCATCAACAATGCAATCTTCCGGAGGCGTTCTGCCAGCCTCGCCTGGTATGATCCCTAGGGGAGATGGCTACCATCTTCAATATCATCAGCCTACCAGGAGCGTGTTCCCAAACTCCAACGGCCTTGCAATGAACAATTTATCCCGCTATTCCAATTATCAGACAACGCGACCAATGGATATGAACTCGAATGCACAGGGTGGCACAATGTTTGGTGCATCCGGAGGCTTTGTTTTCGACTCACCGGCATCAAGGCAATCGGGTTCAGCAAACCCTGAGGCTCCTCCGTTTCACGAAACCACTGTTTTGCACAATTTGCTAATAAACAACCACGCTGTGAGGCCAGACATCAACGCAAAGATTCACAAGGGGTTCTTCCAGGTGGATGGTAAATGGACATGTTATCGACGAAACTACTTTTCCCTGTCTTGCTCTTTCACTCTGCGGCCATGGATCCAAATGCAAGGCTCTGCCCCATACATTCAGCTTTCCAACGGCACCACTCCGAGAGTTAAAGCATTTGCCATGGCCATTTCTGCTGTGGTTCATGGGCAGGAGAATGAGACACGTGAGCTTGTCCAGCACACGCCAAAGCGTGATAAGCAGTCCGAGAGGCGTCCAGGAAAAGTTGCCCTTGAGCCTCAGCCGCCACCATCTTTGATGCTGAACCCGGGGCCAGTGAGCAGCGGCCATCACCATATGGCATTTTCAATGCCTCCGCAGTCTCCAATGCATTTCGACTGTGGTTCTACATTTGGAAATGGCCACTCCCAGTCAGTACAGTCCGCGCCAACGTCTCACACATTTGAGCGAATCCAGTTCCAGAAGGCAACGGCCAACAATGGCAAACGCCGTGCACAACAGCAGTTTTACCAGCTTGTGACCGAACTTTACGCTGATGTCAGTGACCCCAGCTCGAAATCCTCGCCACAGTGGGTCTTAGTTGCGAGGCGTCTTTCATACCCCATGGTTGTCCGAGGACGATCTCCCGGTCACTACAAGGATGGACGACGTGAGAGTACGACAAGCATTGGACCTGAGAGCGATACTGGAGCTTCGGGAGACGGGCGAATGAGCAGCCTTACTAATGGGATGGTTCAAAGCACACGACAACCTCCTCTGCTCTCTACGTACGACCAAAGCCACGGTCGACGAATGACAGCCACCGATCAACCACCATTAACCGCAGGATCTCTCGTTTCCTCATCTTCCTCTTCCCCTGAGTTCGACTTTGGGATGATGAACGATTCCATGAACCCTATGGAAACCATGAAGGACACCAATGTTGATGCATACGGCCATCAGTCGTATAACTCGACTTCGGCCGTTCAGCGAAAGGTATGCATTGAACCATCTGGCATGCGGAGCCATATGCCTACTTTCAACGACACGATCACCACTACGAAGAGCCAGGATCCACAAAACAGCGGATATGTTGAGCCTTTCGAGCCAATGGTGTCCCTAATGCACCATGATAACAATGGAGACAACCACTATTTCAACCGCCAGGATGACCATGGACTGAGAAACGGAATGAAAATGCATAACTCTTACACCAGCAGGCCAACTGCTCACTACGCTCGATATTAGCTGAGCTCACTCGTCCTCAGCCGACTACCTCCCCCCTTTCCGAAACTCACTACTTGCTTCACTTTTGATGACCCTCTTCTCTCTGGCTGATTACTCACTCCTCAATGATGGCTTGTTCTATCTTTGAGAAACTCCCTCTTTTTAACCTCTTCTCCTTCATACCCACTTCCCCCTCCTCTCATTGCATTGAAATTTTCACCATCAACATACTAAGGGCAGGTGATCTTTTCCTTCCCTCCGAAGACAATATCCACTGATCTTCGGATGTTGATTTCTGGTAACGACTTGTATTTTTGGTTTCCTGCCTGGGCGCATATTTTCCTTGAATATCTCCTTTACCTCCTTGGCCAGCAATTTCCTATGTTTCTATTACTTTTTGCTCGTTTTCCCTATTTCTTTTTATTGAATCTTCGGGCCTTCGACCTTAATGAGAAATGACAGCCATGATAGCGACTGATCGTTAATAATCTAACTCAACCCTACCCTGGACCCGTGCGGAGTTAAATCTCCTTTCTACTGCAGGCCAGGGCAGCTTCCCAACCTTCAGCTACCCTAGAAGTCAGACCAGATAACTTCCTCAACGCTCGTTTCCACACAAGGCCGAATTCCGAATAACGATGATTCTTTCTTCCCCGCAAGTGACGCTACCTTGATATCCTCGGATATACCGGGTTGACTGACCTCTTGTACTCCATGTATGCTACGAATGGCTATTCTGCTTCACGATTAGGGTTTCAGAACCTCCCAAGAAAAGATGGTGAGGAGGGAAAAAAAGGAAAAATTATAATGATGATTCGCATGTTATACTATGTTGGAGGTGCTGCAGTTTGATGACTTTCCCCCGTTTTTTGCTTGCTTGCTTGGTTTTATGAACCCCCATCTACTTCTTTTCCTACTTCTTTTTCTTCCTCTACTTTTCTATTAATTGGCAGTTAGGGTTTTTATTTATGGGTGGGAATATTGAGGGCAATACGGTGAAATGGACATTTGGTCAAAAATGGGCAAGGGATGGATTGCAAAATCATACACAGGAAGGCTTCTTCCGTCAAAACGTTGAACTAGGGGCCCCTTTTCCTTACTTTTCATTTTTTTACTTTCAACCTTAGGGATCTTTCCTTGCTTTCTTTCTCCAGCCAATTATTCTGTTTGATTCACTTGTTATTCTATCTTTTTTGAATTGATGTCATGACCGCCCGCTAGACTTCTCTCCTAGCTTACGACTTGATGCCGGCGTTTTTTCCAAGGGCATATACCCCATTCCCATACTAGTCATGCTATCCCGTCCTATTTCCTATCAAGATTTGGGTCTCGTCGCTTCACCTGGATACGAACCAGGCTCTTTCGCGCAAGGGTTGTCCTGGTTTATTATTCTCTATATGCATGTTTGCGACAACTGCTAATCAGATAGAGCTGAAAACAAAACAAAACAAAAAACTCATTTAGGGAAATCAAGATTTTGATAGGAGAAACAAAAATCCTACATTCCGTCATTTATCGCATACTAAAACCTTGAACTGAACCAATCTCTGCGCAGCTAGCCGTGCAGCGGAATAGGTTGGATATAGCAATAGGGAATCCAAAGATATCTCTCCCCGGAGATGGATAGATAGGCACTGGTGAGGTTGGGAAACTTGGAATTCAGCCAAGACCTTCTATCCGAGAAGTAAAGATAAAAAAGGGGGCGGAGCATGAATGAGGAGAGAAGTGTAGGACAGTCCACCGGGAAAACGAATTGTAGGAGGTGCTTGCTAGAGTGGTTCGCCTGAGTTTCCCACCCCTTCTCCCGTATGTGATACGATCAGGGGGATGAAGTTATGCGCCATGATAAAGCGAAACGTAGCCGGTGAGACCCGTAGTAGCTAACTTTGGGCAAAGAAGGCTGTCCTTTGCAAGCCAAGGTGGGTAGCTGACGATACGACGGGCGTTATGAGAAAAAGAAAATAACGCCCAACTAAGAGGCAGAACTAGGTTGGGTTCCACTCTCCTGGCAACTAGGGTATCACGATATGGCTTCCATGAAGCCGTCAAGGCAAGGAATGGTGTATGAACCATGGTAACTTTCGGCACTGGTGGCATTGGAGTCAAAAGAAACGATAAGAAAAGAAAAGAAAAAGAAAAGAGAGAGAACAACAGCACCCATCCAAGCTTATTATGGAAGGCTATTTCAAGGAAAGCCGCATGCTGCATGTGGGCCAAGGCATCCCCAGGATAATCGGCCGACCAGATTCCACGAGCATATCCATAATCGTATTCATCATAAGTTTGCCGCCGTCGGTCGCCAGCTAAAGACAAGACAAGGCCATGTCCATGCTGTGTGAGAATGTGGGATGGAGTAGAGTAGGAAAAAAAAAAGAAGCAAGAAAGACCAGGATGTTTCAGAGAAAGAAAGAAGCATCATCAGGAAAGGAATATTAAGCGCCAACTATTATACATGGAATCATCTGGTTCAGAGTCCAACAAGGCGCCCAAAGGAGTATGGTGACCTGACACAGCATATTGCGCCACTGCAACGTAGACAAAATGAAATTTAACAATGTCATCGTTGTGTTGTTTAGTAAGGGTATCCTCGAAAATAGCAGTTAGGAATCCGCTTTTTGCATGCCTTTTCCAAAGCGGGCAGGGGCAGAGTAGGGGTGCCCGCGTCCGAGATGCTCGAAAAGGATGAGGGAAAGATGGGGTTCTGACCAAGAGCTGAGGACATGAAAATGGTGTGCTGAAAATCTGGGATGCCAGGAAATGATTGAAAAAAAAAAGGAAGAGCCTCCCTAACTTCGTAAGCTCGTGAGGGGGTGGCCTGACGAGTTGGATAATTGGTTGATTGACGGGGAGGAGGATGGTCGAAATAGCTTTGGGGTTTCACAATGGTGTATCCCGAGACCGGCAATAGAACAGAAATGACGACTGACTCCTCAATTGCCTAGTTAATCCATCCATCCAGGGTGCTTGCTTGCTCGTTTCTTTCGTCTCTCCATCCCCCCCTTGCCTGACGCTCACGCCTCCTACCCAAAAGAATACCAAGAAAGAAGAAAGGGAAGATTAGGATATGCTGGTTGCACTCATCCTTTTCCAAATTTCTCGACTACCAACCATGCTCCAATATCGCGTTGGGGGCACGCACTTGGAGTTCAAGGTCCGAATCCATATCTCTTCGGGCGACAGACGATAGACAACGAGAAAAGAGAGGTATATCTGCTGCCATTATGCGTATACGTATGTGATGCCTTGCGTCGGTTTCCCCCTCAAGCTCCTCCGCGTATTTGCACCTGCGTAGAACCTTCCATCGAACATCCCCCTTTTTTTCTTGTTTTTCATTTATCCACCCTCGAGACGTTGATCGAGAGTTTCCGGTCAAGTTCTGCCTGCTCCTCCTTTGACGGAGTCATGCCTAGCGATTGCTCGAGTTTGGGTGATGCCCACATTCCAAAGGCTGCGTAACCCATCAGGCCTAGGCCGAAGAGAAGACGGGTCCGAGGTTTTAGCGAGCGGTAAGATCTGGTGATTTCAATCAATTAATTCAGCTCAGTTCATTCCACTTCGTTCCATATGCTGTATTTTTTTGAAGGTTAAGATGGTAAAGGTCTCTTGCTTGTTCTTCGGCCGCGATTCCATGCAAGGCTAGCGGAGGCTTTCGTCCTTTTTTTGCTTCTTCCTAGATAGGGGCTTACATACGTCCAAAATGACATGCTGTCTTGCGTCTCAAGAGGCTGGTTGGCTGTCAATGTGCTTGATTGGCCTGTCTGTCTGATGGTGATAATGCTGTGTTCGGTGTTCAAGGTCAGAGTCGAGACGTTGAAGTTTGATAGAAGAAGCTCGGATGCTACTGGCCCAAAGTGGCTTAGCTCAGAGGATGACTTGCATGAATAACACTTGAAGCTCGTCGTGCTGTATAAAAAAAGAGATCCTCAGGGAGACCCAGGGGGCACGACGTGGTGAGACTTGGACGCCTTGTAGATCCGGAGTATTTCTTGTTACATCAGGCTGCCGTCAACGTAATTAATTTATTGTCCCGTAACTTATTTCTAACTACTGGTGATCGAAGCTCCATCTTTGGCATATAAGCCCCCCTGCCATACACATACATGAAAGACGAGATTAGATATCGGATATAGACAGCAAATGCCGGCATCTGCATACACATGCCCCGTTAGGCAAGTGTGCAGGTACGTCTGACCGCAATTCTCTCGCCCCTTTCATCTAATCTCATTCATCTCGCATTGCATATGCAGCAACAGCTCAGTCTCCCCATGCATGAATGCATGAATAAAGAAAAGACAACGCACCGACGCAGAATTAGAAGACGGACATGGTAAATAATTAGTTAACTAAATTGGAATTTTCAAACTATTCCTTCCTAACGGTCGTGAAAAAAGAATACGAATGGAAAAAGGAGGAGACGGTCTTGCAAAAATGGTTTGCAACAGCGGTGAGAGCAGTCTTCGTGGATTCGGACAGATCGGCAATGGACAGCGGGAGAATGGAGTGGGTGAACTCAGACAGGAACAGACATGGAAACATCAGAAGTAAGGTATAAGTGTGGATAGAAAACGAAAGGAGTAAGGGCCAGGAAGATGGGGGCAAAGCTATATACGGCGGATCAATCAAGTACACAGCAAGCTAAGCCAATGAATGGCAAAAGCTGAACGGTCGGGCATTAGGGAAAGAGGAGGTTTGCTGTTTGTTTGTTTGTGTGGTATATTATATAGCTGCAAGGAGAGGCGGTAGTGAGATGCCTCTGCGTGAGCAAGCGGATGATGCGAGATTTGATGCCCGGGATGAAGGATAATCGATCCACTCTACGAAGACTTTCCGTAGGCGCGATCGATGTCTTTCTGGTACTTGGCCACGAGCTTCTTGCGCTGTAGCTTCTGCGCTGCGGTGACAAAGCCCTGTTCAACGTTGTTAGAAGGTTGAGATATATATGTGAATGGTGTATGACTTACGTTCTGAGGAGTCCATTCTTCATCTGAGAGGACGACACCTTCGATGATCTCAAAGCCACGCAGACCAGCGGACTTGCCTACATTCTGCATGTCCTTCAAGATGATCGAGTTGAGCTTCTTGTCATGAACAAGAGTGCCGATGCTGTCTCCCTGGATACCATTGGACTTTGCAAGCTGGAGCAAGGCTGGCTCTGCAGGCACGATGATGGCAACGGGCTTAGCCTGGTCTTCAGCAGCATATACGCATATATTCGCCACGACGGGAGCAGAGCGGTAGATGGACTCGAGTTTCTCAAGGGCGATGTATTCACCGTTCAGAGACTTGACGAGGTTCTTCTTGCGGTCGATGACCTTGATATGGCCGTTGGGCTCGAACTGGCCAATATCACCGGTCATGAACCAACCGTCGGGCGAGAATGCGGCTTTGGTCTCTTCTTCGTTATCGAAGTAGTGCTTTGCAACGCTCACGCCTCGGATCCAGATCTCACCCTGGGGAGGGTTGTTCTTGGTAAAGTAGCCTGCGTCAGCGAAGTCGACGAGCTTCATCTCGACGGCAGCTGGGATCTCGCCTATGGCGTCGTTGGTCCAGGCCATAGGGTCGTTGAGGCCGCCCATGGCAGAGGTTTCCGTCAGACCGTAACCGTTGATCATGGGGCAGACGGCCATGGAGAGGAATCGTTGGGTTTCTCTCGAGACCGGCCCACCACCGCTGAGAGTGAGACGCAGACGGCCTCCAGTGGCATCTTTGATCTTCTTGAAGACGAAGGAGTCTAGTATGCCAGCACCGGGTAGACCGGTGGACATGAGGAACTCCTTAGTTGCGATACCAGCCCAGAAGATGCTCTTGACGATGGCACTGTTCTTGTTGACGTTGCCGATGATACCCTTCTTGACAGATTCCCAGACCATGGGCACTCCGACGAGGACAGTTGGCTGCAGCTCACGGATATCGCCCTTGCAGTTCCTGACGGAAGTGTCCGAGAGGGTCTTGGGGCTTCCGTAGCCCATGGTGCCACCCCAGAAGAGACAAAGGTTCTCAAATACGAACTCGAGGATATGGGCTTGGGGTAGGTACGTCAGAAGCACATCACCGGGCCCAAGATATGAGCCAACAATGGAATCGGCACCCGCCACTATATCAACTCGTCAGATCTGTATACTTCGTTGTAAGTTAGGGAAAGACTTACTGGCACCAACAACGTTGGCGTGGGTGAGAGGGACACCCTTTGGTGGACCGGTCGAACCAGATGTGTACATGATACAGCAAAGGTCGTCGCGGGATGGCGGTACCGGGTCAACAGGGTTCTCTTCACCCAGCTTCCGGAGGTCCTCGTAGGTCATGATGTTGAGGTAGTCGAAGTCCGCCTTGAGGCCATCGATATGTTCCTGCTTGGGCTCCGAGTTGGTGTCATAGATGACGTTCTTGACATCCTTTGCATCCTTGAGGACCTTTCGTAGAAGCGGGAGGAGAGTAGGGTCTAGGAAGATGGACTCGCTGCGAGTCTGCTGGAGAGAGTGTCGAACACCTTCTTCGCCGAGGGAGTCGTACGCGGTCACTATGGTGATGGACTGGGATGCGGCGCCTGGAAGAAGTCAGAAGCTTGTTCTTGCGGCTATAGTCAAAAGCTGGAGCCGAGCTTACCGTGAGAGAGACACAACCAGTGCGCACTATGGGGCATGTTAGCTCAGAAAACCCATCATAATCTGTGAAATAACAATGAAGAGGAGAGCTAACCTGGTAGAGCTGAAGAGATGGAGTCTGCTGCCGGCTTCATGGCCGAGCTTCCTGAGACCAGCACCGAGCTGTAGAGCCTGCTGCTCGTACTCCGTGAAGGTTAGGTAGCTGTAGCCACTGAGCTCAAAGTAGGTCCATTCCTTGTCAACCTCCTGCTCAACACCCTCTACGAGCCGCTTGACCTTCTTGTTCTCGACATGCGTCTTGACGACTTTGCGCGAGCCGACTGCCTTGGAGTTTCCGTACGTCTTTGCGCTCCATCTGAGGTTGTCGTAGCTGGTAGCAATCTCTGGGTTGGGCGTCTTGAGCAGCTCGTCTTTAGCCGTGGGGTGTCGTCGCGGGATGGTTTCTCCTTCGACGGGCTCGTAGCCGGACGCCTCGACGGAGAAGGGACCCTTCTTCAAGACGCGAGGGTAGAAGACTGTATTTTTGAGCGACATGCTGGGCTAGAGGCAGCTCGCGTGGATCGATTGGACCGATGGAGATCTGGTTGGTGTGCGAGGCGGGCGTCTGGAGCTGCGAGGTGAGCTCTCTGCAGGCAGCAAAAGGGGGACAAAGACGGACAGGCTATCCTTGTCCAGCAACCGGTGGGCGGCGGGTGGTCGATTGTATCGTTCTTCTGCTGTGTCGTCTTCACCAGCCAGGGTAGTCAAGTAGACGTCAGCTATCCTAGCTCGCTGGCTGACTTTGTTGAGGTTGTTGGGAGGAGGAGACGAGGGCCGCGGTGGAGATGCAGATGGAGACGGGTTTTTTGCTTCCTAGGCGAGTTTAAAAGCCACTACTACTACCACCAGCAAGCGCAGTAGAGATATGTAGCAACAGAAGAAGCAGGCAGAAGAACAGCTAAATATATATAGAAGAAAAGCGGCCGGAGAGATGACAGTCTCAGCCCGTTTGCTCTAGTTGTCTCTTGTTTCTATCAGCGTCTATCGATGGCGCTCTATCGCTTTGGCAAGCCAGCGGACGGCCAGCCACATTGCTTTCCCCTTTCCCCCTAAGCCAGCCCGCAAAAGCAAACATGTACCTCTTCTTCCCGCGAGAGACTGCAAGAGGCTGCAAGAGACTCTGCTAGTTGCCCTGGGCTGTCCAGCGCAGGCTTTGGCTCGTTCTCCCGTCCCGGCGTCCACCTCGGCCAGGACTATGTCAGCCGGTTTAGTTAGTTAGTTGATTGCACCCAGAAAGGCCGTTGGCAGTGAACATCACATCAACCGCTTGCTGTGCCTCTCTCGTGCCTCTCTCGTGCCTCTTTCGTGCCAGTCGGCTATTTATGGCCAATCAGTCGCATACTCCAAGATCCTTGGACTCATTGGCAGTGACTTGGCCGCTGGCCAGGCAGACTGCCTAACTACCCCGGAGAAAGTTGTATAGTTATATAGTTCGGGCCAACCACAGCTAGCAGTTCGTGGCGTTCTATCAGAGACGCAGCTCATCCTCGCAGGAAGGCAAAGGGCCGAGTGTTAGTTATAATATTGAACATCAGCACTCTTTATGGAATGTATTCTAGTGAAGTATCAGAAGTTATCTGTCGATGTGTAACTATGCCATGGGAAGGCTTGCACAGATCTGGCTGTCGGTGATAGATCGGTGATAGATCCGATCTTGTGCTTCACCCTCGGCAGCTCGCGCCTCCTTGGCCAGCCCATAGTTAACCGCTGGCTTCACTAGTAATTCACTGTCCGGGCATCTCGATCTCGTCGTCGGTTTTGATAGTGACCTCGACTGAAGAGTAACTACGTAGTCTAGGTAGTCAGTGGCCGTCGACAGCACCAGGAGTCGAGTTACTGCCGTCTTTCTTCTTCACCTGCTGGCATCTTCATCCTCTCCATCCTCATCCTCATCCTCATCCTCATCCTCATCCTCATCCTCATCTTCACCTTCACCTTCACCTTCATCTTCCTACTCATCGCTGTCTTCATCGCTGTCTTCGTCTGTTTGTCTCCAACTTCGTCGTTTCTGCGTGTTTCTCTCCAAATATTTCGATGTAGTTGTTTATTTCCTCTTTGGGGTAGCCAGAGTGAGCAGAATATTTATAATATTTTATTTTCTTTTTTCTTCCTTTTTTCTCTCTTATAAAAACGACGACAACTCGCGACGTCGAAGATGAAGAAGACGAAGATGAAGTGAATTGACGGACAGGAGACGCTGCTGGTTGTCACTGCTGGTTCGCCGGGTTTGGTGGTGAGGCGAGGATGAGGCGAAGACGAGGATGAAGACGAGGTAACTAACTTGGCCGAGTTGACTACAGAGAGTTAGGAACTTCCCGCCAGCTTCAACGGCATAAAAGCGCGTCAAGTTACACCCCAAGATACCCAGTAGAAGACCTCTCTCAAGCCAGTCAGTGAGGAGTCGATACCACGAGATAGTAACAGCAGAGATACCAGCAAGACAGCCACGGCCAGGACAATACCCGAAGAGACCAGTATACGCGCTTCCAAGATGCCACCAGCAGAGCAGACCGCGGCTACAAAGCCAGCCCAGCCACAGAAGACAAAAGAAAATCTTAATACCCCATACAAGCAAGGCCGTCAGACTGGTCCCAGTGTCAAGCCTGCTCTGGAGTCGATACCTTTGAACCGCCTTTCAAAGGTGACAGCCACGGCCAAGTTCAAGATTTTCAAGCCAAAGAGAGAAACAGTCAAACCGAGACATCTGGAGAAGATACCACTGCCATTTATATCGAGATCTACTACATACCACAGCAGCCAGAAGAATTATCAACAGCAGCAACAGCTGGAGAAGATGGAGGAGGAGGAACTAAAGGCTGCCATTTCACGCTCGCCTTCCCCTGGTTGCGGAGCCCTGCCGGACTGCTGGAGTTGCGGCACAGAGTTGGGCGACTGTCCCCCATGCAGCTGCGAGGAGTGTGGCATGCCCAATTAATCTATTATTCTCGCTTCTTCTTCTTATTACTATTATTCTTCCCTCGTCTTCCTCTCTTTGTTGTCTTCGTCTGTTTCTCCTTTTCTCCGGGTTTTCCGTGGACCTTTTTTTCTTATCTGTGGGCTTTCCATTTTCTTTGTCTGTGGACACGGCATAGCGCAATAGCGGGGAGTCATAACCATTCGGTTATTTGATTTGCCCTGCTATATATAGTCAGTTATCTAGTATCCTGGACCCCTCTAACTTGCCGGGATTACCCAACGGGCCTACTTACATACGAATGCGGGGATGGACCATACCTGGCCTGGGGATTAGCAGGTATATTGCTAATCAACATCAATACCTCATCACTGTTCATTCTTCTCCTCCCTCTGCTTCTTACTCATGTTTTACTGGCCAAGAAAGGAAGACAAGGTCCGTTTTTCTGAGTATTGACATGAAAAAACAGTTTCGTTCGCTTCCCAGTTGTTTAGGAAAGGGCGTGCATGGTCCTTATTCCCCCTGCCGACTTCTTCCCCATCTGGCTCTCGGCATTTCTCCCCAGAATCGGGCTCGTAGGCGTCCATGCCCAGATGCCTGTTCTCTTGCAGAAATACTCACTTGACCAGGTGAGGGGTTCTAGCTCTCCGGGGTATGCTTGCAAACTTCGGGTGCGAAACCTCATTATTACGTGAATCATGCATCGCTCATCTCATCCTCCACTAAATGATATCAAGACTTGAACTAAGGAGTCCCTGGCGTGGCCGTACATTATGCAGAGTGTTTGAAATCTAACAACTGCATTCATAAATCACGGCATCGTTATTATTAAATGACGATATCAGCGTCTCCGTCCCGATACATATCTAGCTAACGTGTTAGGGCCTAGTCAACGGGTTGAACGTCGGATGGAAGGCCCTGGAACGACTGCAAAGTGGGCCATATCACTGATGGCCAACACACTCCTTATCGCAGGATTAGTTTTCTATCAGTTAATATATTCTTCATTATCAACTATTCACCATAGTGGATATCGGAAAACAAACAATTTCAATCTGGTCTACAGATGTCAAACGTGACCAGCTTCCCCGGCTCTGCAATGAGAACCCGTTGGGCACAGGACGGCGGCGCTGCAGAATTAACGGTAGCCATCCATATCCTTGATCTTTGGGGAAGGCGGTTTCCTACTCTTCCTGGCATGTAACTCCGCAGCCTCCGCAGGCCCTCTCTTCACCAATTCCCAAGATAAGTTCTACTACTTCATAGTAAGCCAGGGGTAAACCACACTAACACATCTATACTAGTTGTTAGCGTCTGACTATGGCGTCCCGTACCTGCGAAACGGAGGCAGAAGGGGTCCGTCCATGCAAGAAGGCTCAGTGTGGCTCCAAGCCACCCGTGCAGTGTGCAGTGAAAGAGAACGCACCTGCAGAGAATCAGGACGAAACGGTCCGAACAACTTCCATGCATGCCTGGACAGCTGTCTTATGTCTTATGTATCGACATCCATCCCAGGCATTTGGATTCTCCCCGAGATCTCCAGCGTCGATCGAAATGCTTCCTTTCCCATCCTTGAGCATCGCCTTGACCATATTGTGAGTGAAGTCTTAGGAAATTGCTTGTCCCGCTCGAAGGGACTGCACCCCAGCTCGCAAGATGGCAATGTCATTGCCACACTAGGCTGGTTCAAGGAGGTCGACTGCGTGATCTCAGGACGCAGGAAGAAACGAAAAAAGTCAAAAGTTCCCACTTTTATCCATTCCGCCAGCCATCAGCCATCGATGGGAGAGGATCTACAACATTAGCTTCGCAGCTTAAAGTCAAACCCGCTGTTGACATACTTGCTTATACGAACATTTCGATTTCACATGCGGGGTGCGTCTATCTGGACACAGCGGGAAGCTTCAGTGAGACGAATCAACGCCAGAGTACTCCGTAAGAGCATGTCGGACCAAGGGACAACTTAGGTTAAGTTGCTTGGTCCCTCGAGTCAGCCGCGGAGATAACATGAATCGAAATCCAAGGGCCTCCATTATTCTTCCGGAAGCTTCAAACATCGCAATATCTTTGACCGCTCGTAACGAGATTAGAATTCTCCACTTGGCACGAGAACTGCGGAGCATGACCTCCTCCGCTCTCTCCCCCAGAAAATGGAGACGTCGACTTGGCAGATTGCAAGTCAGTCCGGAGAAAGGTCACTTTTTCGTCCAGGGGTCCGCGAGGGAACAAGCACTAAAGGCTTCAACCGAAGTCAGATTCTCTCGACAGCAGATATGTATGGCGAACAACAGCTGAGATGGGGAATCTCGTAAAAGCAGAAAGGCCTATGAACTTTCATATCCTGGTAACTGAGTGATGACTTGGCATGGAACATTTCCATCGCCTAAGTTTCCTTAGTCCACCTTTTTTTTTCTATCCGCGTTCGCTCCCTGTTCTACTGTCGTCGATACCCCAGGTTCTAGCGCTTCTGTGAAGGTCCCCAAAGTGTTAATCCTTCATTTCTTCTTCCGATAACACTGAAACAGTTTTATCCGGCCGACCAAAGAAACAACCACGGCTACGTGCGGGTCCAAGCCCGACATCGTGATCAGATGGCAAAGCTCAGAAATCCAATCTCGACATACCAGACTCAAGAGGTCTTGTCACCAAGCTCGTGCCGTAACCTGGGGAATTACTTTTTACCCTCTCCGGGGTTTGCCTTTTGCCTTCGCACGGTATCCTGACGTTGCAATCAGTGGGATCCTAGCAGAGCTCATGGGTCTCGGGGTATTCCTTGCAACGTCGAGATAACAAGCTGGATAGCAGGAGCAGGGGATCAAAATAGAACGATTTTGATTTTAACTTTGCTTCTTTGTGGGACTTGTTTATACCCCCGTATTATATGTTGAGGAGAGAAACGGACGGAGATGAGACGGGAGACTGACGGGAGAGCCTCCTACGACAATCTTTACTATAAAGATGGCCATCCGTCCTGACCTCTGCTAGAGATATTTCCCTTTCTCTCCTCCATCCCCTCCAGCACATCATCATCTCCACCTCAACAATTGTTTGTTGCCGATCAAGATGAAGTTTTCCGTTTCCGTCTCGCTGCTTGCTGCAGCTGGCCTGGCCTCTGCCGCCAATGAGTTCGCTATGAACAGGCTGATGTCCATGAAGGTCGCTGAGCGTGAGGAGTACAGAGCTAAGGGAATGTTCGCTCCCGGAAAATATGGCAACTCTACCAACCGTTTCGTTCCTTGCCGACACGGAAAGGCCGGAGAGTACTCGTGCGACAAGGTTGACCTGCACGGTTTCCTTACCCACCAGGAGATGGGCAGCACTACCCGTGAGGGTAACGATGTCTGGGGTAAGTCGAGAGCTTCTCATTGCGCCTACTGGGAGGTCAATGTACTGACTGGGTAACAGGTTGGACCTCAAGAGATGGCCGTGAATTCGGTGCCATTGGCCAGACTGATGGAACCGCCTTCGTCGAGATTCTCAAGGATGGACGACTTAAGTACAAGGGTCGTCTGCCCACTCAGACCGTCCCCAGTATCTGGCGTGACATGAAGGTCATTGACGGATACGTCTACATTGGAGCCGAATCCAAGGACCACGGTCTCCAGGTCTTTGACATGCGCAAGGTAAATTGAATTTTCACCTTAGTGAAAGATGACCGAATTGCTAACGAAACATATAGCTGCTCGACCTTGAGAAGCCAAAGACCTTCTCCATCACGGAGGACCTTACCGCTTTCTTCAGCGGTTTCGGTAGCTCCCACAACATCGTCCACCACGAGGCGACTAAGATGATCTATGCCGTTGGAACCGGCAGAAAGACCGAATGTGCTGGAGGTCTCTTCATGGTCGATGTTTCCGACCCAAGCAAGCCACAGTCCCGTGGCTGCGCCAACTCTGACGGATACGTCCATGACGGTGAGTCTTCTTCCAGGGCATTTAATAGTTATTTATGTAAACAAACAATGCTAATGTGCATCTAGCTCAATGCGTCATCTACACTGGACCCGACCGCCAGTACAAGGGCAAAGAGATCTGCTTCGGCTACAACGAAGACTCTCTTACCATCTACGACGTTACCGATAAGGGAAGCCCCAAGATCATCTCCAAGACCCCATACACAGGCTCTGCCTACACCCACCAAGGCTGGCTCGCCGACCCCAAGAAGATGACCTACCTGCTCCTCGACGACGAGCTCGACGAGAAGGACGGCACCGCCCTCGGCAAGGACCACACCACCACCTACATCTTCGACATCAAGGAGCTTGCTAAGCCAAAGTACACCGGTTTCTACCAGTCCCCCGCCAAGTCTATCGACCACAACCAGTACGTCCTCAACGGCCTCACCTACCAGGCCAACTACGGCTCTGGTCTCCGCATCGTTGACGTCAGCTCCGTTGAGAAAAAGCCCGATGGCTCCAAGTTCAGACAAACCGGTTTCTTCGACTGCCACCCAGAGGATGACCAGATGGGCGGAGAAGTTTCTTTCCACGGCAGCTGGAGCACCTACCCATACTTTAAGAGCGGATACATCCTCCTCAACAGCATTGAGCGTGGTGTCTACTCCCTCCGATACAACGGCCCACCAGCCCGTTACGGCTGGTAGATTAATATCTAGCCAGATCTTTTCTTCTTCGTCTTGAATATCATTTAGAATATTTAGACGTGTACATAGCTTTTCAATGAATATATGAATGAATATATACCTTTATGAATTCCAATGTTGCTCCCGTGCTCGATTATCACATTTATACTTTGCTGCCACTCGTTTAAGGGTTCAATCTGACTAGCGGCTTTTCCGCCCTAGCAATAAATAGCCGAAAAAACCAGCCCAAACAGACTTACCAATTACACTACACCAGCCACGGCTTCAAACGTATCGTATCAAACGCAGACATGCCATTTGACCAGATAGCAAGCGAAGAAAACATTTACGTGACAGGTACAGCCGTCAGCAGCTGACAATACACCACGTTCGTTCATCATGGACCTTCTCAGCCTTCTGGATACAATTGGGCATGAAGTCGAAGACGCCGAAGATGGTATGCATCAACCAATCAAATGGTATCATCTACTTTACATTACCTAACCGTCTTAGATGCCTTTATCCAATTCTCAAATCCTATACCCTCGAGTAACCTGGGCTTTATTGATCCCCGATCAAGTACCGTTGAGCTCACCGTTGGCGGAGAAGAGTTGACCATCCGTCAATCGCCAACCATCTTATCCTCGAAGAGAGCAGGAGGAACTACAGGCGCAGGTACGTTCATATAGATAGCTACGTCTGCAACCACATCTATACCCATATCCAGTGGTTGGTTGGCTGGTTGAGGTGGCCAATCAATTAACGAAATACCCGTTCAAATTTTTCACTACCTAAAATGACACTGTCACCAAACACATAACTACAACTGAAGTAAATAAACAAAGAGCCTAACTGAGCTGAACTGAACTGAAATGAAATGAAACAAACTGGAGAGAAAAGAAACATGGAAAAAGGAAAAGAAAAGAAAAGAAAAGAAAAATACTGATAACAGAAATAGTTCTCTGGCAAGTTACTCCCAAACTAGCAGAATGGCTCTGCAAGAAAGACAATGCCCTATGGAAATCATCCGTTTTAAACTCTGAATCCGCCGTCGTCGAGCTGGGATGTGGTACTTCGGCGGTGCTGGCGGTATCCCTCGGTCCGAAAGTAGGGTGTTACGCCGCGACTGATCAGGAGTATGTTCGGAAGCTGTTCAATGAGAATTTGCGAACAAATGGGAAGATCGCTTCTTCGTCTTCGTATGCGGGTTCGACGGGGAGTAGTAGGTCTGGCAAAAAGACTGAGCGAAAGGGTGGCAAATATCACCACCACCCTCACCCTCATCACCGGCCAGAACGTGAGAGGAAGAATAGCCCTGCTCGGCGTGGAGACGATGGAAGCGGTTCTGGCGATTGTAGCAGCGGTGGAGTGTCGGAGAAGATCAAATTCGTCCCGTTGGATTGGGAGTTGGATTCGCCTGATATGCTGAAACGTTCGATCAGCGCTGACATCGCTGAAGATGACCCTGGCTTCGACCTGCTGCTTGCATGTGATTGTATATACAATGATGCATTGATTGCTCCGTTCGTGGCGACGTGTGCTGATATATGTCGCTTGCGCCCGTCCGTGGGCGAGGAACGGCCCGAGAGACCTACGCTGTGTGTTGTTGGCCAGCAGCTGCGGTCTCATGAGGTGTTTGAAGGGTGGATGAAAGAAACCTTGGAGGTGTTTCGTGTGTGGAGGGTGAAAGATGAAGTCGCTGGGTCTACTCTGGCTTCTGGAACGGGGTATACGGTGCATATATTGCTTTTGAAAGGCGGAAACTAGATAGATAGACAAGACGGGACGGAAAATGATATGACAAGAAGAAGAAGAAGATTGAACATGACGTGTAGGCGCGAAGTAAACGTGAGGAAGAAGTAAACGTGAGAGAGGAGCAGAGGGATGTGGTCATCGTGTTGGTAGTGAAGGCAGAGGGAGATTAAAATTAGTATGGCGGGCTCGAATTTTGTGAAAATGGTATGATGCATTCATATTTTTGAGGCAGCAACGGAAAGGTCTAAGTACGGCTATGGGGAGGTTGCTAAGGAATCGCCTGCGTCCAGACCTGCTAGGGCACTATAAATCTGTTAGCATTGTGTGTTACATGTCTGTAGTTAGAGAGTATGCTGTACTTACCCGAATGCATTTTGAGAAGACTCATCTTTCTTCTCCTTTCCGGCTGGCGGTGTTCCGGTGCGGCTGCTTGCGCCGCTATCCTCGCCGCCTCGCACGAGGTTTCCTCCAGGTCCTAGATTTCTTCGTCCGCTTCCGCTCCTTGAGCCAAGTAGGCCAGATGGGCTGAAGGAAGCGGGCTGGTTGGTATTTCTGCCTGTCTTTAGACGACGTAGATCATCACTGCCGACTTTGTTGGAGTAATCTGGTGGAGGTACTTGGGCGCCGTAGCTGCCGAAGTTACGGGCGTCACCACGGCCAAGGTGCATGCGTCCACCACCGCCACCGCCTCTGTTGGCTTGTTGGCGGGCTCTTTCGAGTTCTTGCTCTTGTTGAGCGCGGGCAGCCTGTAACCGTTAGCATATGTATATCGACAAAAAGTTAAGTTAGAAGGGAGTTGGTAGGGACATACATCTTCTCTGATCTCAGCAATGGTCTTGGGACCCTTGTCGGCATCCTTTGATACCCAGTTGGCTTTTCGTAAATCAATAACATCCTATGACCATAGGTTAGTACTCAGCGGATCAAACATTGATATACGAGAACAGGGCAAGGACGTACCATAAGCATGAAGCGATGTCTGCTCTGCAACTCGGTTGTGTCCATCATCAACTTGATACGACCGAAGTATGCATCCATCATCGCATGTCCCTTCTCCGAGCTATCCAAACTAGCACCAATAGTTCTCAACAAACTGGCCAAACTCTCAACTTCTGCCTCATCAGGCACACCGTCATAATCAACCAGTCTTTTAACGCAATCGTGCATAATTCGTTCCGTCAACATGCCCAGCTTGAACAGCTCACCAATAAACTTGACTAGACCGAGACCACGTCGTTTGGCGGCCGCAGCCTTGTAGTATTCATCAGACATCATGGCAACCTCTTCAGTAACACCCTCAGGCTTCTCGGGCATGTTGACTTTCCAGCCTCGCTCGAACTCTTCCTGACAGCGGTTAAGTAGGTATTTGCGGAACAAGCTGCCTCCCGCTACGATGGTGCCGTTGCGGTCACGGATGTTTTCGTCCTTGATTTCAGGGCTCATGCTTTCATGCATACGCATGCAGAATTTGGCGTACATGGATGCCCAGTGAGCTTCGTCGGTGGCCTTTTCGAAGGTGAGCTGGATGACTTGGCGAAGGGTGCGGCCGTCGGACTCGTCCTTGGATTGAGCGACAATGTCGAGGATCTGGCCGGATATCTTGTCGAAGTTCTCGGGTGTCATCTTGTTCAGGTTACTCTTGACTTTACCCTGTACAACATCTGGTGGTAGATGGCCATCTGGAGCAGCACCTGGTCCCTTGCTGCCTATGCTGCGTGGTTTCCAGCCGGAATTGGAGGTGTTGAGAGGCTTGATGTCGGCGTTGGCAGTTAGAGGCATTGTCTTGCTCAATTCCTCCTCCTTCTTCTTCTGTTGCCTGCTTCCGGTGCGAGCACCTCTGTGGCTTGGGTTACGGGAGCCACCAAGCTGTGAGCCAGCGGCGGAGGCAGATCGAGCGCCCATGGGGTTGAGGGGGCCGAATTGGCCGAACGGGTTGCCGCCCTTGGACGAGCCTCGAGGAGCGTTCATGACGGGGAATCTATCGGAGCCGGCGGGGAGTGTATGTGTTCGCACAGGATTGTTGAATTGGCCCATCATGGGGCCTTGAGCAGGACCACGGCTAGCACCAGATCGAGGGCCAGGAGTGCGGACGGGGGTACGAGCAGAATCAGTAGATCCATCACCAACAGTCTCACGGACACGAGCATCCCAGTCGACGGAGGGCTTCTCCTTGAAAACGTTCTGGAACTGCAGCAAGAATTCCTTGTTGTATTTGAACTTGCGGTCTGCGGGGGCGTTGTTGTTGAGTGCCGGGTTGGGTGAGACAATGGAGGGTGGGTAGGCGACGTTGCTTGGGTCTTCGAGGAATCGAGCGGAGTGCAGAGATTTCATAGCCGCGCTAGGCTGTGGTGGTTCGACCTGCTTATTTGTCTCGAGCTTGAGAGAGGCGGGTTTCTCACGCTTTCCAACACCGCCGGCGAGAAGTTTCTGCTGTGGTGGTCCCATCGAGGTATCGGAGACTGGAGTTGCGGCGCCGCTCTCGGAGGGAGTAGCAACGGCTGGGGTGTCTGCAGGGGTGGCTGATTTGCCCCTAAGAGAAGCAAAGAGCGATTCACGCTCCTTTCTGTCTGCATCGTTCTCGCCAGACTCGAGTTTCTTGATACGAGCCTCCTCGGCGGCCTCAGCCTCTCGCTCAGCTTTCTTGAGCTCCTCCTCCTCAGCAGCAGCTCTCTCCTTTGCCTTGAGAGCAGCTTCGGCCTTCTCCCTGGCCTTCTTCTCTTGGTAGGCCTTCTCAGCAGCGGCTTCTCGGGCTTCGATCTCAGCCATCTCCCTCTCAATGGCATCAAAATCGATCTCATCCTCTTCAGCGGCCTTAGCGGGTTCGCTTACCACCACTTTCTCCTCTTCCTCCTTCTTCTTCTCCTCTTCCTTTGCAGGGGCGGGAGTAGCAGCTGGAGCCGGAGCCGGAGCCGGAGCAGGGATTGTTTCTGGCTTGGGGGCAGGCTTCTCGGTAGCAGCCTTCTCCTCGGCCTTTGAAGCAGCGGCTTCCTTCTCCCGAAGGCTCTGGACAACGGCATTCTGGAAGCTCTGCTTCTTCTCCTCACCGGTCTGAGATTTAGCATCAGTGGCATCTGGTTCTCCGCGGCTGGCGGTGCGAGGTGGCGGGGTGGAAGTAGGTGTAACACCTGGCTTAGCAGGAGAGGCGGATCCACGGGCAGGCGAGCTTGACGGCTTTACGACAGCACCGCTGCCAGGGTCACGGATGATCAGAGGGCTGTGTTTCTTTGGTACGACGAAGGGGGACTGGTTGACGGGGCTTCCATTGTTGTTGCGGCTGTTAGTGTGATGGTGTCCGGGGCCGCCTGGGCCGGGAGCTGGAGGCACCTGGCTGAGGCTGCTACCGGGCCGGTCAGTGGCAGACAATTGAGAGGAAGATCTGGCGATGGGTACACCCTGGGGCATCTGGTGTGGCTGAGCGGCGTACTGGCCTGGCATATAAGGTTGTTGAGGGATTCCGTAACTGTTTCGAGGAGAAGAGGGAACCATGGGCATGGGCTGCATGCTGTATTGGCCAGGGTAGTAGTAGGCATTGTTATCGTAAGGAGGGTAGCCCTGAGATTTGAATTTGGTTAGAAGATGTTCAAAATTGCCGCTTTCCGGCGAGAGGCATATGTGAGAAGGCCGCTGCTGCTCTTCTTGTGGTGGCAGTTCCGCCGTAGTAATTGGTGAGGAAACTTGAGGAGGGGGAGTAGGGAGCGGATGTAGTTGTGGAGGAAGGGATGGAGGCTCATAAGAAGGGGGTTGATATGATTGATGCGTTAATTGGTGAGGAGGAGGTGGTGGCGGAGGGGGTAGTGAAGGAGTAGGAGGAAGGGGAATGGGGCCATTGTGATGGGGATGATGGTAAGGAGGAGCAGGGGTATAGTGTGAGGAAGAGAAGTGCTTTTTGTGATAAGAAGAGCGGCGTTTGCTGTGAAACTTGGTGGAGGAAGATGAGGAAGAAGAGGAAGAAGGGAACGGATGCTGATTTACTTGTTGAGCTGCCATGGGCTGAGGATAAGCACCATACTGCTGGGGCTGCATCTGCGGGTTTGTCATGGGCACGGGAGCCATCTGGGGAGTAGCCGGGTTCGTGTGGGAGAGCGCGGGGCTCGATCCGGGCTGTTGGTGCTGGTGCTGATGCTGATGCTGGTGCTGGTGCTGGTGTTGGTGATGATTTTGATGCCGGTGCTGATGTGGAGGGTTCGGGTAGCCACCGTACGGCCGTTGCTGGGTGTTGTTGTATCGAGCATTCATGTTCGGACCGCCTCGAGTGTTCGGATGCGGCCTATATGGCTGGTGATTTGGCCTCATGTTTCGCTATTAAATGTTAATGGATGAATTTTTGTATATATCAAGAAGGTATGTCAAAGGGGAAAAAAATGGTGGTAAAAAAAAAGAAAAGAAAAATGGAAGAAACCAACCTGGTCATTTTGGTCCATATCAGCTATGAAATTCAAGTTATTCCCTGAGCCCTGGAGAGAAGACGGGGGACGACCACCGCTGGCCAAGGGCTGTGGAATGGGAGAAGGAGAAGCATGCGGCGAAGGCCCCCGCGAGTTGCTAGAAGGGCCTACACCGAGGGAAGCCTGTTGCTGTTGTTGTTGCTGCTGTGCTTGCTGTGGCTGCTGTTGCTGGTTAGCTGGGACAGCAGGCGGTCCCATCCTAGGAGAGCCTTCGACCGCGCCGAAGCGGAGGTTAGGCCGGGAGACAGATGTCATTAAACAGGGCAGTTCTTGGGTTGTATTATGTAGGGGGGTCGTAGCGGCGTCGCAAGGGAGGTGTAGGAAGGTCGAGGTGAACAGAGGATCTCAAGAGATTCCAGCTCCAACTCGAGATGCTGCGACTAGACCTGTTAGCTGGGCCAGTTTCAAGCAGTCAAAAAACAGCAAGTAGCAGCAGTATTAATATTAATATTGATGAGGATGTTGGGCTTGTTGAAGAGTCCCAGTCCGCCTAACACCTGAAACTTCCCGGCTCCCTCACATAGGCCGCAACTCCGGCGCAAAAAACGAGCAGCTGGGAGATGGCGCAAAGATCGAGACAGCCGCAGGAGACGCAGGAGACGCAGCAGGCCGCAAAGAGGAAGAAACGAGCGCTGTCGACTCACCCGCAGAAAGGAGGCCCTGCCTGTGAAGAAGTAAGAAGAAGAGAAAGACGAGTGAAACCACGGCCAGACAGGCGGGCAAAAGAGGACGACTGCGTGAGACCGCGGGGCGCCCTGCTTCCTGGAGAAGAGAAGGAGAGGCACAACAGGGGGTCTGAGGCGGTTCTAAAGCGGTTCTTGGTTGGGGTTTGTGGACTGTTGATAGTTGTGGTTGGTGGTTGAAGGTTGAAGTTGAAGTCGGACGTCGAACTTCAAGTCTTCTTCGTCTTCGTCGTCGTCTTCTTGTGCGGAAAAAAAAAGAAGTTTTTTTTTTTTTTTTTTTTTTTTTTTAGCTTTTGGTTTGGTTTTGTGACGGTATCGTAAGTTACGCATGTCAATATTACATGACTAAGATATGACTAAGATAATTATGTAATACGGTTAGGTTATGTAATACTTGCATAAGCAGACACCACAGGGACGAAAGAAGAGACAAAAGTCACTCAATATCGGATGCCCTTGTTTCGAAAGTGAGAAAATAAATGGGGATAAAAATATGTCTTTTATTGATTATAGGCAAAAACATGCCTGAGACAAATGAAAAAAAAAAAAAATAAAAATAAAAACAAAAAAACATAAACAAAAAACGCCATCCCTCCTACCCAAAAAAGATGTTTTTTTTTTTTTTTTTAATCAACTAGTTGTTGTGTCTTCCGCCTCCCGTCTAATAAGACGGACATAGCCGTCTTGGTCAGTTACCACACGGTATGGTATCTTTTTCAAATTCCTGTAATAATATGGTTAGTATATACTTTAGATATATACAAGATACCCATTTCACTTACTTTCGAAGCCATGGGATGGCTTTTATTAAAAAAATTAATATGGTTAACACGAGCTCTAGCCATTCGGCCCATCGTGGGAGGCTTGGTAGGGCCATCTTGCCGTCGCCGTTGCTGTTGTTGCTATTGTTGTTGCTATTGTTGCTGTTGCTGCTGGTGGTGGTGCTGCTAGTGCTGCTGCTGCTGATGTTGTTGTTATTGTTGTTGTTGTTGTTGTTGTTGTTGTTGTTGTTGTTGTTATTGTTATTGTTGATGTTGATGTTGTTATTATTGTTGTTGATATGGTCATATACGCTACCCAAGCAGTCTTTTATACCACTGGATTCTCAAATTATAGGAAGCTGCTCCTTACATTACAGTAGTAGCACTTACTCTTCGCTAACTATATAGAGATGACGTAGATCAAAATCTATTAAATTTACCATAAGACAAATCCGCGAGTTCGAGCAGAACTCGTCTTCTTTGGCCCACAGAAGCGGCCTATTATGAAAATAGAAATAAAACATACCGACTAGTCGCTACATTTACTTGAGATAATGAAGATGTATTTCCAAGACACGAAGATAAGGGCAAAAGGTTTATCAATCTATGGCATCCATGTCGTCATAGAACCGTAGAGTCAACAATGATGACTTCCTCTTCCTAGTATCCCGACGGCAACTCTTGGCAAAACCTTGTCATTACTTAGTTATTATCAATAATATAACTTCTTCTCCTCCAGCTGCCCCTTAAATCCCTCCTCAGAACGAATATCTATATTACCTACTTAGGTATTTAAGACTGCCTACAAGTAAACGATAGGCCGACGTCCGAATAAACTTAGCGCTGCCGCATTGACCTCCCGCTAGTTACCTAACTAACTACTTATAGCTAGCTAAGGCGGGTCCATATTAATGATTAGTCATCTTGACTCATCAACACAACAAGACGGCAAGCGCCGCTGCCTCAGTGCTACTGCTAAGTTTACCGCGGCTAAATAAACAGTAAGCACGCCTTTATTTACAACCCACGTCTTCCCCTCCCTTTCTTCTTTTTCTTTTCTTCCTTTTGATTTTAAACAAGACATCTTCTCATCTACACCCTTGACTGCGCGTCTCAGTCCATCAACGGCACACGAATCAGCGCCACCATACCACTACTACTGCCCCTGATACTACCGCTGCCATGGCACAGGGGCCTATCTTCCCTCCCAACTTCCCGGCCACATATGGACTGGTTGTTATTCATATTTATCAAATATGCTATTCAACCCAAGGAGCAAATATACACCCTAGTATGGATATCCCACTGCTTCTACTCCAATGGATACACGCCATTTTAACAAAAATAATTTGTTTCGTTACAATCTAGGGAAACTTCAAAATCCTGTTCACCCCGATTTTCCAGCGCCAATGACCCCGCATGGCGATCCTGCACGAGACAATATAATTCCCCAAGAAGATAACGTGCCTCGAGGGCACATTATCCCGGGGATATATATGTTATTATATTAACACTTTATAAAACCGTTAAATGGAGTCGCCGGTAAGAAGGTATTAATATTGTGTATATAGAGTTAATACTTACCATTTTATTTTAGATATTATTGGGGGAGAAAGTTTACAATAGAGGCGCCTGATGGGACTACACATAGTATTACTATTGGTAATAGGTAAGTAATCCAAGTTATAAATAACTATAAGATATAGGCTAATGTATATAAGTAATAGGCCTCCTGATGTGGAAATGGGAGTAAATCTAGCCCCAGCTCTAGCACTAGCTCTATTACCAGTACGAGCGCCAGTACAAGCGCCGATTAAGGCACCTGCACAGGAGCCAGCTCCAGCACCCAACTCTAGCACTTATACCTCTAGTACCTATACTAGAGCCAGCGCCGACATCGGCAACTCCCAGCGAATGGGAGCTAAAACCTCTCTTCAATTTCTCCTTCTCTTGACCTTATTGTGTCACTTCTTCTCTACTTTTTTCTCTTTTTTTCTCTCTTTTTTTCTTCTCTTTTTTTTTCTTGTTTCTACACTATTGTCGTTTGTTTATTTTTTGTTTGTTTTTATTCTTATCTCTTTTTCATCAAATGAAACTACATTGTATCTTCTGTCCTCTGACGTCGTTGACTACCTAAGTACTTTTTATTTTAGCCTAGGCCCACTAACTACCTAGGTAGTTGCCCTAACTTGTTACTTAAAGGAAAGACTACCTAGTTAAAGCGCCAAGACCAAGTTTATTCAGACGTTAGCCAATCCCTCTTGGTGGCTAGATAAACAGAGGAGATATATTTCCCGACATAGGATAAGAATACAAGGAGATGGCAAGGAGAGGAATAGTTAGTAAGTGGCTAGGCAAAGATTTGGCTCACAAGGCGACTGTACTTAACCATGGTTGAGCACGAGTCGATGACGAATATGATAGTTAGTCGTAGCTATTAGATAAGTTACGTGCAACTCCCTCCTGCTATCCTTCCGCTTCTTCTGCTCCTATCCTGCTCTTCCTTCCTCATTATTACTCTTAAAAGGACGCTTAACGCCTCGACGCCTCAATACTTACAATAACCCCCTTACTTCTAGTTTTTACAACGACCCGCCAGCCAAGACTCAAATATGAGCAAAACCAGTCCTCCGCCGCCCTACTCTGCTGTAGAGAATATGGGCGCAGTTAAACGACCGGAAGGCGCGGGCATGTAAGTACCATTATCCTTTAATGGGAAGAAATGCGCATTAACCGCATTATTCGTACTCAGTCGATTTATCGCGACCTTGCACCATCGCTATTTTTATATCAAATCTAATGGTAAAATGAAATATCATAGAAGGAGAAATGGACAGTAAGTAGCCTCGTTCCAGGGGTATTGCTGAGAATACTGGGTTAATTAGTACTAGGACCCCACATGAAGATGCCGTAGAATTCAAACGGCATCAGGAAAAAATGGATCAGTTGTGTGCCGAGGCGGGTGAGTGGAGAAGAGCGAAGCGGAGGATGAGGGAGAGAGAGAAGGAGAGACGCAGGGAGAGGGAGGCGGAAATGAAGAGGGAGAAAGAGAGGGAGAAAGAGAGGAGAAAGGAGTGGAAGAGGGGACGGGAGAGGGAGATAAAAATGGAGTGGAGCAGAGCGAAAGAAACGTAGGTAGAAATGGAGAGGGAGTAAGAGGGAGCAAGAGAAGAAGATGGAGAGTGAGAGGCGCAAGGAGAGAGCTAGAGCGACAGCCAGAGAGATAGAGAGCTGGAGGACATGGAACAGCGAGAAAGACGCTATCGTCGCTGCCGCCACTGTTATGCTGCTTCCCATCCACCTGCACAGTTCTCTACCATCTTCGCGGTGAGAAGTTCAACCAGAAGAACTCTGAAACGCAGGTTCCTAAGAAGTCTGCCGCCTAATACTCGATATATGATTTAGTAAGTCTAACTATTCAAAGAACCACCATACGAAGGGTTCAGTAGGTGTACTTTTATATATATCAAATATGTGGCTTTGAAGATGGTTGTTTATTCCGTGGTTCGTAGTTGAAGCGTTTGCAACAGCCAATGACGTCACTGGCCTTTAATACTTACTAAGCCATTATTCTAATACCGTTTTGATACACAGAGTAAGATATTACCATTATGATACGGTAAGTTTGGTAATAATCAAAGAGTCGACGATAATAATGAATGGTTTTTAGTGGTGAAAGCAAGAGGACGAAGAAGAAAAGAAAGACGGAAGAGTTAGTGAGAGACGGTTACGGCGGATGGTTACAGGAGAGAGAGGCAGGTGGCGGCGTGAGGGATAGAGAGGCAAGGCGTAGAAAGTAAGGAGAGAAGTTCGGTGTAAATACGGGTTTAACTAACTACCTTTTACGCCTAACGGTTTGCATGGCTGTCAAGGTAAGGCAAGAGGCAGATGGAGCAGACAGTCAGGGCGTACGGAGGACTGGCTTGATCCATGGAACTGACAGACAGACAGACAGACAGATGGATGGATGGATAGATCTAAGTAGACAGGCTGCCTGATGGTACGGGGTATGTACATGGCACCCGTCAGTTGGGTAACTAAGTAGGCAAGTAAGAGCAAGGCTCACAGCATTATCTCGCATGAAGACAGTATTTCTTCTGCAGGCTGACTTGAAGACTGCTAACTAGCCAGCGGGATACCCGTTATTACTTCCGAGAAAAAGAAAAGCCAGCCGGGATGGTACCGGTAGTTAAAATCCAGTAATTTAACTAGGTAGGTAAGGTAGGCAGGCAGTTTATATATTTATGCTGACCCAGGAAATGCATGTAACCTATGCGTGCATGCATACGGCCCGACGGGACCATCACTCGAAATCGCCCATCCTTGGCCGTCGATGGTCGGGGTACCGATGTGTGTCAAAGGCCGACGAGGCGCCCAGATCCTCGTGCTCGATGTTCTCAAACGAGTTATCGCTTCTGTTCTTGCGTAGGCCGCTGCTCTCGAAGCCTCCTACTGCTTCATCGGGCCCACCAGCACCAACGCCAGCAGCAGAGCTAAGACTTCCGAATTCCCGCTCATACGCTGACAGCAGAACCTTCAGATGGTCTCGCTGAGAAGCTATGTACGCTGCCTGCTCCGATCGCGGGGCAGAAGCGACATGGCGAGGTAGCAGACGGCCAGACGCACTGAGCTCCGCAGCTTGGGCGTCAGGACTCTTTGCTGCCCCTCCTGCTCCTGCTGCCCCTCCCAGCACGCTGCCTAGCATGCTGACGAAATCCGGTGCTCCGTAGCCACCTGCGGCACCGCCACTGGCACCAGGAGCCGGCCCAGCACCCACCGCGGGCAAACTGAATCTCGAAAACAGAGCCTGCGCATACGACGGTGCCGCAACGTTGGTCTCGGGTTGTCCCTGTCCCTGTCCTTCCCAAAGAGGCTGCAGCCCCATCGCCTTTGTCCTGATCAGATCGATAAGTTTCTTCAAGTACTGCAGTCCCATCGCACTGCCGCGAGAATGAGCCTGGCCTATAAAGTCCTCGATCTCACGCTCATGATGGCGAAGGAAGGGCTCGACGTGTTCGAGATAAAGTCTCTTTGCGCCCTGTGTTTGCGGAAGGACAAGATATGAAAGTGCGAATAGGCGTATCCAGCTATAAAACGGGAACCTGTATGTACATCACCATCTGTCAGTATATACATTATCCTGGTTTTCGGACGACCGTATGGGCCTGCTCTTGAGAGTAGAGGACGCACCATGATAATATGAAGAGCGTCCATGACTCGACGAGGGTGATGGCCGAGTAAACGACCCAGTACATCAGCCAGGGAGCTAGGTTGGTCACATCGCGGGTCTGGAGGGCCTTGTACGAAGCGAAGACGGGGAAGAGAACCGTGGCGACGGCCCTGTTGTCAGACCATCCGTTAGCTTTATCCTGTCCATCCTCAACTGGTAGACAACATAGACTCACGCCAGCAGGTCTGCGACGATGCCGAACATCGCGGTAAAGTGGAAGAAGTGGAAGTGGAAGCGGAAGTGGGATGTTGGTGAGCTTTCTTCAGCCCAGCTAGCTCAGCTTGTAGTTACAGTAACTCTGATGCTGGAAAAATAAAGCTGCCTTGTCCGGCAGGCTGTAGTCAACGGCGTCCTTAGCCAATTGGTCCAGCTGTGCGTCGGCGACGTATCACGAGCGGTCTGTCGCTTGCCGATGGCGTAGTTGTATAGTAGTTGCACAGTAGTTGTGGTGTAGTTGTCATGTCGCAGATGTCACTCGCTGTCTTACTTCGGTTTGACTCTGACTAAAACGCGCGATGACGCTCGTCGGCCCAACTTGCCAAAAGGGAAACTTGTCTTGCCACCACCGGCTGCAAACATGAGGATAGACGATAAGACTTATACATACTCGACATCTACTCTGTGTCTAATCGAAAAGGAGTTCGTAGAAGTAGTTTACTGATGAGCTAACAGGCAGAGACATGTTGACGACTGCGGGTTCAATAGATGTGGCTGTCTACCCAGAGAAATACACCTCCCTGCCAGGCCCAACCTGCATCGGATTCTCTCCATCATCATAGAGATACCTGTTCACGGCCTGCTCCATGTACGCATTCAGCATGGCGGACGGCTTCTTGACCCAGAAAGTGACCTGTGGCCGGTCCTCGACGGCTCTCTGCTTCCAGTCAAGCGTATCACGCATGCCGGTCAGCAGGGACCTATAGTTCTCCCTGTCACTGATGAAGAGCAACTGGCTTAGTTCGACGGTCCGAAGCGTTGATGGCATCGCGGCAAGCAAGTCGAGGATATCAGACTGAACCACGGGGATGCTCGAGAGGGTAAAATGTCGCAGTTTCGACCACTTGTCTATGGGGAAGAGAGACAGAAGAGAAGTGAAATGTTCCATCGACAGGTTCTCGGTTGCAAATATGCCTCTATCAGTGCGGAACGAGAAGTGCTCCAGATCAGCGCATCTGGACAAGGCAGAGTGGTAATGGCTGTCCTTGAACGGTGGCCAGACGGAGTCGTCCCTCCCGCCGACGAAAAGAGGGAGATCAAGGCGTTTGAAGCCGGGCTGTTCCAGTATCGTGGTAAAGTCGGACAGTTCTCGACAGGGACCGTTGAAGATGTGGTAGTTGATGCCCGTCTTGTGGCTGCATGGATCGACGATCAGCTCCGAGACGCTGTGTTTGCCAGCCTGTTCGGCAAGAGCCTTCGTAACAATTCGGAATCCTCGCCATTGGTCTTTGAGATACTCCTCGACCTCCTCGTCCCATAGATTGGCGTCGATGGGGAATGTAGTTTCCAGCGAGGACACCCATGCTTCAGGCATGGCATAGTTAAACGCATACGGCATGCTCCGTATATTAGGCGTCCGGTATAGAGGCAGAAACAGCTTATCATGCGCTGTCGGGATAATCCTTACTTTCCTCAGGGCAGGAAACCGTTCCAGTCCTAACTTGAGAGCTTCCACATCCTCTCCAGACGCAATCACTTTCGCCTGATCCAGGAAATACCCCTTATACGTTTCCCATGACTCCGCTGGCGGCGTCAAGCGACGAGTTTCCATCATCCGCTCCTCCAGCCCTGCTTCAGTTTGCAGCTCATACTCACATTTAGCCAGCCGCTCGAGATTCTCATCGCACACCTGCGTGAACCACCTGGGACAGTATGTTGGCGACCCCTTTTGGCGCCGCTCCTCGGGGACCTTGTCATAGTGCAAACCGGTGACTGCTCCGACATAGTGGCCTTCCCGCTCCAGCACGTCTTCGATGGGGGCGGGGCTGAACGCACCGTCGTCCCATATGAGCTCTTTGACTTGCAGACGCAGAGTCTCATGGCTAGCTATGCAGCAGAATACCTCGATATCTCGCTTATGGATGGACAGAAAGACTCGCTCCACGTTGAGAAGGGCGGTGTTTCTTATCACCGAGCATGTCAGGCGTAGCTTCTTAATGGTGCTATTGGGCAGGTAGGAGAAGATCAATATCTGGATCTCGGGGGGGAGGGTGGTAAGCGTCGATGTCATTGTTCAAAACGACTTGAGCCACGCACTCCATAGATTTTGAAGATGGTATTCTTTCGATATCTATCGGGTACGAAGTACTCCGTAGGCTTATATGATGACGGTCGAAAGGACGTCCCTGAGGCTACTAATCGACGCCCCTCATGGCCACTTTGTTGCTGTGTTTCAGCCGAAGATCAACGGGGCTCAGCGGCTCGTATAACTGAAAATGTAATTATGGGACATGGCTTAGCGCGCACCAACCCCTGAATCACTGACTCCTCGCATAGTTAAATGATATCGTGTTGAGGAAATATTCAACTGAAAGAGCTAACTGCCGCGAGACAGCCATTTTAGAATGGTCCTAATGATGCCATGACCTATTTAAGACTATGACTATCTTTCAACATTTATTTTGCTCGGGTATTTTCGGTTCCTCTTCCTCGGCTTGAGCCTCATTTTCTCTATTATTTTGCCCCTAGCCTGCGGGCATGCCACAGAGCATGCGTCCTGCCAAGGAGGGGCCGCTCACACAGCCAATAATAACTAACTACTTAGGTAAGGAGTACTGGCTAGCATTATACTGGAGCCTAGTAGTAATTACTTATTAAGCCACTTTATAGCCAGGCTGGTATCGAGCGCAAGCTTTCAAATAAAGCTAGAGGAGTAACTCTCCGCGATTTTTAGATTCAACGTTTCTCCAGAAATCGCGGTAACTGCCAAGGGCCCCTCCTATTAACTAGTTAATAACCACTTACGTGGTGCTATGTTTTTATAAGCAGCCAGCCAAAGAAAAGGAAGTTATAATGCGTTTCCGGGTCCTATCATTTTGGGTTGTGATAACATTAGTTACTATTTGGGCACTGTGAGTACAAGCGCCCCAAGTCGAATTCACAATCAGACCTTCAAATGCTTATGCTTTAGTTACACTAGCCTCTGCGTCATTGCGTTTATAGATGAACGGCCAATCATAATCATGATGGAATGGTTTACTCCGCGTTCAATATCAAATGACACAGAACAAACCGAAATTTTCATTAGCCCCCCTCGACTCCGATTCGATCCTCCACCAAGACTCCGGCTTGAGTTTGTCGGGACAGGTGCTTTGGTCAAAGCCTGGCCTTTAAGAGATCCCACGTGTCCGACGAGATGCGGAGGTGGAAAATGGGTGAAGCTCGCAACCATTCCAGAGCTCAATTTTCTCGGGCTTGATCGATTCCAACAAATAGAAGCGTCAACTAATAAGACGGAGGAGGATGCCTTTGCGGAGAAGCTACGCCTAATTGGTGCAAGCTGGCAGGCAGATTATATAGACTATCACACTATAGACTTCGAGGCAACAGAAAATGTGTCCTTGTACGGATGGCCTTCTACTGGCGGGTTATGGGTTTATCAATATGATGGCTACGAACCTGTTAAGATCCGTATCCTCAACAGGCTTTCTGGGATGTTAAGGTTGGCAATCACTATGGATGAGCAGTCTCAGCTTTTGAAAGATCACGGGGCGCGTTTCTACGAAGATCCAAAACAATACCCTCCGTTTGCTAACTTGACGACTCCCAAGGGAAGGGATTAATGAGCCTAGTACTCCATATTCGAAGAGATCTGCATTCTATATTCTCCTTCACTAGTACTATAGTTATAACAGCAAAAGGTAATAAATGATTGGTTACAACGTTGCAGAGCGTATAACCGTGTACATTGTGGTGACTAGAGAGCTTGGTCTCTTATTACATGCAGAGATTTCCAGGTCCAAATACGGATGGAAGCTGACTAAGCTACTTATTTTGACATTACCTAATAATGCTTGCGAAGATCCTTTCCCGGAATGGCGTTGGGACGTGCACGACGGCATCCGCTCTTTTGCCTTCTTGCTAGCAGATCAAGCCTTGTTTATTTGAACCTCACTCGATATGCTGCAGTTGCTGAGATACCTCCAGGGATACCGGGAGAGGCATGACTAATGGGCAATCCTCAGCTCTATATGTGAGAGGGGGTTCTTGATGGGGATGCCGATAATTATATGGAAATAACTTTACGGATAACCTTACGGCACCCCGGCTACACTTGCAATTTTACCCGCCGTCTCTGGTGGCCCTCTGGACATAAATTCCCACCACCAGACCTGGACATGTTTGTGATACCCTACAAGGACAATAAGGATACAGGCATCTTACACAGTTAAACGAGCATCCAACAACATTCTACGCAACCTATCAAACCGACCCGCCTGCCAATATGCCGGAGCTCTGCGACATCAGCTACTCACGCGAGGAGTGCATCGCCGCAGTACGTGGGTACTACCAATTTCTTACCACCCTATATCTAAAGGAGGGCGATATCCTGGAGCCGCCAGAAGGAGGCTGGCCCTCAGTTACCCCTAGTGCCATACAACAGTTGGGCAAAACAGATGAAGTCGCGTCGCTACTACGGTATCTTCCCTATATACGCCAGCCTGGAAATGGTGGACCACAGAGCTTCCCATATAGCTACTTTGCAAACTGGGAGGACGCTTGTGCCTATATGGATCAGGGGAAATCAAACCCTGAGGGTATTAAAGTATGCTCAGAGGGTTATGATATAAATAATGTACCACCTCATGTTATTGGTCTTACAAGCGGTGGACGGAATAATTTCCTTCTTCTCCTTGATACAGAGCTTGGTGTTATTTATTGGCCAGAGTGCCATGGAGATATTCAACATGACGATGATACCCCCTGGGAGCGAGTTTGGGATGACCCGTATGATTATGCACTGATAAGTGAGGTAGAGTGGCGCGCTGAGGGTGCGTACTGGGCTATCCCTGACTTCTTTGAAATTCTCAAGGACCAGTTTCGCCGTCTGCTCTTCGTCCCTACTAATACGCTCACTGTTATCGATGTCTATCATTACGGCGATTTGTCTGGGTTTGTTGAGTTTTTACAGGGGATTTATCGAGAGCATGGCTGGCCGGACCTTGAACAATACAACAAGTTCGAATGTCTCAAAGATATACGAAAGCGGTTAATGGAGAAGTATCCCGACAATGTGGACCCGAACGAAGACCCGCACGGAGGCTCGAACGAAGGCCCGAACGAATAGACGGTCGATGTACGGCGTAGCAGGTATGCATGGTGTTGAGGGTGCCGCGTACATTTTCAATATTTAACATCATACCTGCCCTAGTGTTGAAAAACAAAAGAAACGAAATAATACCAGCATTTTTATCACACTGTTTGAATTTCCTCTGAGGAAGTCCTTGTCGTGCTCCATACTAATGTTCTAGGTCTCAAGCCATACGAGGTCTCGGGGCTTGCCTATACTAGTATGCTGCTACATATCTTTGGGAGGGCAGGCTGAACCTTCGCTGCCATCAACCTCAATGGCTCCCAAGCTGTGTTGCCCTTGAGTGAACATGACCTTTCTCCCATTGGAGGCCCTGAACGCCCATTATTCTGACAAGCATGACTGCCCGCTGCTTGTGTTGACTATGCAAACATCCATAGCTGGATCCCTTATTTCTCTGTGGATCGGCTTGCACCGCTGCCAGGAGCCGCTCCTGGTGCAGCTATCCGTTACCCAGCCACTGGACGACCCAGAGTCTACCATACTCCTACGCACTTGTACCTCGAGTTCTGGCACATCGCACGCCTTTGCCGCAAAACAGATCAACAACCCCAAGAAATGGAAAGAATTATACCAGATAAGGCTTGAAACTGCGTCTGCATGTGTTATCACCGGCACTAAAGTCCAGGACAAACTGAAACTGGCTATTGGGGGCAGCAATGAACGAAACAGTATCCATGCTACTCGCCTTCTTGACGGCATGGAGATGTTCTTCAGCGCGAGAGATAACTGTGACGAGAACTTTCTGTTTGCCTATTATAACGGGACCGCTGCGGGGCTTTACATTGGCCCTGGTCTGGGTAAACCTACTGCGAAATCAGCGCTCAGCGCCCTGTCTAACCATCTACGGACCCGTGGTGCGGTGATGACAGTAAATCAGATCGAGTTTTTGGAATATCTATCGATACCACAGGCGACCTTACAGCAGTCCAGAAGACAGCCTCCGAATGGAGCAAAGGGAACTGCGTAACAGGGATAGTCTCTATCAAGAGAACTCTGGTTATAAATTTGGGCTTTCAGATGACTAGTTAGAGCTATGTTCTAATAGTTAGGAATAATGCTAGTCGGCTCAGAGCGTTCCAACGCAAAGATAAGTCTTCGCCCATAAGCCGGTACAATCAGGCTTAATTGCTGGGTTCCATTTGACGAGATTTGCCAACGTCACTTTATACTTCGCCTGAATAACTGGACAGGTATTCCCGGTATCAACAAAGTGAAACTTGTTGCAGTTATTAACCATCCCGTTCTGGACCGGAGTAGGTGTCTGAATACCATTTGGAGGCTTTGTTGGAGTTGGAGTTGCCGATGGCTTTGGTGTATACCCGATAATCGACACGCAGGCATACGCATTAGCCCATAAGCCTGCACATGTGTTCCCAGCCTTGGGATTCCATTTTGTGAAGTCCGATAAGGCGATGCCGTGTTTGGATGAAATAGTGGCACATGAATCGCCGGCCTGGACCAGGTAGAATTTGTTACAATTGTTGACAATATCAGGCTGGGTAGGTAATGGCGTCTCGATACCATTGCTCGGTTTGGTTGGAGTTGGTTTGGGTTCATGGCCGATGATAGAGACGCAGGCATACGCATTAGCCCAGAGACCTGCGCAATTGCTGCCAGCTGCTGGGTTCCACTGTATAAACTGTGCAAGGGAGATGCCATACTTGGACGTAATGGCAGCACAGCCCTCACCCGGCTCTACCAGATGAAACTTGTCGCAGTTGTCGACAATCTTAGGTTGTGTTGGAAGAGGAGTCTCAATACTAGGCGGATACTCATGGTCAGCTATTGTCCTGTCTCCACTTGTGGTGGTATACATATACCTACCCATTGGATGGCTTAGTGGGCGTTGGCTGGGGGGCCGGAGAAGTGGTCTTGGACGGCTCGTGGCCGACAATAGACACGCAGGCATAGGCATCAGCCCAGAGCCCGGTGCAATCTCTCCCAGCACTTGGGTTCCAGGCTATAAACTGGGCACTGGTAATTCCGTAAGTGACAGAAATAGTACCACAGTCTTCTCCCTGTTTAACCAAGTGAAATGCATCACAGTTAGGGGCAATCTCAGGCTGTGTTGGCAAAGGGGTCTCGATAGCTAAGCCAACCTGTTAGCATCACCACCTTTTTCAGAGTGCAGCTTGGGAAAACTTACTACCAGGTGTTCCCGTAGGCCCTGATGGTCCGGTTGGAGATGCCGTTGGTGTGGGTTCAAATGCCGTTTCCACGCAGTAGGACTTGCCCACGGTCATGCCATTACAGCTACCCGTGATTGATGGATTCTGAGTCTTCCGGTTAGCTTTTCAATTTTTGACACTAGGTGGAGGAGAACAGGAATTATCCACCACTCACCCAACGCTGGAACTGCTCTAAAGTAACGGAGTTTGCCTGAAGCACCTGGTCACATGGAAGCTCTTCGTTATAATCAAACCACCAGCTGCAGTAGCTGGTCGTGTCCTTGTCGTGCGGGTTGGTTGGAGTGACGCCTCTGCGGCGAGAATGAGCACCAAGGGCAGCGCCAAACGTCAGCTCAGAGCTGACAAGGAGCAGCAAGCAAGCTTTGAGAGCGACCATGATGATGAATCCAGTTGGAAGGAGATTAATCGAATAACGGCTTGATCATAACTATTGGCAGATTTCTCGTCTACCTTGCATCCCAGGTTTTATATAGATATCCTACTCCATCAGCTGGACAAATCAGGTATGGAATCGAGATATCTCCCACTTCCGCCCGAGGCGTGCAGCAAGGAGAGAAAGGGACTGGTTTGAGCTGCCAGGCTCGCCTGCAATGCCATCACTGCATACATAGCTCGCCTGCAGCGGTGGAGGTCATAAGAAAAACTCCGGTCTACGTGGGGGTCTCTGTATGTATGTGAACGTAGTCCGGAAGTAATGCATCTCAACCCCGTCTGGAAGTTTCACCGGAAGAAGGATATATTTCCTTATCCTTGTCTGGAAATTCTATAGTCAAGCAGGATATATATCAACCTCCTCTCCGTGGCTCATACGATGCTGCAGCATCCATGTCGCCAGGAACAAAAAACAACCTAGCAATTCAGTCGGTCAGGGGATTCATGCATACTGTTAATTAGCTGCATTTGTTGCGGCTTTTTAACGTTGGCTGGGCACACCATACTTATCGGTGTCCTGAACGGGACTACACCGAGTAGACCGGCCTCTTCATTTGAACAAGGCAGGATATAATAAATCATAGAACATACATGGAATTTCTTGGGTTACATTCGACTCTATACTACTCCGTAATCGATGTAAGCTGTTAGCCCCTGATAAAGGGAACTAGGGAAAGAAGTTATGGGATAACTAAATGGCCATCAGTCCCCCCTGACACTTGGCTCTGGAGGGGGAACGCCCTGTTCGGCCTCCTGTTTTTCAACACTTTCCTTGGCCTCTCTCTCCTCTCTGGCCACAATGGCTTGATACTTTGCTCTGGCACTTCTAGCATATTCAACATCTTTGCGTCTTCCCATGCGCGTGGCGATGCGGTTCTCTATCCACTGTGCACCTTTCCTGGCATTCCAAGCCTCTGTGCTCTCTCCGGGACGCCTAGCCGTCCTAGCCGCCCGGGCCTCCTCCTCTGCCGCCCTTTCTTTGATCTTTTCTTCGCGCCTTCTGGCGTATTCAATATAATCCCTCCAGTCCAAATCGAACCCCGAATAGGACAGCTCGGGATATATTTGCTCGCAAAGGTCGATCATCTGGAGCTTCTCAGGTGATAACCAGACAAATATTTCAACTGGCGAATCTGATAGTTCCTCACGATAAACACCGTTATAGCGCTCGCTCCAACAGGCCCCCCCCCAACCGGCCCTCACTGATATACCTGCTTCTAACCGTAGTGGCATGCTATATGACCTTAGGACCTCCATGTTCTCACTTAACCATGACGGCTCACGGTAGCGCTGAAAAAGGTCAATACCCTGTTCGGCAACCTTTTGCTCAATGTCTCGAAGGTAAAATGGGTTACGGGATTGTTTGGCTGCCGTGGCGAGGTCGGGGTGCGGCGTGCAGTTGATCTCCTTGTATGCTTCTTCGTAGTCACAGAATATGCATGCAAGGGCAGCTGTCTTTTTCATGGAGGGAACTTTCTTCGCGAGCAGATTGAGGGTATGTTCATGTGGCTGCAAGGGTTTCCAGATAACATCTGGTTGTGGCTCACCATCCGGCCATCCGTTATTGAATGCCTCAATGTCATTAACCATAATGCGGCGAGCAAATATGGCCTCCTTGATTGAGTCTAACTGCCAGGGTTTGAGTACTTGCACACGTCGAGGGTTTCGTTTGATCTCGTCGGCCCAAAAACGTGCAAACATTGTATTGTGGTAAATTCCCCGTAGCACGCAGATCACCTCCTCTTCTTTCATCGGCCAGCGTGGTGCCAGGCGCGCATAGCGATCTATATTGCCATCGTGAGCTGCCATTTGAACGAGGAGGTCTTTCTTCATAGTTGGTAGATCCTGGGGAAGGGGAGTGTAGAGAAGTTGAACCTCCTCGTTAGTGAGGATGTTGTACTTGTCAGGCCAGGATGACTCCTGCTCGCTAATGAAGTTGTCTTCTTCAATGCTCCAGTCCCAAATCCTCCTCCACGGTCTATAATTGTATACCCTTGGGTTCAACTCCTCACGTCGTTGAAGTCTCCACCGCACCATTGTGTCGCCATTCAGGAACGCGGGAGGACCCGGGTTCTCGCTATCGAGGTTGATGGACCGCTCGGGGTCATCCATAATAGCATAACGGCAGGGAAAGGCCATTATCATCTTGAATATGGCCTGTCCGCCCGGTGTATCGCTCTCCCGCGCCTCCTCGGCGATTGAAACATCCGGTAACAGACCTAGTTCGGCGTATAGACCATCGTATCCAGCAGCGGCGCAGGCGCGCCCTACCTGATAGCGCATGGATGGGAAGCGCTGTGCTAGCTGGCGATAGGTATCCTCGGCCGCAAAATCCGGGTTCCAGATACAGTAGGGTTGTCTGGTCTGGTCAGAGTCGTCCATGTCTTCGGGCCCAGGTATCACGTCGCTCATGATAAGACGAGCGTTGCGGGCGCGAGCAAGAGCTGAACGTGAGGCGCAAACATCCTTCACGGCAGAGCTTGCTGCAAACTCATAGTGACGGCGGATGCCTCGAATGAGACAAATGGGCGCGTGAAATTGATTATCAAGGTGTTCCTCGTCCGGCACCTGGTTGCCTCGAAGGGCAGCGACGAGCTGGGCGTCGTACGCCCTCCTCTTATCGCAATCATCTTGTTCTAGGCAGCAGTATTGATCAGGACAGTTGCATACTTTGTCTATGAGTCCATCCATCCTGTTGTGTTTCTGCTGGTCGGAGTTATGGGCTCTGGTAACGTTTGTGATGGTAATTATGCTGGTGGTGTTGGTTGTAAGAAGGAGAAAAGTGCGGCCATACAGCCTGGTTAAATAACTAACTAATTAACTAACTACCCGACCGGTTTAACGAGCTACTGAAGGAGTTAACGTTACCCTCTTCTATACTCCGTATACCCTGCATATAACAAAAGACAGTTAAGTAATCAGTTACTTAGTCACCAGTTATATGACAATACGGGGTGCTTGTGGTGTTAAACATGGCCTCTTCCCGAAGTAAATGAGTAATTAGTTAGTTACCCAGACAAATAACTAGCATCCCTTTAGTTCCTCGATTGTCATTTTGGCTTTTGCACTAACTTCACTCCAGTTCGCAAGCACATGACGATGGCTCTTGTCTGACTTAGTGGATCCCTCGTCTGTAGCCTTGCCAAATTTTATAAACTGTTTTTTGTTCGAGTTAGCATTTTATTATGTCATAAACCAGTCAGGTAACTAGCAATGGAGAGTCCAACGCACTTCATCGACAAGTTCATTATATTTTCCTACCCCCAGGGCCTTTAACTTTGGGCCTGGCCTATTTTTGTCTCCCTTTATGCAATTTGCCAAGTATGTCTCTTTCCAGTCTGGCTTCTCGTACACTGCAGGTCCTAGCGGCATGCCGTTATACTTCAGCGCCGTCTGATGTTTTGTAGTTACCACCTTCTCCAATCCGAGTCCTCCATTCTTCCTCGGCACAGTGACAGAATCAGTGATGTATTGAAATCTATCCTGTTTGCGAGCTATCACGATCGTTTCGGCAATGTCCGCAATGCGCTTGATACGGTCTGGATTGTCTATATCGCCATATGGATCCTTCGCAAATCCCAAGCGAAGCCATGAATAATGCTGCTCAGTCTTGTCTATGAGTTCCGGGTAGTTCCGAGGATCAAAACTCTTTTCATATGGGAGCGTAGGATCTACCTCTTTCGAATCGAATATATTAGACCACCCTAGGTCTAGGAGCTGCTTGGCTGATTTGAAAGGGTCTCCATTCGCTGGGGAGTCTATCGTGGGCGGTGGGCTGGCCCTGGAGTGTCCTCCTTCCTGTAGTCGCTTCTGGAACCGTGCGTAGTCGAGCCTTTTATCCCCTTTTCTACCGATGTTTCGATCCAATGGGTCACCGTCTTCGTTGTAGTGAGGGAAGAGCTTTTGCTGCGCGGAGGCAGTGTCAGCATCACTATTTATTGCAGAGATAACTAGTTAACAAAATCCAGATAACTAAAGCAGGGGCGGGCGAGAGAGCTTACCAGAAGAATTCGTACATCTCCCACAGCCATATGCGCTCAAAGACGTGGGCTACCCTATTGTCCCCAGGAATTTTATCATCCCCACTGGCATAACTGGAAAGAGACAGCAGCCAGGTAAGGAAAAAAATGAGCAGGTTACCACGCATGTTGAGGACGGCCAGCACTTCGCAATTGGAATGTATGGGTATGATGGTAAGAGAAGCGATGAGTTAAGGAGGGCGGCCGGGTGGCATTCCGCCTTTTTTTAAAACATGTTTAATCTACGGAATGAGGATATAGGCTTGGAGAGATAGATAATGTGGATGGATATGGCCCAAGTCCGTACGCTGGTCGAATAGCAGAGAGGCAGGCCACGGCGCAGCGAGTTCGGTATGCAGGCGCAAGATTATGTGGCCTAACAATTTAATTGTTTACCCGTTACGTAGGGTAGCAACCCCCACGGGCCCTAGCACGCCCTATGTCCAAATATACAGAGCAATTACATTCTCTATAGGGGCTTTCTTAAATTGCGCCGGCGTTAGGGTCCATCCCCCGTTGAGTTGCCGGCAGCAGGTCCAATTCCAGTTTACATTGCTATATTTTAACCAAGCCTAGACAAATGGGAGTAAGAAGGAGTATTCCGGATAACAATATAACCAGTTGTATTCGTCGCCAGGAAGGCCCATGTTGTATGTACGATAGGTCTAACCTAGTCTAAGGGGTATATAGCCGCGCATATAGTTTTAGAGTTTTATACTTAAAGTCAATTATTATACAGAGTAACTAGTTAGTTAAAGTTAACTAACTAGCGCCCGCTCTAGATCCGCGCGCCAAGATCGCTTGGCCTAACGACATCGCAAGCACAACCAGCCAAGGCGCGAGCAACGAACGTCACGACGCGCTAACGGTCCGGCGTCGTCGGGCCAAGATGATGTTTTGAGCACATTCAGTTGGCCACTGGGGGTAGATGCATGGACAATATTGACCTGCATGACTTTTCGCTTCTGATGCTGGCGAGCTTTTATTCCCCTCTCGTCCCTATTGGCTATGTTTCTCTCACCCTCCGAGGATTGATGCATAGAAGCAGTTACCAACCATGGCCTACGCCCTAGCGCGAGCTGAGGGTATTACTTGATATCACTCTCCGCGGAGGTTACCGGGCTCATCTCTATCAGCTTGGCCCCGGGGGACGAAAAGGGATAACGCCGGTGTACTTTGACTTGTGTAGGCCAAAGGGCGTCACAGCTGGCACAAGAATTATGTTAAAATAAGACTATAACCTTGACTCTACGTTAAGGGGAGTTGTGAGGCCAGCCAAACTTCTACCACTCGCTCTCAATTTGTGATACTTCCGCCATGAGGGAATTCTCATTCCTTACTCTCTTTTCGTTTCTTGCCGTCACGGTCACATGCCAGAATCATACTAAACCTGCAATTGAGTCTTATCCAACGGTCTTCAAGGCCACAGGCTTCAGCTCAACGGAGCATGAACACGGTTTAGGAACCATTCCCATCACTCCGGTGGGGTCTATCGAGATTGACGATCCGTGGATCTCAAGGCTCGTCGATGGATGTCCTCAGCCCTGTAGCGTTGTGGGCTCTGATCCTGCCAATTGGACTCTACTATATAGCCAGCCCGCCCTCATGGATTGCAAATCGCCTCTACTCTTCGACCTCAACGTTCAAAGTACCGAGACCAGGCATCCTGTTATCCGCGCCTGCACAACTAAACCCGAAAAAGTATTACGCAAGCGTACTGAATTATCTGTACCGGTTACAAACCATTCGAACAATTCCACCAAAAATGCAACAGTCGAGACCCAAGGCCTAGCCCCCAATGTCCTTGCATCCACCGCCTCATCAGTCATTTGCGGTGCGCAAGGAGATACTAGAGATGTAGTCTTTACTATCAACCCATCCATTCTCAAGCCAGGGGATGATACCGCTTCCGCTGTCAGTCTCCTGTCATCACACTTTACCAATAGTGCTTCTTGCGGTGAAAAAATTCTTCTCGTCAAATTGGGTACTGTGGTCGTTGGTCTATATATTGGTGCGGACGTCCAGACTGCTGCAGCTGCTAATACAATTAATAAATTTGGGTGAGTACCAGAGGTCCGATACATAAACTTCCCGAAGCTAACTTGATGGTCTATCCCTTTTTAGTAAGGAGCTCCCGTTTACCTCCCATTCACCTCCCATTTACCTCTCTTTGAACCAGAGCAGTGTACTCCCACTTCCTGGTTGGAAGGAATGCCTATTCCAAATTCGTTTTCTATTCAAGCCCAATCATCTACTCTTTGGTCGCTAATTTTGTTCTATTGTAGGTGAGGTTCTTAAGCAGGGAGCCCAGGTTATACAGACTTGTGATACCACGATCAGGGAAGCACGAACTGTTGGCCTGTTTGCTGTTGAGAGTACCGAGGACCTATATATGGTCCAGGGAGCACTGAAACAATGGGCCAATGGCGGGTGCCTTCATATTCCTAAGGGGCGAGTTCTTGCCAACTTTGCTAAGCTGGGCGTTCTCACCGCTACTGAGGTTGATAAACCCACCCCAATGCGACGCCATACTCGACCGTTGTCACTACATGCAAAGAGCAGGTCTCACTCACTGGTAAGTAGGGCTGAATGCAGAGCTATCCAAGTTGGTAACGGAGACAGCTGCATGGCATTAGCAGCACGATGCGGTATTCGCGGACGCGATTTCCTTCAATTCAATCCTAGGACAAACCTCTGTTCAACCCTAATGCCGAAGCAATGGATTTGCTGCTCGGAGGGTACCCTTCCGGATACCAGACCAAGACCTCAACCTGATGGCACCTGTGCTACCCATACTGTCGTTGCCGGGGACGCTTGCTTTGCTATTACTGATAACTACGGAATTACACTTAACGATATTAATGATTTAAATAAGGGAACATGGGGTTGGGCAGGCTGTAACAGACTACAGCCTGGCCAAGTTATCTGCCTTAGTAAAGGAAATACCCCTATGCCGGCTGAAATTGCTGGCGTTTCCTGCGGCCCACAGAAGCCTGGGACTAGGAAACCCTCAGGTGAATTTGATGGCTGGGATCTAGCAAAGCTTAATCCATGCCCCCTAAATGCTTGTTGCTCAGGCTGGGGGTTTTGTGGTATAACGGCTGAATTTTGCACGGAGTCTCCGGCTGATACGTCTGCGCCTGGTTCTTTTAAACCTGGTACTAACGGCTGTATCTCAAATTGTGGTACTGATATTGTGGGAAATAAGACTCCAGGAGGTAGCTTTGCTCGAGTGGGTTACTTCCAGGCTTATAACTATAAGCGGGACTGTCTCTACCTTGACGCTACAAAGATCCAGGAGCACTTTAAAGATCTAACCCATGTGCATTTTGCATTTGCAGGTCTTACTGACGATTTCAATATAAATATTGGAGATAATATTTGGAAGCAATTCGATATCTTTAATGAGATGAAAGCACCCTTCAAGAAAATTTTATCTGTGGGTGGATGGGCCGAGTCAACAGAGCCTGGCACTTACAGTCGTTATAGGGAGGCCGTGAGCCCAAACAATCGGTATACCTTTGCTCAAAACGTTGTGAAGTTCCTTGATAGTCACAATCTGGATGGTATCGACTTTGACTGGGAGTACCCAGGCGCATCGGACCAGGGTATCCCAGCATCAGACCCCAGGGACGCAGAAAACTATTACAGGTTTCTTACGCAATTACGAGTCCTTCTTGGAACTGAAATTGGATCACGATCTCTTTCTATTGCTATTCCAGCGTCTTATTGGTATCTTAAACCTTTTCCCGTTCGTGCAATTGGGGTAGTCGTTGACTACTTCATTTACATGACGTACGATCTTCATGGCCAATGGGGTATGTCTACCCCTTACTTCTATGGAATCAATAGCCAACTAAGAAAGTCTAACCAAAACTCTAGATTATGGGAACAAATTTGCAAATCCTGGGTGTCCAAATGGGAACTGCCTTCGTTCACATATTAACCGCACAGAAACGTATAGCGCCCTTGCTATGATTACGAAGGCCGGCGTGGTACCTTGGAAGGTCTTTGTAGGTGTCACTAGCTACGGAAGAAGCTTCCGCATGTCGGACCCAAGCTGTACCGGGCCGCAGTGTACATTCACCGGCTCTTTTGGGCATTCTGAGGCAGAGCCAGGGTCAATGCACTGGAACTGCTGGCTATAGTGAGTTATAAAATATCCATTTCATCTATCGTTACTTTGTCAAGTCTATGCAGATCACTAACTAGAGAGTGACAGTCGCCAATGCTGAGCTCCAGAAGATTTTTGAGTATGCCGAAAGAGGCCAAGAGGGTGTCCAGGCTAAGAAGTGGCATGACACCGAGACAGATTCAGATATTATGACTTGGTTAGCTCACTAAATTATATATCTTTGGATTTTGCTAATCATGACCTAGTACGTTGAAATCATTATCACGAAAGGATGAGAACCACCTCCTCACATGCTATTTCATACCTGCTATTCATATATTATAACCATATACTGACTTAGCTTTTCAGATGGCACACAGGGGCAAGGCATGACCGACTGGGTTGCATATATGGATGATAACACTAAAGCAAAACGCACTTCTTGGATTCAGGGCCTGAATATGGGCGGAACTAGCGATTGGGCTCTTGATCTAGCGGGTTGGTATCCTGCAGTCAAGGGAAACGGAACTAGTGGTTGGAAACTAGAACCAAATCTTGTCAACTGCGATCTAGAAGCATGGCCCAGCACACTCGAGGATCTAGATGCAAATATCGGCAATGTCCCGATACCTTGCCGTGGCATGGCTATAATGAAGATATTAACCGATGAACTTAAAAGCGCCGTTGATAAGTACAGGGAAGTTTCATCCTCGGATGACTATAAGCAAAGGGTATGCCATCCCTCTCCGTTTACCTTTGATGAGTCTTGGCTAATATGAGGTAGTTTGAATGGTATGCCGACTGGGTGAAGGACTCCATTCAGCCACGTTTGAGGAGCTTCACGGCTTTAAAAACCGGCGAGGGTCTTAAATATATGGACTGCAAGTGGTCTACGCCTTATCGAAAAGGAGAAGGCCCTTGTACTGAAGTGAATCTTTATTACCCGCCTCACGCCGATCTTGGAGTTCGCACTATCGAGTATACTGTGAGGGATGAGGAAGGGTTTTACAACGCCCTCTTGAAGGAAGCTGGCATCAGTAAGGAGTGGATTGAATGGACAACAATTACCGAGCCGGACGAGTGCCCTACCTGCCCTCCCAAGGATGAGTTTTGCCTGCCAAAACCGTGTTCGGACAACTATAAAGAGTATGTGAATGTGCCGAGCCGCATCCCGGATAAGAACAAGATCAGAGTAGAAGATCCAAAAGACCTGATCGACAAAGCGATTCTTTCTATAGACGAGGTGTTGGACCTTGCATATACTTCCTCTATTGAGTTGAATATAGGACTTTTAGATGCCGATGTTACCGACGTTATTACTGCCCTCAGTATGCCAATTTTTATGCTGCAAGATGCCTCCAAATCAATTGAGGAGATCAAAAAAATCGGCAAGGAGCACCATGATACAAAGAAGAAGCAGCTTATCCTTAACGTTCTATCTATTGTTTTCTCGATTATACCTTTTGTGGGATTGGCTGGCCAGGCAGTCGGCATTGCGACCAAATTTGCTGCGGCCGCCCTGATTATTGGTGAGATCGGCAACGTTGCTCTTACAATCGTTGATATTATCGACAATCCGGAGGCAGCGCCCTTTGCCATACTCGGTCTACTAATCGGCGCTGAAGGTGTCCGGGTTAAGGGAGCTCGTCAAGCATTCAAAGATGCAGCGGATGTCCGCCGTGCGCTTACGGCTAATTCTCTGAAAAGCTTTTCGGAAGAGTTCGTGCGCAAAGATAGCCTTCTTCAAGGGATGCTCAAGAAGTGTGTCAGGTAGTGTTGAGATGCTCTGGTCTGCACTGACTCGGATACTCAGCCATGTCCTTTTACTTTATACATATATGTACGCGGTGATTGTGGAGAATACAGGTGGCAAAGGAGTGTGCTGTATATGGTGTTCCAATATGTGAGGAAAATCATTCGAAGGAATGTTGAAGTTGAAGAAGTTGTTATATAAGCTAGACCGTGATATCATTTGTCCAGTCGCCTAATTCGTCGGATGCTCATATCCCGCTGATCGACGGTATCGGATGCCCCACCTTGGTACCCCTAATCTAATAGAGTACGTTCTGCCATTCTAGAGTTATACAGCCTGTTTTATACTGTATCTCCTAATTAAAAAATAAGTTACTCTAATTTATCTATCTCTTATTAGTTACGAATTTATTTATTATTATTTAAGTCTATAGGCCTTGGGAGAGTAGACTTAAGGAGGTATTCCGTAAGCCTTGATAGGCAGGAAGATCTTAAAGGATAGGCCTTAGGGGGTAGGTACAGAGGATATGTATCTAAGAAAGAGTCTCTTCTAGAGAGTGTTTCTCTTAGGCTAGAGGGTATTTCTCTTAGAGAGGAATTTCTTATTGGCCTGGAGTTAACAGTACATAACAAACTATATAACTTTAAGGGTGGAAGAATATACTCCATTAGGTCAATCTGAAAGGGTAGTTATCAAATGACTTAATCATTCCGATTATCAGAGTACATGAACTCATAAGACCCCTATTCTAAAGCTGGAGAATGAAGCAATGGGTAAAGAAGGCTGCAAAGAGTTCCATGGCAGATGAGGGCAGCAAAAACATCAAAAAATACATGCGACAGTCGGGATTCGCTGGTGGTCACCCACCCAACTACTAACCGACCGGCAAGTGGCTTAAGTACAGCTGAGCGGACGGGAAGCTCTGTTTTCCACTTCCTGTGGTCGCATGTGCTTGACAAAAGCACGAACAGAATTTTATACGATGCAATGATTGGGCTGGACCTCTAGTTTATTTGTGTCATGTGATATCCCGGCTGGTTAATAACCACTTTAGGACTAGTGCGGGTTATTCTGGAGCTTACTCATGCTGTACTTCTTTATTGCTGTGAAGGAA